TAGGCGGGCTTCCATCTACCATTCGCACAACGGCAAAGCAGCGGCACCCAAGTATTGGCTAGGCACTCTGCCAAGAGTCAAGGCTTCTGACGGGGTGGTTAGCCAAAGTGGAGTATCTCTCGACCCAATGCAGAGATGACACAAATATGCATGTGAAGCATATTGTAGGAGCAACAGTAAAGACAGGCAACCTTGTTCTCGATGTAGTCTTTGAGGCGCTACATGGCTGCCTGGATCCAATCTTGAACACGAGATGTGGGCCCATTGGCCTTGCGAAGTGGAAGACCCGACAATTTGCGCGTAGGGAGCTGAAGATGCCACTTGCACACGGAGCATATCACCTGTTGTTCTCGCGGCAGCTTTTGTTTAGCGATCTGCTCAGCAGAGAAGAAGTTGCCGTGCAGCCCGTGCAGTACGCGCTGTGGAAGCTGTACCCGCGCAATAATATTTTGTGTGTTGGCTGCGACGATGATTCATAGCTCACTCGTCGCATTGGGCCACACGGTACCAGTCAGTTGGTCCAGTCCTGTGTTCTTGTCGAAAGCGTAGGAAAGGGGATAACCATCGTCTTAGGACTGCGCATTTCTGCGTGGAACAAAGGAGGAATCCTGCGCATACCAGCCCTTTGGCTTCGCAAAGAGGCAAATGTCGTTTGCAACAGCAGCGCGTGAGTTTGCTTGAAGTGTCTTACTCTTGCGAAATTTGCTCGGCCGTGCGCTTATCGCCACACTCTGTGTGTGCTAACGTACCTGCCACGCATGCCTTGCGACCTCTGGCAACCAACCTCTTGACATTCATCTTGACGATGCAGTCGACCTTGGCAGCAAGCTTTGAGACTTGCATCGAAACTGCCATGACGCGTCGAAGTGCCTTAGATGAACGCTGCGACGTTCATGATCGATGAAGGGTTGAGAGAAGGAACCTCGATGGGCACATTGGAGTGAGTGAATTCGGTCGCCAATTTCCCCTCATCTTCAAAGCACCAGTAGTACAAGTGACACTTTTCAGCCTCACTTTTGCCCTTTGGCAACGCATTGGCTGGAGATTGCATATTCCCGGCCGTGTAAATGAGCGTTGCGCTGTTCATTCTGCATGCGAGCAGATTCAGTCGGTTACCCTGGCCCGCAGCATCGTCCCAAGCGTTCGCCGTGTAAGAGACGACGAAGCTATCATCGATCTCAACCCAAGCAACATTGATTGGCCCATGCCGCGGAAATCTGCCAAAGCGAGCAGCGCGAGACGGATCGTAGTCGAGAATGTTCTTGCACAAGAGAAGATTGATGGGGTCAAGGCTGAGCGGATGGTCGATAATGATAGTACCCGAAGAGCTGCACCCTAAGTCGCACATGATCTTTAGCTTTGAGAGCCCGGGTATAATGGCTCCTAGCATAGGTGTCGTCAAAGCGGCCTTGCTGCTTCGAGTCAGGAATTGGAATCACGCTGACTCGGAGAAAAGGTTTGACGAGTGAGATGTGATATAAAATCATCTCTCCTGTGATGGGATCAATCTTTGGCTGCAGGCAAGCCATGTTGAGGAGCGTTAGATGCCAGCTGCAAATAACAGATATGTTTTCTTGTGCATTTTACGTGAGCGGTGGTGTACTCCATAAAATGCATGTGCAGCGCATTCAACCCGTTTTCCCATTCTTTCGGTGCGAGATCTTGTCCAGTGTACCAGCCCACTGACTCGAGGCCTGCCAGCTGGACTTACATGGGTGGTCTGCTCTCGCATCCGCCGAACACCTTACTGTCGTCCCACCAGGCCGTCGCATTGGCCAGGCTTAGCCACTTTGCCTTGTCGTCTTCCCTCTCGAAGCAGAGGAAAGGCAGCCAGGGGTTGGCATAGAATAAGAAAGCCCGCATCATGGAGACAAAGAGACTGGTATGAGCAGAGGGTGAGACAAATGCCGCAATTGTCGGTGTCACAGGTGCCTGTGCGTCGACATGTGTGATGGGATAACGGCGGTGAGGATGAAGTGATTGACCAACTGCGGTTGGGTCTCCATTTCTTCCCGTACTCGCCCATGGCACTTAAAAAGCACGCCAGCGAGCATTACATCTCATCGAACCAGTGGCTTGCCTTGTCGTTGTTCACCTGACTGGGACTGGGACTGCCACCGTTGCGAACATACTGTCCATCAGCTAGCTCACGCGGCATCTACCCTTGCACCACCTAACACAGCATCAGGCACATCTCCTTGCTGACCGGTGCGTTATTTCCGCTTAGATATGGGTGCGTGAGCGGGGGAGTGCGTAACGGCATATTTGCTGTGTTTGCATACGGCGGCTGCAGAGGCAAGCTGCTTGAGATTGCGTTAACTTTCCCGAATTTCCTGCGATGTGGAAGTGTTTGCTGTGCTTTTCTTCTTCTGCTTCTTCTTCTTCAACAGTCGCCACGGTGACGAACCAGTCGGATCTGGTTGCCTTGGTGATATTACTTCTGGTGAATCAGCGCTGATCTTTGGGAGTGCATAGCTGCGAGAGCCGAGTGGCTCTTGGCGTGGAAAGCTTGAGGCTCGAGCGTCAGCGAGGGGGCATCAGTCACGGAATAATATAAGGTGCGCATCCTGCAGCAAACCGAGGGAGATGCTCTTGGAACTTGTCAGACCAGTGTCTTCAAGAGTAGAGCCCGAAAATGTGGGAAGTGGACCGTGACGTTTGATCCATGATGAAGTTGGCAGAGGTCATATCAACACAAGAAGAGGAGTCGGTCGGAGAATCAATGGAACCTGCACACATTCAGTCAGTCGCAGCCTGCCTCGGTTACGCGAATTGCGCAGTTTGTATGCGGGGCGGGCGAGAAGGAGATGACACATCAGAAACTCTCGATACGTGGTTGTCTCCTAAAGGCAAGGTAACGACGAAAGCGTGTGGAAATGGTACTGGTCCATAAGGAAGAGCAGACCAACGTTTCAACACTCGGCGGTCAGTGTGTTCAACGTGCGATGAGCATTCCTTTTCGTATTGCCATCGTCGTCTTGAGAGGCGCGAGTGATCAGCTGTAACAGTCAACCGCATCATCATAATCCAGCCCTTGCTCAGGGCCATTTTGAGCGGAAGGGGGAGTCCCAGGGGAAAGGAGAGCTCACGGTTTCTCAAGCATTTTTGGTGGATCTGATTACAGCCATCCGCTGGGCTGCCGGGTCGGAATCATTCCGCCGAATGATCAAACGACGCCATCTGCGTGAGTCGGCGACCCTAGAATCTAAGGGCACGGTCCTCATTCAACTCTCATGGGCTCCCATGAACCCATATTAATACAACTCGCTCGACGCTCGATCCCAACGAAGACTCACCCCCGCTCGCAGTTGGGGGACCAGGCTTCTGGAGTCGGACGCTCAGCGGCCCCGGTGCAAGCCACACGCGGCAGCTGAGGCTCTCGTGGAGGAACAGGCCCCGCACGGTGTAGCCAAAGAAGGTTATTTTCATGTCACAGCCGTCTTGAATCAGATCTGTGGCCCGCCGTCCCGGCAACCATGCGCAGAGACCCTTCGACCATCGACTCGGGGTTCTGCACTTTTGCCTTCGATTCTCTCTTGATAGACCGAATGGGGGCCTTTTTGTTGACGCGTGTGACAAAGAGGAAGTCGCCAGGGTCAGGAAAAGGTAGCTTCTTGCTTTACCAACGGGCTACCATCTACAGACGGTCCGCAACACCATTTTGGCTTTAGCCTCCTCCCACCGCTCCTCTACCGCTTTCGAAAGGGAAGAGAAAGCTTTCACCCAATTTTACGTCAGAAAGCCATCTGCCTCAACGTGCCGTCTCTGCCGCATCTCTGACAGGCTGTGACAAGATGGCCTCGAACCATCCGACCGTACGTATCTGACCGACTCTATTCATTAGATCAAAGTTTCAAACAGCTGCCAGACCGCCAGCTGCTGTCTCCGGTCGCTACCCGTACCTCCAAATCGACCCGTCCGATGGCCATATGTGGATCACTGAGATCGCTCGCCATTCTACCTAGCGTCAGCACGTTGCCAAACAAAGAAATGGCGCTCTTGATCCTGTGACAACACTAACTCTCGTCGCGACGCACTCCTTGCATGGATCGTATTGACGTTGCGAAAAATGGCTGAAAGTGTACACAATGGAAGCCAACTCCTTTTACCACCGTGCTGTGAGGTCTTATAAATGCTGCGATTCAAAGCTAGAGTGGTATACATCGTGATAAGGCGTATTTACGGACACACATATGTTTTTTTGCCATCCTCAGTAGCAGTTGCAGCTGTTGTCTATGAGCTCACACCTGCAGGACATCCCGCCCGCCGCCCGCATCCTACCGCTGCGCTGAAAAGCAAGAATGTCATCTCTGATCGCCTGGTCTAATCAGGCCGTTCAGCTGAACTTGGCCCAGTCCCTACCTGGCATTTCCATCATTGGGCCCATACCCCGACTTCCTCTGGGCCGTCTTCTCCATCATGGTGCTTCCTTCCTTGATGAGCAGAAATATCCCTTTTGTGCTAGCATGTGAGCGCGCAATGCTGGCTTTCCGGCGCTTACGCTCTCTGCGTTCACCTTTACCAAGGTTTCGCGCGGCCAGCGCACTGTCAACTACCTCGCAGCAGCTGTGCTCGGCACTAGGTCGATTGCCTACTCACTTGCATCCGACCTCGGTGAAACGCCTCCCATCGTCTAGTTCCTGCACGACAGCTGGGTGCAGACGGGCAGCGCGTCAGCGGCCTTCCAACGCAGTAGATCTGGTACGAGCACTAAATCGACTGGACCATCACCATACCGCTCCTGCTCGTCACGCTCCTCCTGACCAGCCCGATTCCGCTGTCGACCGTTTGCATGACGATTTTTATCGACTTGGTCATGATTGCTACCGGTCCTATCGGCGCACTGGTCGCTTCTAACTTCAAGTGGGGTTACTCTGCGTTTGGATGCGCTGCGTGAGTTTCCCCGTGCAACTTTGCTTTGCCTGAAAGTGTTGATTCCGTGCTGACCCTGTTTCATCCGCACTCTGCAGCCTCTTCTGGATCTACTTCGTGCTCTGCGGTCCGGCGCTCAAGGCGGCTAAAGACGCTAGCGATGACCAAATCTAGATGGCGTACCTGTCCGGCACGTCTGCCGTCTCCTTCCTCTGCCTGTTCTACCCAATCGCCTGGGGTCATGCGGACGGCGGCAACGTCATCCACTCAGACTCAGACATAGTCTTCTACGGCGTGCTCAAAGTGCTGGCCAAGCTCAACTTCATGCTCTATCACACCTGGGCGCTCAGCAAGGTTATATATGCCAAGTTCGGCCTTAGCGGCAGCAAAGCAAGACGTCTATCTGTGAGGAGCTTTCGGTGGGCATTTTCGCTGCCAAACCAGCATGCGACGGCACAGCTGCCGAGACTACTCAGTAGGCTTAAATCGCGATCGGTTCCGCTCACCTTACTATCAAGCCCCGGGTCGAATGCTCGCTCGGCCGACGCTCGCCCAAGCCAGTGCGTCGAAAACCGTGGCCTCCGGCCAACAAGCACGCACTATCAACCCAACATGCACGCCACACATGCGCCATCCCAAAGTCTTAGTCCTTGCCTCCGCCGGCATGCAGCAAATAGGCACTTTCACCCCCTTGGTAGACTAACGATTCTCTTGCCTGTCTCCTGCTTGCGGAATACCCTCCTTGCGTGATTCTCCCCAGGCTGCTCTGTATCGGTGACGATGGCTTTAGGAAATGCGGAAGTCAGAGTGGACTGGTCTTTCAGTATGTAATTTCTATCACAGTGCGCTTTGTATCTTGTATGCTAGGATCACTTATTGCCTGGTGCGCATGAGATTCCTTCCTTTGCGTCGCTCATCGCTGCTCCACTCGGCGTGAATATATATATATATATCTGATAATGTAGTGAGTCTATCTATGATTACAACATGGCGAATGCGTGTACAATACATGGATGTGCATGAATGCAGCTGAACAACGCAAGTGTAGAAACGCTTCTGAAACATCTGCCCGCGGAGCATGCTACTCCGCCACCCACCCGTGGCCCCACTGGAAGCGCTTGGCTGCCGGCGCACCAGGCCGCCAGGTCGTCTCTTCGCGCTCGGCCGCGAGCCACTCGGCGATGGCGTCTACCTCAAGGCTCGCAGCAGTCCGCACCGCGCCTCCTCCCTCGTCGGCGCCATCACCATCGTCTTCATGTTGCACATCGTCGTGCGTTGTCTGCTCCTCCGCCTCGGCCATCCAGTGCGCAAACGCGCCTGACATGCCCGTCGGGAACTGGTCTTCACCCTGCGGCCCGAGCGTGTGGAGGAATGTAGCAAAAGAAGGCGGTAGCTTCTCCCGCTCCGTCGGTAGGCCTGCGCTGTTGCCCACGCCTTCACGGAGCGGGTCGGCGTCCGCATCTGCATGTATGGCGGCGGCGGCGGCGGCGCCGCTCCCATGGTGGTGATAGCCTTGCGGATACAGCCGATCGAACGCCAGATCCGCCCAGACCTCGCGGTAGGCCGGCGCGGGATGCTGCAGCTGTGCGCGCAGCAGAGCATTGTGCCCACCTTTGCCTGGGCCGAACTTGACAAAGGGCCAGTCCGGCACGCGTGGAATCTGCTGCGTCTTGGCGCGCAAAGTGATGTGCGCAGGAAGGCCATCGAGCGCACCGCCGCCGCCGTGCGTGGCATCTGCTGCAGCTGGTTTGGGGCCTGCAGCAGCAGCGGCGGCGGACTTGTTGCCCTGCGCCTTGCTTGCGTTCGCGCTGTTTGCCAGAGCCATATTCATGTGCAGCCGCGGCGATAGCTTTGGCTGCGACGCGTACGGCGCAGCGGTGCGTGCCGGTGCGTACAGGTTGCCGAAGGGGTAGGAGATGTGGTACTCGTTTGGTAGCTGCTCACCGTCTTCGTCTGTCGTAGGCAGAATCAGGTGCTCCGGCGCAGAGACATCTACAGATGGGAAGTGGTCATATTTGGATGGTGTTGGCGCTGAAGGCAGATCTGAGGGGACCCTTGCGGGTGGGCACTCACTGTCGTTCTCCAGCGTCGGCCGCCAACGACGCGATGCTGGGTCATAGCCGAGGCGCTCCTCCTCCTCCGTGCGCTCCTCTTTATCGCGGTTGTACCGCTCAATGTCCATGAACGTCGGGGGGAACTGGAAGGTGTTGTTCAGCGCGAGGTCCGACCCGAACGCTCCCCCTGACGGGATGCTGCGCGTGCGCGACGAGGGCTGCTGCGAGCCGAAGCGGGCAGCGCTGCTGTAACTGCTTTCGCTGCTTCGATACAGCGTCTCCGGAGGGCCGGCACTGTGGAAAATGCCATAGTGTGCATCAGACGGCATGTCGAGCAGAGAACTTTTCCCAGCGTGGGCTTTCCGTACCCTGCTTCGACTAGGGCAGCCCGCCCTGTTCTACGACAAGCCGGAGTGCGAGTGCCGCTGTTTGCCGCCGCGCGTTGTAGATGCACCCAAAGGTCTACGGCACAGGCTCACCCGCTTTGCTCGATTCGGAAGATGTACGACTCTTTCAAGCAGGGAGTTGGCATGGAATGAATCGAAGAGGAAGAGCTGACTTGGCATAAGAGAGGGGGCAAAGCACGACCGCCATCCAACCTGCTACTCAAAAATATGTCGTGAGCAAGGTAGGGTTGTATCCATCTTCGGTGCCGAGCGGTGGGAGTACGTGTGTGAGTGCCAAGCGTTGTATTGGAAAGCATCTTCTAAGAAGCTCTCCCAGTGGCATAGCTTTGCTTTCTTTTAAGCTTGCATTGCTTTCTTTCTTTTGAGCCTTCCCCCGCATCATCGGGTGTCGCTTAGAGAGCACTGTGCAGATATGTCTGCCTACTTGTATACGTACATTTCTATATATATATATGTAAGTGTGTGTGTATATGAATAAGGACGTCTGGGCTGTGTACACTCGGCAACTGACTCCACACAAAAGTAAACATTCCCAGCCTCACACCACACCACCACGCCCGTAAGCAGGCAGAGACGCGCCCGAGAGAGACAGAGATAGGGCAGACCCGATCGGATGACACAACGCACGACACTCGCGCCACATAGCACGGGCCACGAAGGTGAGTCGGCACAGGTACTTGCGGACATGGACTTTCGCGGGCGCTGGGGCCTGGGCGAGGCTGACGAATGACGCTTCCACGCTGCTGCGCAATCAAGTCGTGTTCGCAGTAGCAAGACAGCAACTGGGACATTCACCGATTACGGACGGCTTATGCGATGCAAACAGAGCAGCGGGCCCTGCCTAGCTCGGCCCTTAAATTGGACGATTTGATCGGCTCAGCAGCAGCGGCGACGGCGGCGGCTGTGGCACCAGCTACGGCGGCTTTAAGGCCCATCGACACGCATACAAGCTGTGCAGTGGCAACATGCTCTCATACCAAGGCGCAGCATGTCGCTCGGCAGGCCGAAAATACATCGGCGCCAGAGCAAGCAGCTGGCCAGCAGCAAGTGGAGGAGGAAGAGATCATCTCGCCCTTATTCGATCCTTCCGGCTTGAGCTCTTCCATCTCCTCGGGCGACACACGGGCCCGAGGCAATAGTGGCAGCAGCATCAGCAGCAGCGTGGGCAACACAGTTGGATGGGGCTCCTTAGACCTGAATTCAGTCACGGCCAAAAGGCTCGGCATTGCATCGCCCTACGCGACCTCGCCCACGCGCCGCCCACTCACGATCCATGAAGCAGGAGATGTAATGGGGACGGAAAAGAACCAGGAGGAGCAGTGCCAAGCGATCGACCATCGTAGAGGTCGCCGGCGACGCAGCTCCGTCATCTTGGGCGCGTCGCTGCCTAGTGCGCAGCAGCAGCAGCAGTCACTGCAGCCACTGCAGCAGGAGGATGCTGAAGCCGGCATGTGGTGGGCGCGTCGTGACCCAGCGGTGCAGCAGCAGACGGCCCTTTCTTCGATCACTCCAGCGGGAGGCAGCCCGGCCGCAGGTGCAGGCGTTATCACGAGCACGGCAACCGCCAGCGCAGGAGGCAGTAGCTCCGAGCGGACCATTTCGCCCGCTGCAGAGTTCCTTTCCGCCTTCTCACGCGTCTACTCGGTGGTCGGGTCACCCACCAGCGACCGGTCGCTCGCCTCCTCCGCCATCGCCGAATCACCTCCTTCGATGCTTGTAGCAGCGGCAGCTCCAGTGACGGTGTCGCCGTCGCGGCGAGAGAGCCAACCGTCCGCAGGCACGATGCCCAGCTCCGCAGCCGCAGCCGCACCCGCTCCGGGTGCGGCTGCGGGTGCAGGAGCTGGGTATCAGGGCTTTGGCACTGTGGGCAGCGAGCTACTCAACAGCCGCCGGACCGTGAACGCGAACATACGCACGCGAAACGTCGCGCTCTCCCAGTCGCCAACGCCCTTATCCGCCAGCAAGGGTGGCACACATCGGCGCGTGTACAGCTCCAACCTTGAGTTGCTTGCCAGTGCTGGTACTTACGACGTGGGTGCAGTTTCAGACATCGGAGCTGGAGCAAGCGTGCGGACCGCGCCCTCGTTCAAGCCGCGCTCGGCGCTGTCCCTCTCGCCGACACTGCAGCAGCGCTTCGCCGTCGCCCATGCGCTTGGCCTCGGATCCGGCAATGGCCAATCCAACAGCTATGGCCCGTACTCACAGGAGCGTGAGAGAGGGCGGACATTCAACGGAATGCCGAACGCGAGCCTTGCGCCGCACGCTTATTCGTCCTCTTCTACGCCTTGGACGCAGATGCCCGACGACGAGGGTGCGCGAGTCGGGCCCGGAGGCAGGTACCTGCTTGGCAAGGTGTTTGCGTTCGGCGGCTTCTCGACGGTCAGAGAGGCTTTTGACCTCCAGGACGAGACGGAGGATCGTACACGCGCGCAGGGCTCGCACCCGCAATGGCAGCCTGCCCAGGAGGAAGCGCGCGATGGGCCGACGGCGCCTGATGGTGAGGGCGAGAGCATGGCTGTCGCACCACCAGTAGAAGCATCAGCGCCGCGCCGCCGTGTCGCCGTCAAGCTTATCTACTCTGACTCGTCGTCGAATTTCGGCATCGGCGGGACGAGTAAACACGCCAAAGTCATGGGTCTGGACAAAGGTCAGATCCTCAAGGAGATGGAGCTCTGGCGCGATCTGCCAATCCACAAGAACATTCTGCCCCTCATCTGGCACGAACGCATCGTCTTGTCGCGAGGCGAACGGGAGGAAGAAGCAGATGCCGATACAGACGCGACGCGATGCGTATCGGGCCCGGCAGAAGCGACTGCTGTCGACCTGCTTGTTATGCCGCTGTGCGATCGCGGATCGTTGCTCGAATTCGTGCGCAGCGAGGGCAAGCCAGCCATTGTTGGGCACAAAGCTGGCTTGGCCATATCGCGCACAGCAACGATACAATCTGCGACAGACAGCGACAAGTCTGGCCCCATCACCAGCTCCTCCTCGCTCGCTCCAATCGTGCAAGGCGAGGTCGCAGCGTCGTCTACACCGTCGTCGCTGCTGAAAGGAGGCGGCTTGCACCGCGCTGTATCTCTCTCGACGCACCTGCCCTCGTCATCCTCACGTGCGGGTCTTCCGCCTCTCAGCACCGGTACGAGCAGCCTGCAAGCGGTACTCGGCACATCTAGTCTCGCATCTACGCTCACCTCGCCCATCGCGAGCGCTGGACCGTCTTCGGCATCCGGCTCCCTGACGCATACCGGCAGCTTCCGCCGTGCCAGTTCCCGCCAGTCAACCGTCCGCAGCCGTGGCGTGCCCATCGTGACGGCTCGAAGTGTCATGCGCCAGCTCGCGAGCGGCCTGCACGTACTGCATGAAGTAGCGGGCGTGCTGCATGCGGACCTCAAGCTGGAGAATGTCCTCGGACACTCTAGAGTCCCTCGGAAGACTGACAACGGCGATAGCCAGGGTCAGCTTGCGGGTGCGAGCGATGATACAGACGATGTGCAATGGCGTATTGCGGACTTTGGCCTGGCTGTCCGGTGTGAAGTGGGAATGGACGATGCGGATAGAGTTCGGGGCAAGGTGGTACCGCAAGGCGGCTCACTAGCCTACACAGCACCCGAGCTCCTGCGTGGCGAGACGCTAAAAGCTTCTGTTGAGGGTGGCGACGGGTGCGCCGGCATGAACACGCCCTCACCTTTTGCGACCGACATGTGGGCGGTTGGTTGCATGCTATATGCGCTCGTCAGCGGTAAGCTGCCCTTCGCCGACCCCTTTGAGCCGCGCCTGCAGAACAAGATCATCAAGGCTGACTGGGACATGCCGGTACGCCTTAAAAGACGCGGACAAGCCAGCGGCATGCTCTCGTCGAGCAGCTCCATGCTGCTTTCACAGAAGGATCGCTCGCAGAGCTTTGTTGCTCCGCCGCACTCGCCGACCAACAGCCTCGGCCGCGCGCTGAGCTTGGGCAATCGGTTCACCAGCACAAACCGGCACGTCTCTCATGCATTCCGTGGCAGCCGCTTTGGCGACTTCTCCGGTGCTGGTTTCAGTGTCGGCGCCGGTGACGACTCGATCGATCGATCATTCGACCTTAGCCAGTCGCTTTCCAGTCTCGCCCCGCAAGGCACGGCCACCAACGATATCTTTGTGGGTTCTGCGCCGGCGTCCAGCACAGCAATAGATCACGAGCCAATCGACAGCGATGAAGACGCAGAGTCCGATAGCGATGCTACCATCGACCAGGCATGGAATGGTACTTCCAAGCAAAGGCTTCTCCTGAGAAAGGCGCTACGTGGCCTGCTGCAGCCGGATCCTGCAAAACGCTGGGACGTACGCACGCTGCTGGAATGCGAGTGGCTGAGGGGCGAGGGCGGTGACGAAGCTGTCGAGTGCGAGCCGGTCCAGCCGCTCGTCTTTGAGAAGCGCAAGCCAATACAGGAGCGGGGTAGGAGCAGGGTGCCGTCGCAGACGCGCCAGTCGAGCCTCAGTCGCTCACGACCTGCCAAAGGGCGAAGCTCGACCGAATCTGGCATGCACTCTGCGCTCAGCACGCCGCCCGTAGCAGCGGATGGCGAGCACCCTGCCGCACCGTCTGCATGGGTGAGGGCTTCCAGTGTGGCGGCGACCGCTCGCAGCCGGAGCGTAGGCAGACGTCCGCCATCGGCCGCTACTTCGGGCGACATTAGCCCCCTGTCGCCGGAGTGGTCGCGCTTGATCATCGAGCAGACTAGACTCGGCAGCCCTGGGCCGGCGCATGGCAGGCGGCCGCTTCGAGCTTCGACTAGTCGCGAGTCGCTACACTTTAAAGGCTTCCTGCCGAAGTCTGGCTCCAGCTCCCCGATGCTCTCCATGACGGACGTCGAGTCTCACCCTTCTTCCGCTGCCGCCGCCGCAGCTGCTGGACAACGTAATGGTGGCAGCAGCCCGGTCGAGATCCAACCTCGCTCACTGTCGCGATCACGCGGGAGTCGAAGCGGTTCGGCTCAGCGCATTGCTCATGAGAACCTCCTTGCTGGCGGTGGCGGCGAAAGCTGGGCGGGCAGCCCCATGACGACCGGAGTCGTCGTGCACCATGAGCACATCGCGCGACGCTCCACCTCGCGGAGTCGGACGCGTGCGCCGGACATACTTGCCAGCATCCTCGATCACGATCGGGCACACGGTGTCTACGCATCCATGCATCACTATGGCGGTGGGAGCGGCTACAGGGAGAGGACGATCGAGGAGGACAGCAGGGACGATGAGAGACGCGATGAGGAGCAGGGAGAGGAGAAAGAAGAGGAGGACAGAGGACGTGCACGCAGTCGCGGGATGAGGTGAAGCGATGAGGGGGAGGCCAGCAAGCAGCTCCGCTCCCGTGTAGCATCGCACAAAAGACTGATTGCATCGCAACTGCATTTCATACAATCTGCTCTTCGCCGGAGAGAACATTCAGCCGATGTCTACAGCAACGAGGTAGGCGAGAGAGGCCGTCAGCTGTCAGCCACGACAATGGCAAGGGCGCTCCTTGTGGATGCAACTCACATTCTGACCGGAGAGCCTGCTTGCGCGCCTGTAGCAAGAATGTTTCTATTTCTGTACGGTCGGGTACTTTTGGTGCTTGTAATTGTGCCACGGGAAGAGCAAAGAGATAGGAGGAAACGAGGACATCGACCTGCTCGTTGTCCTCGTCGGCACCCTCGCCTTCGGCTGTATCGGAATTCATCTCATCTCCTGCCACTCCATCCTTCCGGGCCCTTTTAGGCCCTCGACCTTGTACCTGTTTGCTCTCTTTCCGTTTGTTCCCCACCTTGTCATCCACCGGCGCACCAGGCGCCTGCGCTTCAGCTCGCGGCATCGGCCACACCCCCTCAGCACTGTCGAGCTCTTGCCCCTCGCAGCCTAGATCGAGTAGATTTTTTCGTAGCCGCTCGGACCAATCTCGCCGTTCCTCAGCAGCTTCCTCGGCGAGAAGCACCCCATCCCGTTCATCCTCGTCTCCGTAGTAAGCCGGCGATTGATCCATGAAGCGCCGGTACTTGGTCGCGCGGAAGGACTCGCGCTGCTCTTCCGTCTCAGTCGACCTTTCGAGCAGCTCTTTGACGCCCGGTAGGTCTTTTGCGCGGCCAAAGTACCTGTGCAGGCGACGCATAAAGAATCATGTCAGCGCAACGAGTCTGTGAGTCTGCTGAGAGATAATCGATGCTTGATTCGGACGCACTTGTACCCTCGACTCCCAGGAACTTCCTTGCCGCTATCGTCCATCATCCGTGGTACGCCTCGCTTGTAGTTCGCACCGCCTAACGCGATGATCTGGTTCTCCCAATGATTCTTTTCGCGAAGGAGCTTATTGATTTCATCGTTGAGATCTCGTACCTCGTAGTCGGTCAATCCGACTGCAGTTCCAAGGTGAGTGCGAGAGAAATCCGTCCGTCAGAACAGCTCAATTCTTTCCTCAAAGGGGCTATCCTCGTAGCTCACAATCTTGAATTTTGGACACCTTTCTGCTGATTTCGCGCAGCACCTCTCCACGCCATCGTTCGCACTCTTTGAGATCCTTAACGCTGGATGCGAGCCGAGGCCGCCGCTCATTCTTGCGTGTCCCAAAGCCTAGCTCGGCGGCTTGCGCTTCGCGGAAGCGATAGAGCATCGACTGCGCCTTTTCTTCGTTACGCGCCATCTTGAGGCAATTCGGATGCGGCTACAGACTGGGGTCAGATGGTAGTCGATGAATCACTCCAACGTTAAATACGCTGTCTTAGTGGACCAGGGGAGGGTCTTGCCTTGGCCTTTGGAGGGCTTCGAAGGTTAGTTGGTGGTCCTTAGTTGCTGTTCAAAATGAAAGTGAGCCAAGTGACCAACAGTCGAAGCTGGAGGTTTGTCTCTCACTCTCTCGTCTCATGGCTGTGACTCTTTCGGCCGAAAGCCAATTTCCCGCTACGCAAGCCACCCTGCTGCGAGACTGAAGTGCGTGCGCTGTGAGTAATATGCAAGTTCCATCACTGACGGCGCATCGGGACCGTAGGAGCATCAAGCCCCCCAAAGGCAGGTCGACTAGCTGACTATATACACGTTGAGCCTTGACATCGATCTGCAGAATTGTCTGCGACTTTACACCTCGATCAACATAGACTCTCCGGCTTCTTAGCATGGCAGGATTCTCGCGATCCAGCGCCCCTGACCGCTCAGCATATGGCCGAGTCGGCGCAGATAGTGCCGACCGGTATGCCTACGGAGGCGGCGATCGCTCAGCCTATGGCACCGCTGGCACGGGTGCTGACGGCGGTGCTGGATATGCGACATACTCTTCCTCAAGAACTGCAGGTGCCGGCGCTGGTGCGCCCGGTGCCGGCTACGGTCAGGCTGCGCTGCCGCCGCCGCCGCCCACACGCAAGCCCGTAGGTGCAGGCTATGCCTCCTCGGGCTACGCAGATGACAAGGCAGCATATGGTGCTGGAGGTGGCGCAGGTCGAGGAGGCTGGACCATCGTCGTCTCGCCGCCTGAACATATCCTTTCGAACGCCATCGTTGTCAACCCCCAGGAATGGGGTGGAGTGCAGTACGTTCTCGTCGATCAGCACTTTGTTTTCACAGCAGTGTGAGTGAATGCAAAAGTGCAGAAAGCAACAAGTTGATATTCAATAGCTGACTACGTAATTTCATGGGTGGATTGGTTGGCAGCGCCGATCGCACACGGGCCGTTCAACCCGGCACCATCGGAGCAGGCGCGCTGCAGCGCGAGTGGGCAAGACTGAGTCAGGGGCAAGAGGTAGCCGTGCAAGCGTTCGATCCTTACTCGCAAGGCAATGGTATCTACCTTGCAGGACTTGACTTAGAGGTAGATTTCCTCGCACGTGGAGCCGAGAACAGAGAGCCTTATAGCCAGGATGAAATGGCGGAGAATTTCCTTCGGGTGCGTTCTGGAGTCATTACACGAAGCGACGAGTTGTTTCTGATCAGTGCCCTTGTGGTTGCTGTTTGCAGTCATTCAACGGTCACATCTTCTCGGTAGGACAACTGATCGTGCAAGAATTCCACGGCGTCAAGTTGAAATTAGAGGTGAAAGGCGTAAATGTCGTCGAGGCAGCACAACTACAAGCCAAGAATGCTGCCCAGGCACCAGGTCACACTTCCTACCGTGGTATCCTTATGCCTGAGACTACCATCACATACCTCAAATCGAAAAAGAGCATTCTCAAGCTCACGGGAAGCGCCAAGCGTGGACCCACGAACGCTATACTCGCGCCAAACTTCAAATTCGAGGATATGGGCATCGGCGGTCTTGACACTGAATTTGCCGCCATCTTCCGACGTGCGTTCGCCTCACGCATCTTCCCGCCTGCGCTCGTCGACAAGCTTGGCATCCAGCACGTCAAAGGGATCATCCTTTATGGGCCACCGGGTACGGGTAAGACTCTTCTGGCGCGCCAGATTGGCAAGATGCTCAACGCACGCGAGCCAAAAGTCGTCAATGGCCCCGAAATCCTCAACAAGTACGTCGGTGCCTCGGAAGAGAATATCCGGAAGCTCTTCGCGGATGCGGAGAAGGAGTACAAGGAAAAGGGAGATGAGTCGGGCCTGCACATTATCATCTTTGACGAGCTGGACGCCATATGCAAGCAAAGAGGCTCGACCGGCGGCGGCACGGGTGTCGGTGACTCGGTCGTCAACCAGCTACTGTCCAAGATGGACGGTGTCGACCAATTGAACAACATCCTCATCATCGGCATGACGAATCGGTTAGACATGATAGACGAGGCCCTCCTGCGTCCCGGGCGGCTCGAGGTGCCTGTTGAGATCAGCTTGCCAGACGAGCATGGTCGCCAGCAGATCATCTCAATCCAGACGAGCCAGATGCGCAAGAACGGCGTGATGGACTCGGACGTGGACATTCCTGAGCTGGCAGCGCTCACGAAGAATTTCTCAGGCGCAGAGATTGCAGGTCTCGTCAAGAGTGCCACATCGTTTGCGTTCAACCGCCATGTCAAGGTCGGCACCACTGCGGGCATCTCGGACGACGTGGAGAACATGCGCGTCAATCGCGATGACTTTATGCACGCACTGGACGAGGTACATCCCGCCTTTGGCGTATCGGAGGAGGAGCTGCAACAGGTCGTCTCGAACGGCATCATGCACTTTGCTCCGCACATTGACGTGAGTGGTTGCAAGGTAGCCAGAGCTCAGCTATGCATATGCACGAAAGGCTCGCTTTGCTGACGCGACACTCCACTTTGTTTGTATGCTTACCTTTCTGTCTACTCACGTAGTCCATCCTCCGCGACGGCCAGCTACGTGTCGAGCAGGTACGGACCAGCTCGCACACACCGCTCGTCACCGCGCTGCTGCACGGCCCGCCTGGGTCCGGCAAGACGGCCCTGGCAGCCACAATCGCGATGCAGTCGGGTTTCCCGTTCATCAAGCTCATCTCGCCGGAGAATATGGTCGGCATGGGTGAAGCGCAAAAGATTGCGTATATGAACAAGGTATTCAACGATGCGTACAAGTCCCCGCTCAGCGTCGTCGTTGTCGACTCGATCGAAAAGATTATCGAATGGGTCCCGATCGGCCCGCGCTTCCAGAACGCCGTCTTGCAGGCTCTCTCTATCCTCCTTGGCAAGAGGCCGCCAAAGGTGAGCCAACCTATGCCTGCGAGGTGTGTCGAAGTGCTTTTTGTTGACTCAAAGCTTGTCATTCGTTTATTCAGGAACGACGACTGCTCGTCCTTGGTACGACTTCGAACAAGCCGATGCTGGCCGAGATGGAAGTAGCCGATGCTTTCCTCGCGGACATCCGTGTGCCGGCTATCTCTTCGCTGCGCTCCTTGGACCATGTTTTGCGGGAGATGCGACTGTTCGAGAATCCGCAAGATCACACTCGCTGTATGCAGCTGCTCGAGAGCGCGGGACTCGGCGAAGATAGATTGCACATCAGCATCAAGAAGCTGCTCTCCGAGATAGAGATGGCACGCCTGGATGATGACCCTGCTGACAAACTCCTGGCAGCGCTCAATCAAGTGTAATCCGCACGAGGGAAACCACACGAATAGAAAACGGACATCATGTTCGCTGGCTAGGGATGAGCCGATACGTATGCTACGCAAAATAACGCCCGTGCTTGCAAAGATTCTTAAAAGTACAGTCTTCATCTACAAAAGCGCGGCTCGGGCGGCTAAATAATCACGGAAGACATATTCGCAGCGCAGGTCAATTGTTCTGGCTGAATGAATGTCCACACTTGGGACAATCGTAGAAGACGGTGCTGCCTTCGTCTGCACTCCGCAACTGAAGAGTGTGGAATTGCAGCTCGTCGTGCCCGCACTTGGGGCACTTTTCATTGATAGTGGCTGCTTTCTCGCGCTCGGCTGCTTCGCTGGGGTCGCCGAGCGTGGAGACGAGCTGCCTTTTTTGTCGTAGAGCAGAGGGGAAAGCGGTGGGGTGAGAGCGTGTTACTATAGTTAGATTGTCATAAACTGTCATACGAGCAAACCGAGGAGGCGCATCAGAGGTGGCACGGGGAAGTTCAGTTCTCTCTTGGCTCTTCAGACGCTACGAAAGTCATGCGTGGGTCAAACGCACCGCTTGCATCCTGCGCCGTTGCACACGCAGCACACTTGATCACATCCTCGTCAGAAGCTTGGTCCAGCAGGTTGCCGCACGCACTGCAGAACAGCAGTGAGCCGATCTTGTCTTTTTCCCCATATTGTTCACGGAGATATACCGAAAGCGGAGGACGGAGGGGAGAGGAACAAATCGAAGCCAGGGAAGCAGGGTCCACAAACACCAATTAGACGCGAGGGTTAGGAGGAGCGAAGCCATGCAACGAGAAGCAGCTCAACCTGTCAGCCAAGAGATGCGGAGCCTGGATCGATGCGCCCTGACTCACCGGGAAGTGCCTTTGACATCTTCTCTCTACGAGCCTGCGGAGCCTAACAAGCACCCACAACGTACGTAACACTTGACCTAAAGCTCAGAAGAGCATGTAGACAACGAGCACACATCACTTCTGAAGTGACAGTGAAATGTGGAAACAAACATCGAATCGAGCTCGGAACTGGGGAAGAGAGTGATGAGTAGAAAAGTTGTGCTTGTGTTCCGGCTTCCGAGTTCCGCAAAGGGATCTCATAATATTTAGTGTCATATCAGTTGCATGCACAGGCACTAATTCGTTATGAGTCGCTGCATATGGATTACCTTCACTTCCAGATGTATGGCCCAAAATTGAGCATGGCCTGCCAAGGACGCAGAGCTGTGCAGGCTTGTGTTTGTTGCTTCTTCCCATCCTCCAGCCACAACGCGGATCAAACATTTTACAGACATCTGCTTGCTGAAATGCCGCAAACAAAGCCACAGATCGTCGTGTTGGGCATGCCCGCTTCGTCAGTGACAATAGACGCAAGCTGCCGCGGGCATGCCAATGGCAGAGCTCTTAATGCGGTTGCCCCTCATCACTTCAGACGTCCATCATCTCTAGCATGGTACCCCAAGAGAATGTCACTTCGAGCTCATCTTGGCTGAGCCGAAGACCACTTTCTGCCATTGTTCGTCCACCAAAGCGTGCTGTTTATAAACCTCGAGTGACGCTCGAGAGAAGCTTCATCGTTTGACGCCCACGCGTTCCTTGCTTACTCACCCCTGCTACATTCGAAGGAAATATTCCAGCGTCATGAGACTCCTTCACCATCTGACCATTCTCTGCAGCTGCATCTTGGTTCATGGAATTCTCGCATTTCCTTTACGGAGCGATTCTGCCTCGGAACCTGAAGTCTTTTACCGAAGGGATCCTTCCGTCTTTTACAATGAATCGAATTTTCCCGCTCCAGACAAAACCGTAACGATCACGATCACCAGAGATCACTACGCCCCAGGTAAGTTTGAAATTGGCAAAACAATCTTGCTCTTCCGTTCTCTCATTTTCGGCTAATAACGTAAATTCTGCAGACGGTTATGACCGACTGCACTATCTCGTCAACGGTCAATACCCCGGCGAACTTTTGGTCTGGGATGAGGATGACTGGGTAGAAGTGATTGGTGAGGGGCCGAACCCTGATAGGTCAGCTGTGCTGCTCCTGACAAGGCTTGTGAACACATGCCAGTGAACAACAACAGCTCCACGCCATTCACCATCCATCATCATGGGGTCCTGATGCATGGCACTCCGCGTGAGTGGCTCTGCAATTTAACACGAGTTTTGCGATCGTCACGCTGAACAGTATACGCGTCCGTCATTGGCGACAGAAATGGACGGAGTGCCAGGACTGAACCAATGGAATATTCCCTTTGGGGGAAGCTTCACCTACCGCTTCCATCTTCAAGGCCATTACGGTGCTTACTGGGCACATGCTCATACTGTTGGCTATTACAGTGACGGGCTCCGCTGGCCCTTCTACGTTCGCCCAAAGGCCTCTCGGTGTGTCTCACCTGCGGCCGTGCTAAGCTATCAGCTTGAACCATGCTGACGACGTCCCGGAACGCTGCTCTACAGTGCAAAACCTTGGAATCTGATCTCCAATGACAAGGACACGATCGAGCAGCTCGAGTGGGCTGAAGGCAACTTTACAATACAGTTTCGGACAGACCAGCTGCATGTCACAGCCGATGAAATGCTTATTGCTGTTCACACGACTGGTGAGTCACGGAGATTGCCTTGGTGCTTGCTGTATGGGTGCTGAAGCACTGCTCATCTTTTGCAGATATTCCCCCGTGAGCCAGGGCGAGGAGACAGCTGTGGAGAGGTGTGGCGAGCTAAATTGTCTCATTCATGCAGCGTCTGCTACGACTCCTTCCTCATCAACGGTCGTGGGCGTCAGTACTGCCACTCAAACTGGTCGTCCGTCGCTCACGCAGCTGAGCTTGGCCTGCTCGCGTCAACGAGGAACATCAACAGCGGCTTTTCGTCAAAAGGATGCATATCACCGAATCCTGCTAAAGAAGGGTTCGACGCGATCAAAGTATTTGAGGAATACTACGGCGGGCCGTGCCAGAATACGTCGGCTCCTATTACCGTGTACAATGCTGGCGCTTCTCTGGCGGCCGGAAGGCGATGGCTGAACATCCAAGCCATCGAAGCCACTTCGTCGTACGAGGATGCGCTTTCCATCGACAATCACAAGTGCGTGTCGCAATCTGCGAGACTTTGAACATTTTACTGCTGACATGCTGATACCAACTCTCTTGCGCCACCGCTGTTAGAATGTGGATCGTCGCAGTGGATGGCAACTATGTTGAGCCGACGCTTGTGGACGTTGCAGAACTCACCATCGGCTCGCGGTTGAGCATCATGGTCGAGCTGGACGAGTCGAAGGCGTACCGCGACTGGCCCATCCGCTTCACGGGGTTGCGCCCACTGCAGCCGATCGAAGGATTCGCGCTGCTGACGTACAATCAGACCGGCGACTACACAGCGGAAGAGGTAAACCTGAGCATCGATGCGGCTTTCGAGCACCTCTACACGCGCAACAATGCTTCCATCTCGCTTGGCGGCTTGGTCAAGAGCGCTACGATCTGGAACCAGAGCATTGACGTCCCTTTCAACCCGGCCGCGCACGTCCCCACTGCATCGAACGTGACGCTGCACGCCTTCGTGTCGCAGAGCCAGGTCAATGTGTGGCAGGTCGGCGAGCAGCCGATGAACACCGTCAAGGCGGACCAGCAGGATCCTGTGCTGTTCCAGCTAACGGAGGAAGGCAAGACGGTCGCGGAGATCGATTCGAATATGATACAGCTAAGTCAAGCGATTGCAGACTCCTCCATTGTCGACATCGTCGTTCAGAATCCGGTATACAACTACTTTGGGGGTGTGAGTAGTTCTCTGTTTGCGTGTGTTGGCCGTATGCATTGCGTTTTGAATGGATGCCCGCTGACAATTGACGAGGCTCTTTCTTACATACCATCGCAGCAAAGCGCGCTACATCCTTTCCATCTGCACAGGTGAGCTTTCGCAAGGCACAAGCATCCTCCTGACTCGAGCGCTCAAGCCGCAGCGACTTTGCATTGCTGAAATTTTCTGGGTTGTTTTTCTTTTTCCCCTACAGCCACAAATTCTGGGTCATTGGAAGCGGTGACGGTTCCTTTGGATTTGACACGGTAGAGGAAGCGCAGAAGGCGGGCGTTCCTTTTAATCTTGAGTTAGTTTTTGAGATGCGCGCGGCTGATTCAATGCCTTTTGCTGAGATACTTAGAGCAATCGCTACTTCACCGCCCACAGGAACCCTCCGCTTAGGGACGGCTACGATGTACGCGCGAATGGATGGGTCGTTATCCGTTTCGTTGCTGATGCACACGGAGTCAGCATGTTCCACTGCCACATCGTGAGGATGCGTTCGCTGCCGAGTCTGCCAGGCAAGTGACTTCATCTCTGAGTTGCCCACTCATCACGCTTTTCTTGTTTGGCAGGATGACCACCTCGTGCAAGGCATGGCAACAGTGTTGCTCGAGGGCCTCGAGCAAGTGCCTAAAGGCACTTTCTCCAGCAACCTGACAACCCGGCCGGACCAGCTGCGCTCGACCGCCAATGACACAGTGCAGCAAGGGCTGCAGGAGGACTGGGACAATGGCGTTGCAGCGGGCGCGTGGCCTTCGGCCGTGCGCAACGCGTCCGACCCGTGGGGGGATCCCCGACAGCTGGGCGCCTCACTTCAGTCTGTCGCAAGCGCCTACAGCGCCTCGACCGCGGCGGCGGCGGCGGCGAGTTCGACTGCCGCAGCTCAGCGTCGCTAGCGGCTACGTAGAAGACGGCACGGATCGTTCTCGAGCGCGCGCGGTGCGTCTTATCAACTTCCTTATATTTTCATGTGTATCATCTTGGTCGTAACAAACGTTTCAGCTCATGCTTCACCTTAGACGATGCTATACATGTGAATGTTGTTTGAGCGTATGGCAGGAAACTAGAGAAAAAGAAGGGTGGCGGTCCAAATGAGTTATGACGACGAGCGCAGGTGAGAGATTGCCGAGGAACCGGTGCGGCGGCACGTCTCCTACACTGGCCTAGTGCCTCTCTGCGGCCCTTTTTGCGCCACACCACGCTGGCAGTCAACTGGAGGGGATGCGAAGCAACGGTTATATCTCCAACTGGAGCTTGACCTTCCTCCACCTTGCCATCTCGTCTCCCCTGGCTGGGAATCATGCTCCTTGGCAGCGCAGTAGGACCGCACCTGGAGAGCGAATCCGTCCTCGTTGCAGATATCATCTTCCCCCAACGTGGTGTCGAACTCACCGGATAGCGTGGACAGGGATTTGCACTTTGTATATCGCGCTCGAAGATCCAATCAAGATGATCGCGTCGCAGTCTTCTCGTCACATGCTGCGTGCCGTCGCTTCACGGGCGTCGATCAAGGCTCCAGCGGTGGCCAGGCCATCAGAAGCAGTCGCAGCAGCAGCGGCCGCTTCTGCTTCTCGGCGCACGTTCAGCAGCGGCACAGGTGTCGCTCGAAACGGCCGCTCGAACTCAGGTGCTGTCCCAAATGTTGATCAACGCCGGATCACCACCTCCTCCATGGGCCGCGATGCAGAGAAGCCTACACACGCATCTACGGACGAGCACAGTAAGTATCATTCAGAAGTCGATCGCTACACTTGCGTTCAGCTGCTACATGAGCGGCACTAAGGCATGCTGGCGCTCCTTGCCCTTGGCAAGCTTCACCGTTTGCCTTGCATGACAGCTTGCTTTCTCGTTTGAGTTTGAATGCTTACTCAATTATTGAAATTGGTCTTCTTTCTCTTCATGTGCTCGCAAAACTCGACAGTCGTGCCCTACCCTGATCTGCATGAGCGTGACCCGGACGACATTGGTCACTCCACCACCGGTGGCAAGGTGGGACCGCACACGAAGCGAACGCTCGCTTCCTTCTCCATGGCGAGTTGCTCATGCATGCCTTTCCTCAAACCACATGGACTTCTTTGAATGTACATGCTCATTCCCTCCCTTTCCCCTTATTTTCTTGCACAACAGGACTCAAAAGTCTGCGTCGTGACCGGCGCCGCACGGGGTATCGGCAACCTGATTGCACGTACATTTGTCGAGTCTGGAGCCAACTCGATCGCCGTGCTGGACCTGAATGCGGCGGAAGCGCAGCAGGCCGCGAAGGACATCGAGGCGTGGTTCCTCGAGCATGGCCAGGTGTCCGAGGGCGAGATCGATGTGCAGGGCTACGGTTGTGACGTGTCGAACGAGGACAACGTCATGCGCGTCATGCAGGACATCAAGGATCGCTTTGGCAAAATCGATGTCGTCGTCAACTCGGCCGGCATCGTTGAGAACTTCCCCGCGACGCAGTACCCGACGAACAAGATGAAAAAGCTGTACGACATCAACATCAACGGCAGCTACTACGTCGCGCGTGAAAGCGCTAAGCACATGCTCGCCGATGGGACCAAAGGCAGCATCATCCTCGTCGCCTCTATGTCCGCCGGCGTCGTTAACATCCCTCAGCCTCAGGCACCGTACAATGCCTCTAAGGCGGCCGTCCGTCACCTCGCCGCCTCCTTCGCCGTAGAGTGGGCCAAGGCCGGCATTCGCGTCAACTCGCTCAGCCCCGGTTACACACTAACATCGCTCACGCGCACCATCCTCGAGAGTAGCCCTGCAGGTCGTGAGTGCTTTCGTCTTATTCTTTGCATTTTCAAATGACCAACACTGAAGAGCGGTCAATGCACTAAAACAGGGGAGCTGAGAGAGACGTGGGAAAACCTAACGCCCATGGGCCGCATGGCCGACCCCGAGGACCTGAAAGGCGCCGTCATTTACCTCGCAAGCGACGCCAGCGCCTTCACGACGGGCACAGACCTCCTCGTCGATGGTGGTTACGTGCGTATACCGACATTCTCATCTTCCCTTTCATGCTGCTCTGCGAATGCACTGACGCTTCTTCCTCTCTTGCTTCAACACCGACCAGACTGCTACTTAATAGATTTAGAGGTGGCGAAACCTTGTCTTCCAGTCAAAAGCACATTTCGAATTGCATTAATAGACCTTGCCGCCGTCTCATGAAACCTGGCATTGATTCATCCTTCTCTCTTCCTTACTCGGGTTCTTTCTTGTTCCCTCTTGCTATTTCGGGGGTTCACTTTAATAACGGTCGATCTGTCCTGTATCTTAAGCATTCGCCCATCCTGCTCATCAATCAATCGAGAAATGCTCACTCGCAACAGGGCATTTCTTTGCACGCTCTGCTCCGCAAATACATTCCTCCGCCTGCACTAAGCTGGCCATGTGGTCATGCCCAGTCCTCAATCCATCCTTCTCTGGGAATCGGCCGGCCTACCTTGATGATGCCAGCTTTGAGGTCGTCTAAGCGGATGCTTACCTCTTCCGGCGCACGCCGCTGGAGGATACAGCGCACCTTGCGTTTCTTCTCGTCATACTCGACAACAATGGCGGCCGTTGGGTCGTTCGGCGAGCCGATCTGCAGATGGTAAGGAGCGAACCCCTTGCGACCAGATAGATCTGCACCGTAACATACGACAAAGTCGCCCACCTTGATGTCGTCCGCACCTGACTCAGTAACCATCGGCCCCGCCTGCACCAAAATCGGCACGCCGTAGCTCGTACCAACCGGAGGCAGCGTCTGCGGGGCAGCCTGAAGCACGGCTTGCAAGAACGCTTGCGGGCTGCCGTCGCCGACAGCTTTTGCATTCTTGCCACCACCAATAGCAATCGCGGCAGAGGCTGGGGGAGCAGTGGCAGGTCAGTCAATCTGGAATTCAGGAAAGTCTAGCAAGTTCGATCACCTAAAGCGGCACCGGCTTTGACTGCAAAATGCTCCAACAGCTCGCGCGTCGGCTTGGCTGGCGGGAAAAGATGCCGTTGCGTCAATGTAGTATTCGCCTCATCGGCATCGTCCTCTTCAAAGCTCAGATCAATAACTGGAGAATAGAATAAAAGGGTTCAGCCGCTTGCAATCGCGTGAGGCATCCAAATGCCGTGTCCTCACTCGTCTGCGAATAGTCCTCGAAAAGCACGTGCACCTCCGCTGTGTGCTTCGTGCGACCGCGCTTCGTCGCAGTTGCCGTATCAGCAAACATGATAGCATCAGGGCGACCGCTGACGGTCATCGGCAGACGCAGAGGACTGGTTCCAAGACGCCACCAGTCTGAAAGAATGATTGAAAATGTTAACACAGCTCAAGGTCAAGAATGAACGTTTCGTACTCACGACTGCTTGGCATCAGATCCAAGTCTCGCGAGTTTGATCTGAACCCGATCCCTGCACCTTGAGCAGGCGCTTCACCTGTGGGCATAGCTGAGGTGCGTGTCTCTTGCAACAGTTCAGGTTGAGTCTCCAGTTCAGCATTCGCATCCGCCTCAGGCTCAGCATGCTGCAACGTTTCATGTGGCAGTGGGGCAGCTGCTGCCAGTACCGATGGGACAGGTGCCGAGCGGGAAGGCGGCTTAGGAAGTGTTCCAGGAAGTGGGTTTGGTGAAATGGGAGAGAGGATAGCGACTGCTGGATCGACAGATGCCAGTTCTAGATGCTCCACGTCTTTGGAGGCGAGGGTGGACTGCCGTTTGGCCAGACGAACCGGGGAAGCGGCCGCATCTCTTGGAATCATCTCAGGAGTCTCAGCGACAGGCACATGCTCCCCAACGGTAGAAAAGTCCTCCGCTGCAGTTTGAGTCTGCACTTGCGAGGCAACCAGACCAGGGATAGCGATCCCACCTGCAGGAACATTCCGCGTCGGTGGTTTGGGTGGGGGGGTTGCAAGATCGGCGTGGTCGCCTGGCGCACCGGCCTCTCCTGATCCCGTATCCACTACTCCTTCCGGCGCCGGCACCGCACGCCTAAGTGGCATCGGGGCACCCATGATACCCATGGGCAGGGCCCCGCCGATCTTCTGACCGCCTAGACGTGCCATCTTCTGCGCGATCCGTGCCCTGCGTTGCGCTTCTTCCTCCTCTTCCGTCAGCTGTGCGGCCGCTTCCGCTGCTTCTGGTTGGTGTAATTCAGCAGCTTCGGGCTCCACAGGAACGGCTGCAGCTGCAGCAGACTGGGTATCGGGTGCTTCGTCGTCTTCAAACGCTTCATCTTCCGCTGGAAGCGCCATCCGCGGTTTTGGAGCAGCTAGGGCAGGGCCCGCAAGAGCAGCGTCGATGGACTGTGGCATGGGCACCTCTTCAGTTTCTGTAGCAGCAGCAGCTTCCCTTTCTTCCTCGGAAAGCCCAAATCGCGGCGTCACTCCTGGAATTGCAGGCGACGGGGACTTTGGAGGGACAGGCGTGGGCACCGCTCTGCGTGGCGGTGGCGGCGAGGCAGTGCTGGCACGCAGAATGCTGCGACCTACTGCTGGTGTGGTGACTGCACTTGCATCCCCAGCCGTAGCCGTAGCCCCAGACAATGGTGGGGGTGAGGCAAACGTGCGGGGCACAGGCGGGCGCACGCTGCCTGGTCTGCTGGTCGGAGGTGCAGGCCCTTCGCCGCCAGCAGCACTGGTGATGCTACGCACGCTAGCTGCACGTCCTACGCTGCTAAGTACGCTGACGCGACGTTCTGGCCCCGATACCGTTTCGTGCACTTCACCCGCACCTTCTGCCTCGTCTTCCGGCGCAGCTCCATGCTCAGCTGTCGCTGCTTCGTGTACCTGCTCCGCTTCCGGCAGAACGGCCTCGTCCACCGCCGACTCATCGCCCTTGACAAATTCCTCCAGCTGACGTGTATACTCCTGGATGTTGACATCGCTCACAGGCGTAATGGACGTGCCTGCACCGCCGTCTGTGCTGCTAGCATCTTCGATGCCTGAACCACGACGCTGAAGTCCGAGGCCGTCCATTGTGTCGGATTCGTGATCAGGTGCAGATGTAAGTGCCGTTGCTTCGGAAGTAGCTTCGCGCGGCCCTTCTAGAGTAGAGTCAACTACATCGTTCGTCACGGAAGCAGACGCATCGGACTGCGTCTCTGCAGCCGCCGCAGAGTCCACTGCAGCAGGATCAGGAATAGCATCGCCGGTATCCGCATTCCCCCTCACGTCCGCAGTGGAAGCAGGGGAAGCAGCGTTCGCTCCGAGCTCCAGCTCCGGCTCTTTTGGAGCGCTTTTCTTACGCCTAGGTGGTGCAGCCCGACGAGGGACCGCCAAGGTCGATTGTTGCTGCTGTTGAGGCGCTACCGTGGCCGTGGCAGCAGATGTCAAATTATCAGCTGCCTCGCCTATAGCTGGGGCATCAGCAGTCGAATTTCCAGCGACGCCATCAGCTTCTTCCGTTACGCCTCCTTCGAGGGTGGTTCCCTCAATAAAAGTGGGGCGGGTAGGCGAAAGGGAGGTCTGCTTGGACCTTGGGGGCATCGGTGCGCCGAAGAGAGCGGGACCAGCGCCAGTAGCAGGTCCGCCGCCGAGCCGTTTTCCACCCAGCCTTGCCATACGCTGCGCAATAGCCGCACGTCGCGCCGCTTCCTCCTCTTCCGGGGTACGTTCTGGAACTTGCGCTGACTCGGGCGATGCATCGCCATCCGCAGCCGCAACCACAGAACCACCATCTTGGACATGTGTTTGAGAGGAAGCGCTTTCGATAGCGGCGACGTCGTCAACTTGCAAAGGCTCATCGCGGAGGACGCCCATAGTAGTGGTGCTCGGGGTAGCCACTACATTCATAGTCGCCGCTGGCTCGTCCAGCCCATAAGACCGAGCCGAGGCACTGGTGATGCTATCCCTGCTCTTCTGCCTTGTGATATCTTCGGGCTCCGTGCCAGCAGCTACAGCAGCGCCGCCGAAACCGACGCCCATGCCGATACCAGCCATGGCAGCCGTCCGTCTCTCCGCGGATAGCTTGCCAGGCTTCGGCGCCAAGGGCGGCGGGGGACTCTTGGTCCTAAGGCCAAGTGTCGCATCTGCATCCGAGCCCCCTGCACCTGCACCAGCTGCAGTATCTGCCGCTGCCGCGGAACCATCCGGAGCGGAGCCGGCACTACCCAACTGACCCCTCTGCAAAGCCGCCATGCGTTCCTTGAGTGACATCTTAATGGACGTCTTGGCATCAGCAGCACTGAATCCGCCACTGGCACCGGCGTTAGCAACTTCCGTGATGGCCGCTTCGGTTGGAGAGCAAGCAGTCACAGCTGCAGAGATCTCGGGCGATTTCTCTTCTGATTCAGTTCTGGCGCCAAGTCCGGGCCTCGCAGGAGCGGCAGCAGCAGCCATCTGCCTGATACCGGCCAGCATCTGTGTCGGCTTGTTCACACCAAGCTGTCCGGGCATAGGAAGAAGAGGCTTCTCGCCTGCAGGCGGCGGAGGAGGCCGTTTCCACCCTCCTCCTCCAGCAGGTCTAGGAAGCGGAACTTGGCTCCCGTTGTTGTTAGCACTGTCCAGCGGTTTGTTAAATGCAGCGATTCGATCCCGAAGCGAGTTCCCGATCTTTAGTGGGACAGTGGGCTTATTCGTGGCAGCTACAGCTGGTGCTGGTGTTGGTTTTGGGTTTGAACTTTGCACAGGGGCCGGAGCCGGCGTGGCGGGCGTCAAATTTATGTTGGTCTCCACGTCCTGTGAAGTTACGTGTTGCCCTTCTGAAGTTTCTCTGACAGAAGCGAAATTTGCAGGAGCAGAACTTTCCTGAGAAAGCGATGTGGCTGGCTCCTGCGTTGCCGGAATCGCTTGCACCTTGTTGTCGCCTGCGGCCGCAGCGGCGACCGATACGGACTGCTCATCATTTGAAGGGTCGACTGAGGCTGGAACTCCTTCCGTGCTGGCTGGCGGGTCGGATTCGGCTTTCCCTGAAGAATCAGTCTGATTCTGCGATGCTGTGGGAATGGCTGCCACTACCGCTGCTACCTGTTCCTCCTGCTCTCCTTCGAGAAAATTGACGAGGCCGCCCGGGAATATGCCTTTGCGGCTCCCGTCGAGGCTTTCCCCGATGAACCATTCATCTTCTTCTTCCTCCTCGTCCTCGTCCTGGTTGTCCTCGGTCTTGGGTGCGGTGGATTGGACACGGATCTTCTCGCCCTTTGCAAAGGTCAGGTCCTGTTCGAAACGGTGGCGATCGGTAGCGTTGCGGTCGTATAGATTGGAAAGGCCAATGTCAGTCGGTCCGACCAGGAAACCCTTTTCTCTTTATCTGATTTCATTTACCTGCTTGTGAGGACTCTTGTACTTGAGCCTGGCTACCGCCAGACACGGCAACGTCGCTGGCGGAGCCATACTGAATAATAGTGAACAGAGTGGAGCGCGGTGGCTCGGCCCGCCTTTGGAGTTCTACCCAGTTACAACCGCCGCGATGCCCAGTTGTCGCTCTAACGCGAACCAAGAAATGCGACTTCACCGGCTGTCGACAACCTCTTCTGGGAAGACGAGCTTCCAGGGGCATGTCCCTGCTGATGGCTCATACACATGGAGCACACACACGCGTCGAGCATGAATGAGGGGCGACGCCGCCATGTGTCGTCTGTTGGTTAATGCTCGATGCTCGTGCACCGTGCACCGTGCGCGCGAGGGTGATGCGCACGCTCCATCCAAAGTCCACCCCGCGTGGCGCTCACAAGAATAGATATCACAACCCTACCTGCTATCCAGCCTCAATCGCGAGCACTCTACACATTACACACCTTATGGCCATCCACTCCGAACTGACGACTGAATTGAGCAAACATGATGCTAGCGGCCATACTCACTCTCAGCCCTCGGGAAGCTCCTTGCTTACCAGGTATCGGCAAACGGTCCATTTGAGATATCCAGCGACAGAGTGGCGAATTCTTTCCTCTATTTTCATTGAAGTCGCCTCAAAGCGAAGCAAGCACCGTCGTTGCCGCTGCCGCTCTCATTCGCCACCTACCCTGTGCGCCGTGGCTCAACACACCAGTTTGACTTCCATACGCTATTTCAAGAGCTCGCGACGGTGACCGACCCAGCGGAGATGCTGTCAATACCACAGCCCGCCAAGCACCTCGAGAACATCGGCTCCGTGGCTAGAGATCACCTGGCGCTCGAGCGGACATTGTGCGTTTATACCGAAGCTCCAATCGAGGAAATGTGCCATCGGCTCAAGTTAGGGCTCATTGGTTTGGACGCGCTGTGTTATTTTACATCGATGCTGTAGCCTCGCGTGGCTCCGAACAAGTCTAGGGCTCGTGTCGCTCGGGATGTGAGTTTCTATACTGCCACTTCACAGAAAAGTTACCGTCATTTTTCGCTGAAGTCTTGATCGTGACTGCTGCAACTACAACCGCATGCAGAGCGATTACACAGCTCTTCAAGATTCCAGGTGCGGACGCCTCGGCGTCTGCCTCATCCGTCCGCTTCATATCGCCTGCATGCTAACACCTTGTCCTTTTTTGCCTCTTCAGAACTGGTCATGAACCCGGATGACGACCCATCATATCTTCACGTCGAAGCAGACCAAGACCAAGTAGCGGATTCGTTCCTTCTGCCGGGTCCAGGAATGCAACTGCAAGACTTACAAAAGCTGTGCGTGTCTACCTATGGTTGATTCTCATCCTCGGAACGCCACCGTCCGTGCTTACGCTTCAAAAGCCGCGTCTACAGTGGAAAGCCGATCGGCGCATCCTTTGTCGCACTCGGCATCGTCGTCCTCCTGCTCGGATGCTTCCGTTTCTTCCGTGTCCAAACGCTCCTGATTGGCGGCAAGTTCCAACCGAGTCGGGTAGAAGGTGAGCTTTCCCTCCTCCTCCTGCCTCTTTTCTTGGCTTTACATTTGCGAGCCTCAGCAATGGTGTCCGCTCACGATACCCTCCTTGCATAAATCGTTCTCATGTAGTGTCAGTGACGGCCCTCCTCGCCGGAACACTCATAATTGCCGCACTAGGCGTCATACTCGGCATGCGTCTCGGTTCCTCGCCATCGTAGGCCATATATATTAGCGCGGCCTCATTTCTCTTACTTTTCTCTCCTGAGTCCTGCGCATCCAATTTCACCTCCCACTCCGCCGTCTGCGACTGGATACACTGCGCATATAGGCACGCGTCACGTGTTATATTTGTACCTGTCTTCACTGAAACGAATAAAGTATATTTACAAGAACCATCTAGCGAAAAGAATGTGCTACAACAATGCTACAGAAGAGCGCGGGTATGTGTGGGTGTTCAGAGCCAAGGGCCCCGTTCGAAGCCAAAGGAATGTGTTGTGTTACTTCTTCGGCTCGAGTATCCAAGCGCAGCAAGGGGCACGCCTTAAGTAAGCCATGAGCAATCCACTGCTCAACAGATTCCAGCTGCAGTACCTTCTCGAACTCCGCATCCGAACCATGCCATCCGGCCGCCAGGCGAAGAACCGACCACAGTCAGGGTGTCCATTTCTGGCACCAGTCTCGTCGCATGCCACTATCGGTAGTACCGCCTGCGTCTTTGACGTCGATAGTAAAGCTCGCAGCAGCGACTGCTACTGACAGGTGCCCAGTGCCCCTTGCTTCACAGGAGCAGCCGAACGTGGTGGCGAAATGCCGTTCAAAATGTGTCCCGGGGGCAGTTGTACTTCGCGCTTGGGCGGCGAATGCGTGTTGCTGCCGTGCTCCCTGGATGACAAAGATGGTGAGGACACGTACACAGGGGGGTCTGGGAGCGTCATGGGTGGAAGCGGGAGAGGACTGGCAGGCGGCGGAGAGGCGGCTGGGAGAACACGTGTACCGACCTGTGTCCTCCCGGGATGCGAAGGGAGGGGACGATCTACCTGCACTTTAGGTATTGGGGACCGCAAAAAAAGCGCAGAGTCCTTGCTACTCGCTAAATATGCCTCCTTCCGACGCTGCTGCTGCTGCTGCATGGGTGACGTATGCAGATGGTGAGATCGCTCCTTGGTTGGCTGACCGGCTGTCAGCGTTGCGATCGATGAGGTTCGGGCTGACTCTTCCTCGTACAGCACAATTCCGAGCAAGCGCGCAAAGCGCTGAATGTACATTACCACCTCTGGTGCTTCAAAGTCAAATGTAGGAGCGACGAGACCAAGGACCCAGCCCCTTCCGAAAGCCTTCGAACGTGCTTGCTCTTCAGTCTCGCACCGTATAGTGAATGAAGAGTTGCAGCCTGTTGTACCGATCAGCTGTGACGCGCGATCACCACGCCAACGCAGACCCTGACTTGTCGACGCAAGTGCGCACAGGTGCAGAGGCGCATCGAGGCACGCGACGCTCCTGGAACTGCCTTTGGAGGAGGCAATGGCGGTGGCATTGAGTGGGTCGGAATCAACTGATGCAAGGTATACCGTCTCAACTTGCAGTGCTTGTGACATTGCATCGACCGCCTTCTGGAGCCGAATGAATTCTGGGTGCAATGACTCAGGTATGGACCGCAAAGAAGGGAGGAGCAGCTCTGATGGAATCTTGACGTTACGTCGTTCAGCTAAAGATGGACTGGGACTGCTGATTGGTGCCGTTGGCGGCTTTGACGTTGCGAGCGAAGCCGTGTCTACACTGTCTGTTGGATGAGACACTGCGTACGCCCATTCGCGCACGCTCTGGTCCAACTCTCTCAGCTTTAAGTCCAGCGCGGAGCGACGAGAAGCCTCCAGCTCAGCTGCTGCTTCCCTTGAGGCGAGGCTGAGCAGCTTTTGCTGGCTGGCTGTAAGGCCATCAGGTCGTGCAGTTCGAGCCCAAAGGGAAAGCACTGCTATGGCGTGTCCCTGTGCGTCCCGTATAGGTATGCCGGCATAGAAGCGGGCTGAGGATGCTACGGGCAGGCCCCTGAATCGCCAGTCAGCTTCGATATCACGAATCACGAGCGAGGCATTGTCTGTGCAAAGCACCGTGTGGCCGGCGATTGATGTGGAGCGCAACCCAACAAATGCAAAGGCATCTGTGACTGTGGAGGCGCAGGCCTTTGTCTTGAAAACATCGCCGCCATCCATGCTTGAAGCACCTGCGCAAGCTCTTGCGAGACAGACGACGGAGGTATTCAGCACCGCGTCGACTTTGACTTCTTCGAGACGCATGGCGCCACACACGCGCTCGAGGATGCTATGCAGGCGCCGACTTGTCTCCCGCACGTTGATGACGGCCTTAACGGCGGCAAGCGTGGCCTGGAAGCGTTGGGCCTCGCACGATGAGAGGAGCAGGGGAGTTTCAAATCCACGCCCGCCCTCCGAAGCGCGCAAAGGCGGTGGTGGAAAGGAAAGGTCGGTGGGACTGGTCGCGTTCTGTATTGCCTCCAGATTTGGCGACATAGCAGCCATGTGAATGCGCAAGCCATCCTGAGATGCGGACACGAATGTGGGGGTCACAGGGTCGTTAAGTTCAATCTGCCCATTTGCATACGCGCGCCAGTATTCCTCTGGGGGCAACGATGCGGTTGAATCCACCGTATGGGCGACTATAACCGGTGCCACCGCTACTGTTGTCGCCGCTGCTGCGGTGTGCTGCAAACACAAGCCTAAGGACGAGCTAAGACTAGGCAGCATGGCTAACTGTGATGCAAGCTTTCCGGTCAGTGCGCGCTGCTTGGGGCTGGTGGGACTTCGGGGGTTTGCCCCTCTCTGCGCCGACCGGTTGATCTCTGAAGCCTTCGGAGTGGAGAGCCCGACCTGAGATTTGTCCTTGCAAGGCGGCTGCAGGACCTCCGAGTTGACGGAAGCTTGCACATGAGCTATTATGGTAGCGTCGCTGGACGGAGCATCACATTGCGGCCGGGCTTCCTCTTGGATGGGCGGAGGCAGGTTTGCATCGAGCAGCTTAGCACCGTTGAGAGCGCTGCTTGTGCGACGCATGATGACAGGAGGCTTGCAAGACATGCTGCTCTGCTGGCTGGTGGAGGATCCGGATCTGCTGCGTCTTCTAAGCTGCTTGGTTTGCAACGTATCAGCACCACATTCTGGAATAATTACGAAGCAAGCACGTACAGCTACGACGGAATCACGGTCTTCGGCCATGCCGGCCTTGAATGCCTCCTCCAGGAGATTGGACCCAAAGCTGCCTCTGAAGCCGATGGGTGCAAGGCTCGGCACATCACTCCCGCCGCTGCCGGAAGACTTGAAGGAAGTGATCGATCCCAAGGGCGTGAGTGACGCTAATGTGGACGCGGATGCTGGCGCGTCACTCGGCCCGCTGCCGCTGCCGTTGGCAGAGCGCGCAGATGAACTGCTCGTTACGATGGATGCGCGCGAGTTGATGCTGCCTTTGCGCGTGGCCATCTCGCCAGACGGGTATGATGTGGACATGGCGGAGGACTCTGTAGGGATGCTGACGCTGTACTTGTACGATATGCTGTCAGCGGAACTAAACGACGTATCGGCGGAGCTAAAGGACGTGTCAGCGGAGGTGTCACCTGCGGCGCTGCTGCGCTGGTCCGCGCTGAGCAACGAGGCCGCGGTACTAGCCCTGCTACTGCTACAGAAGCTCGCGTTGCCCGCCGACGGCCGGCTCCAGACCGAACGCGTGTCGTGTGAGATGCGCGCGTCCTCGCGCTCCACAGGACCCGGCAGAGGCGGCATCGACGTCGCGTGCGAGTTATCAAAGCTGTGCGAAAGGGGCAGGGGCGGAGACGTTCTGTCCGCTTCCTGCTGGCGCCCCTTATCCACTAGTTGCCCCCTCCTGACCTCCTCCTTAAGGTTGCGACCGCTCTTGGTGAACATGTGGCGCAACCCGAAGCTGCGTGTGCCCTTCTCCTTGTCCTTTGCGCCGTCCTTAGACTTTTTGACCTTTTCAAGCCGATGATCCATGAGCGCCTGCGCGATCGCCTCCTGCTCCCGCATTTCCTGCTCGAGCACTTCGTTCGCAAAACGCTGGTGCCACACAACAGGGTCCGTCGCCGCCACCGGGGCTTGCGACGTGGCGGCCATCGCTGCGCAGCCGCCGCCCGCGCTGCTGGTCTCGCTCGTTTGCCTCGCCGGGGCGGGAGGGAATTCGCCTGCGCGGCTGCAGGTGCCTACGGACACGCTTGGGCTGCCAAGGCCGTAGTCGGTCGGAGCAGGTGCGGACGCGGGCGCGTGGCTGCGAAGCGTGTCTTTGCGCCTCCTGCCTTTAATCAGGTCCGGAAAGAAGCTGCGCCCTGTGCTATCTGGGCTCGGCGATGCCATCGTGGGACTGAGAGGCATCGCATGCGCGCGCTCGCTCCCGTTCTGTCGGCCCATCAGCGAGGGGCTCGAATGGTGCATCCTCTCTGCACTGTCAACGTCGTAGATCAACGGCACCTCGAGGCCACCGACGGCCTGAGCAGCGTGGTGATGTGGCAACGGCAGATCCTCGCTGCGGACTGCGAGCGCACATGGCGAAACCACGAGCGAGCCTGCACCAGAGGCCGAGCCGGAGCCAGAGGAGGACGCCGCACGTGTCGATAAGCCCTGCGAGCTGACAGCGCTGCGGAGGCGAAAGCGCGTCAACACGCCTCCGGTGCTCGGCTTCGGACACTGGTCGCGCGTTTCGGAAGCGGCACGCGCCATGGGTACCGAGCGGGGACCAAGGCTCAGCGGGCCCAGCGGGTCGACGTGCGCTGATGCGGGAGATGGAGGTACAGGGCGCTGAGGACCGATTGCGTATGTCGCCGCAGGTGGGTAGCGCACCGTCTTAGCGTCGAGCAGTGCCAGCGGTTCGGCCGTCCAAGGCGAGTCGCGCGGCGTGTGCGGGGTCCCCTCGCCATCTTCGTCATCTTCGTCTTCACCCTCTCTTTCGTCCTCGCCGAGGCCGTCAGTGTCCTCCGCTGTTCTAGCCGTCAATGCGTCAGACTTGGACGCGAAGCTGCGCCCGGTTTCCTCTCCCCTGCTTCGCGGGCTGACACCCACAGCATCACCGGCACCAGCACTGGCACCGTCCGAGCTGGCGAGCAGCCTGCTAGCGCGCCTTGTTCGAGTGATGACGGCCAGCGGCAGGTCTTGCGATGCGGTTGGAGACGGTACCGCGGAGGGATAAATGAGCGAGTTGGATGCGAGCGCGCGGCCCCACACCCGCTCGACGAGCGCCAGGTAGTCTTCCCGCTTCTCTGGTACGGGCGGTGGCGGCAGGGGGAGCGGCAGCGGGACTCTGTGCGTGTTAATTGCTCGTGCGGTGATAGGGCCATTAGGTACGGCTGAGAGCGAGGAGCTTCGTCGGCGGTGTGAGCGCTGCGCGGGCTGGGTCGCCGCAATTTTAGTCTTGACTGGAGACAGACGATTCTCTGAGTGAGGAAGGAAGCCAAGGAAGCGGAAAGTGAAGCGTTAAATCAAGCCATGCGACGCGGTAAATCAACAGGATCGATTGCTCGAGCGACTCACCGTGAAAGCCGTCTCCGCTCTTACTGCTGTCTTCGCCTTCGGTGTCGCCATCAGCTTCGCTGCGATGTGTGTCCAGCAATAGGCTCGACGGCCTAGCGCTTGCAAGCAGCCCGACGGACGACTCACTGCTCGAGTCAAGTGTGAGGCCGAACGCGCTTGTGGGAGTAGCAGCTGATACGGATGAGATTTCACTCGGCAGTGCAAAATGCACTGCTGATGGCGCTGCTGTTGAAGGAGGGGAAGAAGCAAGAGAGGACGAAGCAGGCGTTGATAAACATGATAATGGGGCTTCGACGGGAGGGGGCATCGCCCTCGTCGGCGACCATTTGTTGGTCATCGTCAGCGAATGACCATCAACCAACAGGCTGCCAGCGCTGGCATTGATGGAGGACATTGGATACGTCTGGATGTGGGTGTTTGTTCCGTGGCCGTGAGTGTTGGCCGTATCCATATCCAACTCGTCCACGATAGAAGGCGGATGCTTTGACATGGACATGGTGGACGATATAGAGTGGGTGCGTATGTAGCAAGAGTAGAGCAAGCTATCAACGACCCAGACGTCTTTGGTACGAGACGTGTTGTGTTTTACTGTGTGCCTTTGCTCTCAGCTTTGCGATTCGTACGGGATCGAGAGACTGATGGACAATCGGCAAGTGTGAAGAGAGCAAGCTGCAGCTTCAATGAAAGCTTAGGTTGAAGCCATGGCCAGACATGGGCGAGCGTACGAGCGTGGTGGTGTAACAGTCCGTAAACGCTGAATGTGAGGGTTCCGTATGTCTACAGTGCTTGGACGGTGAGCCTGTGTCCGATCAGGCCAATGGATCACCACAATCGCTGGGAGTGATTATAATGAGCGATGGCGGTGGGAACGTGCGAAGGCTCGATGAGAACCTGGCTTAGGTGTTTGCACGTGGATACGGAAGCAAAGGTGCTGTTTCGCCCTTTTGCTAGTGTGCCCAGGCGATCGAAAGGGTCATTCAGTCTGTATTATTAGTCAGTACATACATTGCAGACCTCTACTCCAAGACCAGTCAGTGTATGTAGCTAGCTCGGCTGTGACTGGGAGACGTGAGCTTCCCTGGCATTCTAGAACCAGGGGCAATCGAACGCACTGCACACTCTCCTGAAACATTGATCGAGCTCAGGATGAGCAACCGGTGCACATTGCACGGCCAACACGCTCATACTTCGAGGCAGGCAAGGAGTGGCATGGCTCGGTTCTGTTCGGGTCGGTTAGATGTACCGGCTCTTGCTGCAGAGATTGCTTTGTTTACCACACCACCAATAATAATCAAGGACCACGCGGCTGTGGTGTGCAGTTGTGCTGAAAGAAGAAAGAGGATATGGAGAGCGTCCACCTCCAACTGGACAACAACAACAACAACATGGAGGTGCCACTGTGCGCACACTGCCTGCGGGCCTGGCTGGCGGCACAAGTGCAAATGTCTTAAAGTGCCACGTGTGGGCGCCGTCAAACCCGGAGATCCGGAGGCGGGGGGGACCACCCCCTGCTGTGTGCCGACGCCCTGAGTGGAGAGTACGAGTAGAATATGGATGAACGCGGGCCATGGGGGGTCAGCGTGCATTGGGCACCGAAGGGCCGCTCCATCGGAAACTTGCGATCATCAATGATTGCCATCTCTACATAGACAGCCATGCGGGCAGCATGGCTGGTATAGTAAGTGGCATGTACAGTAAGCCATTCCCTTGCACTTTCCCGTTTCCACGCTTCCACGGCCATATCAAAGTCCGTCTGACAGTCTCGCACGCTCCTTGTCGATCGTCTGTTCGGCTATTCCGCTACTGAGATGCGATCTAATACCGAACAGCTGATCCTGCTGCGATGCATACATAGCGGACCAGATCCGCTCTCAAATGGGCCTCGTTGCCATTTGCCACGCGGATCCGGCTCGCATGTTGTTTGCCCGTTTCCAGACTTCTGGCTTCCAGGCTCAGACACCGGCTTGGAGCTCCACTTCGCAATTCAGTGTACAGATCGACATCAATGGCAAAACGCTATTGAGACCCAAGTGAACATCCAAAGATTCAACATTCAAGGCCTGCCCTGGGCAGAGCCACCTACTTGAGCAACTTACCATGTAGTAGACTGCCATGACTTACTCATCCATGATCTTCGCTCATCAGCCATAGGCATTGGACCGATTGCTCAGAGTCTTGGGCCTATCAGAGACGATCCACCGCAGGCGGGCGGGGTCAAGGAGAAGCCGCACATGGCCGCCCAGGGAAGAAGCCATCACCACCTCGAGCTTTCTTCCAGCGCAAGCCGCAACGTGCCGAAATCGCAATTTCGATGTCCACGTCAGGCTCGGAGGTCTCCTGACGGCGGACACTGGACAGCACATCGCACGGCCATCTCCAGCGGAGAGCCGGTAGATGTGCATATTTGATTATCACGTTGCGCAGACCAGTATGAGCGCATTCATCGCACTTGTCAGCTGGCAGCCGGAGGCTGGCCCAGGTCAGTAGGTAGGCAGAGTAGAAGGAGGCCCCTCCTCCCCCGCTGACTGCTTGTTGGAGGGGACTGTCAAAGGGTGAAGGTGACAAGGCGTACAGGGTGAGATGTGATCTTGTGCGGTTCACACTTGCGTCGACTACTGCAGCAAACCCCCAACCCAGAAGGGTAGTCCGACAGGCATCAGTCGACACGTCTGTGCCGACTCCCGCATTGTTGACAAATGTCGACTAGATTGTCCGCTGAAGTAGGGTTATAGCGTCACTGGACGCGTTGCATGCCTGACGGCTCGCTTAAGTCTTGACGGGTGACGTTCGCCGAGTTTGTCGAACAAACAGTTTGTGACCATGCCGCTCCTCAGTTGCGCAAACTGGAACCATGTTGGCAGAACGGCTTGTTGGCTTCAACCTATGACGTGTCGCTATGTAGACGCGTCTGGCTGCGGCATGGCCGAGAAGAAAAGTCTGCGGTGAGAGCTTGCTTACGTCTTTGTAGAGATTAGCGATGAGATTGGGTACATGACAATAGATCACTCGTGTACAACACATTGTATCGTTGCTTCCTCGTGATTTAACTGATCGATTAGAACATGTCAGGCAGCAAGCAAGCGTCTGCAAGCACAAAGGGATGAGTGAGATAAGTGAAATGTAGTAGGATTATGTCATGTACTACTGGGCGGGTCTGCTAAAGGTGGATGAGCTCTCGGCCGAGAGTATCCTTCCGCCGCCAGTTTTCTCCGCGCACAGCATCTAACCGACGGTGATGGTGGACATGCATGGTGACTCGCTACACCAACAAACAAGCAAAAGGAGTGCATGATGGCATCGCATCTTCTTCCACCTCGGACACTTGCCAACCCATCCGAACGTCGGCAAACGCTGGACGGAAGCAAAGGATACGCATGCCCACTGGCTACCAGCGTCAGGAAACCCCCATTTTTAGCTCAAACAGCAGCCAGCCCACCATGTCGACCGCACAGCCACGCACGCTGTACCAAAAGATCTTTGACTCGCACCTGATCCGCGAGGAGAAGGACGGGACATGTCTGATCTACATCGATCGGCACCTCGTCCACGAGGTCACCTCGCCGCAGGCTTTTGAAGGCTTATCGATCGCCAACCGCAAGGTGCGCCGCACCGACTGCACACTCGCCACTGTTGACCATAATGTGCCGACGGTGAGCCGGAAGAACTACCGGAGCACCAAGACGTTCATCGAGGAACCCAGCTCGCGCACACAGGTGCTGACGCTTGAGGAGAACACCAAGCGCTTTGGCGTTACTCTCTACGGCATGACAGACGACCGGCAAGGGATCGTGCACATCATTGGCCCCGAGCAGGGCTTCACTCTGCCCGGAGCGACGATCGTCTGCGGCGACTCGCACACGTCGACGCACGGCGCGTTCGGCGCGCTCGCATTCGGCATCGGCACCAGTGAAGTCGAGCACGTGCTCGCGACGCAGACTCTGCTACAGAAGCGCGCACGCAACATGCGCGTCCAGGTCGACGGCGAGCTCGCGCCAGGCGTGAATAGCAAGGACATCATCCTCCACGTCATCGGCCAGATTGGCACTGCCGGCGGCACAGGCAGCGTCATCGAGTTCTGCGGCACGGCCATCGAGAAGCTGAGCATGGAGGCACGCATGAGCATCTGCAACATGTCCATCGAGGCTGGCGCCCGCGCAGGTCTCATCGCACCGGACCAGACGACGTTCGACTACATCCAGGGCCGCCCACTGGCGCCCAAGGGCAAGCAGTGGGACGACGCTGTCGCATACTGGAAGAGCCTCCCCACGGACGCTGGTGCTGTGTACGACGTCGTCGTCAAGATCGATGCCAAGGACATCCCGCCGACGGTCACTTGGGGCAATTCGCCGCAGGACACGGTCGCCATCACCGGCTGCGTGCCTGACCCTAAGAACGCCAAAGACGAGGCACAGGCGCGCGCATGGAGCCGCGCGCTCGAGTACATGGCGCTCGAGCCAGGCACACCCATGGAGAAGATCAAGGTCGATAAGGTCTTCATTGGCTCCTGCACCAACGGGCGCATCGAGGACCTGCGCGAGGCGGCGCGCGTCCTGCGCGGCAGGAAGATCGCCCCGCACATGTACGCCATGCTTGTCCCCGGCTCGGGCCTCGTCAAGAAGCAGGCGGAGGCCGAAGGGCTTGACAAGATCTTCACCGCCGCCGGCTTTGACTGGCGCGAGGCCGGTTGCTCGATGTGCCTTGGCATGAACCCAGACCAGCTCACACCCGGCGAGCGCTGCGCCTCGACATCCAACCGCAACTTTGAGGGCCGCCAGGGCCCCGGCGGCCGCACACACCTAATGAGCCCCGCCATGGCCGCCGCGTGCGCAGTCACCGGCTATCTGACTGACGTGCGCAAGCTCGTCGGCGCGGACCACACCAAGGTGGGCGCGGACGCCTCGGCGCCTGAGCTGCAGATCAGCGACTCGAAAGCTTATCTCGGCGCGCCGCCCGTCCCGCCGCCTGCACCGGAGACCACTGTCTCCGCTGCTGCTCCACAGAAGCTGACGGATGGGGACAAGATTGGCGACGTGCCCGCGTCGAAGATGGCCGCCGCTGGCAGCGGCCTGGAGAAGTTCACCGTCGTACGCGGCTACGCGGCGCCGATCGAGCGCTCGAATGTCGATACGGACCTGATCATTCCCGCCGTGTTCCTCAAGACGATCCAGCGCTCCGGGCTCGGCAGCGCGCTGATGCACTCGATCCGGTACGACAAACAGACCGGCGTGCCGCTGCCAGATTTCGTGCTGAACAAGCAGCCCTGGAACGAGGCCAAGTTCATCGTCGCAGGCGAGAACTGGGGTTGTGGCAGCAGCCGCGAGCACGCCGCGTGGGCGCTGCTCGACTTTGGCGTCCGCGCTGTCATCGCGCCGAGCATCGCCGACATCCACGCCACGAACCTGGGCAAGAACGGGCTTGTCGCCGTCATCCTCGCGCCCGATCAGGTGCAGCGCGTCATGCAGGACGCCAAGGATGCCAAACAGATCACCGTTGATCTCGAGAAGCAGCACGTCCTCCTCGATGATGGGACCGCGTTCGCGTTCAAGATCTCTGACTTTACTAGGCACTGCTTGCTCAATGGTCTCGACGATATCAGGTGCGTTTTGCCTTGCCGCAAGGACGAGCTGAAGACGGAGGACGCGCCTTGCTGACCCCCCCCCCCCCGCCTCGGGAAAACCATGCTTTCTCACTCTTCCCGTTGCCTCTGCAGCCTAACGCTGCAGCACGAGAAGGACATCCAAGTATTTGAAGCGATGCGCTCAAAGGAGACGCCATGGCTTGACGGCTTTGGGTATGCGGGTAGCGTCGCCTCTTCGGCAGCCAGTGTCGCGCAGCAGTTGGCAGACAAAGCGAAAGAGGCCGTCAACAAGGTCACTGGCACCGATTGGTGAACGCATGCATCTTCACTTTGTGGAACACCTTTGTATACTCGAAGACCTCAAAATGTAACATGCAGATGTGTATAAACAGATGCTGAGCTCATCACAGCTTCTCCTGCTCACTTAGCTGCACACGGACAAGCTCGGCGAGCGCGCAGGCATGCTTCGCACCGGCGCGGACAGCCGCGCGGACAGCTGCCTGATCCGTTCCCATTACCGAACTTGTCACCATCGCACTCTTGCGGCCTTGCATGGGAGTTCCCTCCGCTTGCGCTTGTTGCTCGAGCGGTGGCGCCTCGACACTCGCGCCCGCAGAGTGCAGGACCCCATGCACCCTCCCGTTCTTGTCCGCGAGCACATGTACGCGTGTGCCGAGCACGTCTTGTTCCTCGAGCGTCGGGTCGAGCACATATGCCGAGAATGCTGCATGTGCACCTGCGCTGCCGCCACTTCCTACGCTGTGCGCCTTGCTGCCAACCTCAGGCTGAGGCTGTGCACCTTGTTCTACCGGCAGCAGACAGACGGTCACACAAACGGGCAAGTCATTGCGGTTGGACAGCGTTCGGCCTCCTGATTCTGGAGTCAGGTCCAGTAATTCGAAATCGATGGCCTTTGACACTCGCTGAGAAAGTGCGTCATTAACGCCCAGTGGATCGCGTGCTACGGTATCTGTGCCCGCTCCTAGTCCGATCGCACCGGCCAGAATGGATCCAGAGCCAGCGACTGCCCCTGCGCCCTTTCCTTTTTCCGCTGCCGCGCATGCGCTATTGGCTTCATAGCTGACCGCTCTTGTGCGAGGGATACGCGTCAGTTGCAAGGCGGCGTTGGCGGCCAGCACAAGCGCATCTTCTACATTCCCACCAGAAAGGGAAGTGATGAACGCGTCGATGTTCAAGATCCAGTAGCGCGCATTGGGCGGTGGAGTGATGCAGAGGTCGTCCAGCGGAACAGATGCACCCAAAGTTGTGAGAAGAGATGTGAGGGAGACAGAAAGAGCGTCGAGTGATGGTGTAGGTGTCGGAAGGGGGGAATGGACCAGGGCATTTGAGCTGAAAGAGGAAGGACGGCAACGTCAGCACGTCTTTGTGCAGGCTTATGTAGTCCGCCGTGGATCGTGTACAGTCTGAACGACACACAGATGCAAAGAATGTAGACAATGAATAGCTATACAATTTGTGCGAGGAAGGTGATTGCACTGCATGATGAATGGGGCCTTGAATTCGGCTGCCCATGTGCCTGAACACGTTCCAAATTGGACCACACGCGGCCCTACCTGTCCCAGATCTACCACTCACAATTGAACAGAGCATTCCATGCCACCTCTTGCTTTGCCCGAGCTCGAACCCATACCTTTGGTGTCGATATCGACCTGGCAGCTAATGCCTACCGTGACGTCAGTCCCACCAAGGTTGACCCGCGCGGAGGCGTTCGCAGTGGGTACAACGTCCGTCTGCAGGTGGATCGAGCGGAAAGCATGCAGAGGTCGTAAATCGCTGCGTTGTGTTGGCGCATGCGAGGCAGATCCTACATTCCCAAATGGCTGGAGAAGACCGCTAAGAATGTAAGATGCTTGCGAAGTGGAAAGGAGTGGCGCAGGCATCTTGCGGTCGTCCGCACCGAAAGGCCTAAGCAGTGAGCTTGTGGAAAAGGAACCGAGACCGCGTGCAAGCGAGAGCGGGATGATGTCGCACACCTGTCTCCTCAGCCGTGAGTGCCAACTTCAGGAATTGCAAGTTGTTTTCCAGGCCAGCAAATGTCGTCCATCAGGCCGAAGAAGACCGTGTCCATTCAGACTTCAGATGGGCGGCCAATCCAATGTCAAAATCCGGCTGGTGCAAGAAATGGGTGGGTCACGTGACACTCTTCATCAACACGCGATGCGACGCGAAGGAATGCCGCGCATTGGACGGATGCACCGAAAAGTGGAGAGTGTTTGTTTGGCGTGTTTCTTTGTTGATCGACCATCCAACCCTTCCTCTCCATCTCTCCATTGTCGCTGCTCATCCTCTCCTGCATTCCCCAGTCCCTCTCGTGCTTGCCTTCCGACCCACCTCCCCATCAAGCAGCCGTTACCAGGCCATCGGAACTGACGCATCGCAAGGCGCAGTCGTCGTCATCATCATCGAAAAATTCCCTCGCCAACGATTGGACCTCGCTCGACCACACCATCGCTGCCGATATTGCGAGAAGCCATCAGTCAATCAAACCCCAGCAAACGTCGGAGTGGAGAGCAGCGTACCAGCTTTCTACCACACCGACCACGCACACGTTGCCCATCATTTTCGACTCCCTCAAGCGAAGTGTGGGGCTGACGCCTTCCGTCTCTTTCCAGCGGGTTCCCAGCGCGAGCTCCACCACTGGAAAGGCCCAGGGCGTCGGCGGCAGCACCAACACTGACACGGCTACCTCTGGCAGCACTAATACCGCTGGCACTGGGGCTGGCCTCCGCCGCACGGCCTCTGGCACTTTCAAAGCCCATCTTGCCGCTGCAAGTGCCAAGCTGACCGCATCCAAAAGTGCACCGGCCATCGCCACTTTGCTTGCCTCCGCCATGACCGGGCGCCAGCCAGCCGACGCCACGGGCACTGACTCACTTGATCAGAGCTGTCAAAATGGTTTAGAACACGTTGCTGAAGAGCACACATACGGCATACTTGTCCTGGAAGATAAAAAAGGCCGCGAAAAGGAACGGTTCCCGATGAATCGCAATGTCATCTCCATGGGCAGGTGCGTGTCAAGCGACATGGCTCTCGCAAAATGCGTTCATTAGTGTCAGACTACTAACGCCCCACTATTCCCTTGCTATTTTTATTATGTTGCAGAGCGATGGAGAATGACGTGCGATTCCTCAAGAGCGAGATCTCACGCGTGCACTGTCGCATCATTTTCGATGACAATACAGGCGAGGTGTGTAACACTTGCATTCTAATCTTTGGACTCGGAAGGTGAACCAAGCTTTGGCACCCCCGCGTGCTCGCAGGCATCGATCGAAGTCCTTGGCTCGAACGGCATCGATCTCAACGGCATCCATGAGGCACCCTCGGCGTTTCCAGGGTCGAATCTCATTCCTCTATGCGAAGGTGACCTCCTCTTGATTGCGAAACGGTTCTTCCGCATGCGCTATCCGGGCGGCACATTTGCGCCTCTCCCCAAGCAGCCTGTCCGAGCTGATCCTATCATCGACAGCCCCGCCAACGCTGGTCCTGCAAGAAAGGGCCGCAGCAGCAACGTAGGGGCAGGAACACCGGCACGCAGGCGCGTCCGCATGTCTCTCGTGGCTGCTGCAGAGGTGTACAGCCCAGTACCTGCACTCCCAACAAAAACGGGCCTGTTCGCCGCAACGGAACGCCTGAATGGCGCTGAAGCGGAGCAGTCTATCCGCCTTATTTCGCCCTCCGCATCTTCATCCAAGGCGTCCACACCACGCAAATCCGCGCTGGCGAGTCCTGCGAAGCGTGGTACACTCAACCCAGGAAAACGCGCAAGCTTCGCTGCTAACCTCGAGATGGGCCCGACACCTTGTGGTATCGATGTGTTGGGCCTCGTCAGCCCAATGCGTGTTCTTTCTGCCCAAGAGCTCGGCGCCGAATGCTACCTGAAGAACCCGAGCCTCTTCGATGGTGCAGACCAAGGAACCCATGACGAAGAGGACGAAGATGTTGTGCTCCTTGAAGAGGTCGAGGAAGAGAGCGAGGGAGAAGCAGACGATGACGAGGCCTCTGTGGAGGGGGGCGAAAACATCGTCGCAGATGCCGAAGTTGATATTGATCAGCAAGCCGAAGCCGAAAGGGAAGCGGAAAGCGACAATCAGAACATGAATCCAAACGTTACTGAAGTGCTAGCGCAAACACCAGCAACCCCTCTGTCCATGCCTTCCATCTCTCCGCGCAAATCCAACCGTAAAGTTTCATTGCGCACCGAAGCGCTCTTGCGCGCTAGCAGTGCCGCGTACCGCCGCATGTCAGTCGACCCAACGAACGTTCCTCTGCCTGCGAGTGCGCCAGGCACGCCGGTCGCGCTTGCGGTTGCTGATCAAGGACAAGCGCTAGTTCGGGATGACTCAGACGACGAGGAAGAGGTTGACCGCAGCTTGAGCCTCATCACCTCGCCCTCTCGTCCCATCAACGAAGAACGACAGGAGCAACAACAGCGGGATGATGCTTCAGCGAACGTGCAGGCCACAACGCCTGCGAAGCAGCGAAAGCCGCTCGGGACGTCATTTATGACGCCGCAGCCTGCCAAAACAACTGGCTTCGCCTCACGTTCTCGCGCTCGCATGTCGCTCGGTGACTTCCGTGACAGTCCACGCACCGCTGGCGGTGCCGCTAAGGGAAGTCGCAGCCTCGTCACGAGCTTTAGCTTCACATGCGGAGCGCAGCAGACGCTCGAGAAGGCCACGGAAGAGGAGAAGACTGTTCTTCACCAGCTTCTCACGGACCGCCTAATGTTGCTTGAAGAGGAGGAGGAGGCTGCACTCATTGAAGAGGAGAACAAGGACAAGCAGCGTGGGCAACCTGACGCTCATATTGACGTCGGTGAGGGCTCCATTGTCGAACTCACGCCCGAATCAGCACCAGCTCCTGCTACATCAGACAACGACGCCATCGTTGTGGAAGAGAGCAAGCAACCAGTAGTGGCAACCTCTGATCCTGCAACGGAACAACTGAAAAAGCGCGGACGCATCTCGAATGCTCAGAAAGCCAAGGATGTAACTGTCGAGGTCGAAGAATTCGCAAAGCCCAGCGATGTCGTTGATGGCGAGCACGTAGCCGCCCCCCATTGCCTTGCAGGCGAGACCCCCATCCAAAAGGAGACAACGGAGCGAGAGGACATCAACGATATGGACGCCGCATCTGACGGGCGCGACGTTATGTTGGATCCGGTCAGCCTACCACAAGAGCCATTGGCAGAGAAGCCAGCTGCATCGACAGCCAAGAGAGCCCCAGCCCGAACACCCCGGGCTAAGAAGAGCAAGGCGACCGCTCAGCATGACGAGCAAGACACCGCCGCCTCGTCTACTTCTCACCCTGAGACTGCTACTGAAAAGCTTGCGCCAAAGAAATCGCTGCGAGGTGGGCGTCATGTGGTAAAAAAGACAGATGAGGCTGAAGTGCCAGGGGAGGTAGCAGTTGACGCGGCGACGGCAAACACCGAAGGGAAGAAGACGGCAAGGGGCCGCAAAGCCGCCAAGGCGGCTGCGATAGTAGACGACGACGCGCCCGGCGAGGCAAACGAACCTGAGGGTGCTGCCGGTGCTGCTCAAGGACAGGGAGCTGTGCCAGGGGAGCAGGCCGAGGTACCCGAAGCAGCCAATGCCGTTCCCGTGCAGACAGAGGCAAAGACTCGTAAGACTCGTAAGCAGCCGGAGGCTGACGCGCAGGAAGCAGCGCCGAAGACTGCCACTCGTCGTGGTCGAAAGGCAACGAAAGAGGTGGAAGCCGTGGCTAAAGCTGAGCCTGCAGCTGAAGAACAACCTGAACAGCAACAGGAAGAGCAGGTACAGGAAGTGGAGATTGCAGCTGAAACAGCAGCTCCTAAACGTGGACGGGGGAAAGCAGTGACGTCCAAGGCCAAGAAGAACGCGGCACCGCTCGCTGACAATTCTGAAAACGTGGTCCCCAGCTCGGATGCCGCACAGGCCGACAACGAGGCGAGCTCGCCCATGGCGCCATCGAAGAAAGCGCCGCGCGGCGCGGCACGCAAGCCGGCTGTACGCACGGCCGCAAAGAAGGCTGCGGCCACCATCACCGAAGTGGTCGTCGGCGGTGATGCCAAAGCAGCCAAAGCTCGTGTCACCGAGGATGCCCCCTCATCAGATGCTGTCGACATCGAGAACATGCCGATGCGCACGCGCGTTACTCGTAGCACTCGCAGTCGGAGAGCCTGATGCAAACCGATCTAGCTCGTTGGAACCTTCGCCTTCTTCTGTATCATTCTTTTGCTCTAATTTCGATTGGATCTATACTTGTTGAGGAAAGGCGTGGAGCCCATGTAACGCGACCACCGATATAAACTGAAGGCAGTTACTCTGTGCACACTCGTCTCCCTCTGAACCTCTGGATTGAATTTTACAAGTTCGTAATTAACTGTGTCTACACGTGTGCACGTAAATCGTGCAGAGTCGCACATTCCTGTACCCTTCGATGGCACCGAATGCTAGCAAGAGGATGCGACTCTAATTGTAAAGCTGTACTCCCATCTAAAGGAGGCGCTTGTATTGCAGGGTAAGCATGATGGTGTTGCAGATTGCCAGTGACTCGGCGCAATGTGTGGGTGGGATGTGATGGGTCCCAAGTCGATGCAGTTGTATGGGGCTGGAAGATTAGAGAAGCGTAAATTGTTCGTGCGGGATCAAGGCTTGCGATGGGTTCAGCAAGCGCTGAGAATAACCGAGGCAGGGATCTACTGATTGGGAGCCTGTTGCAACGAAAGCTTGTCTATGGTGCTTTGGCAGGCAACGCGAGGCGAATAAAGATGAAATAAGATGGGATGGATCCGGAAGGCTAGAGGTTTGGGGGATGGAAGAATACTGATCACGCATTCTTGGTATTCTGGGTGACGGCGCAGAGGGACGGGTTCGTGGTTCCAACCTCTGCTTTGGGCACGTACGCCGCCTTTTGATACGCAACGAGGGGATCGCCGGGGGTAGTACTCGCGGGACCCGAGCAGCCCTGCGAGTAGAGCTTGTTGCGCGGCCAGTTCTGGCCGTAACCGCCAACTTCTGGTGAGTTGCCCCAGGTGGTGAGGTTGGGGTTTCTGTACAGGGTTAGTGGGTGCGACGAAAGTCAGCTGGATGCACACGCAGCCGGTCTACAGAAATGAGCTACCCACGTGTAAGCCACGATATGACGGTTGATGTAATCCTTAGTCGGGTAGTCGGAGGGGTCGCAGCCAACGTTCTGGCCTGGCAATTGGTAGACTCTGATCCAGTCGACGTCCATCATGTTGGGCCACTTGAGACCTTTCCAATTGGGGGTGCCGAAATTCTGTGAGATGCCCAAGTTCATGATCAGGTATAGCTGAAAGCCAGTGCGAGGTTGGTCGTAAAGCGTCAGGCCTAGGCAGCAGTATCGCACCGAACGGATGACTCGCGAAAACTCACCGGCTCCGATGGGATGGGACGTCTGGAGATTTTGGACAAGGGGTCGGCAGCCAGCGACTCCGGGCCGAGCTTCCAAGCGGGCTTCCCGCTGGCTTCCCACCAGATGTACCCGTCATCACCCGGCTCATATTCGACCGCGTACTCGGAGAAAGTGCCGTTCGTCATCCTACCCGTGAGCGGATCCACCGCGTACTGCGTCGCGTGTTGGTCCGTCGGCGTGACAGCTGAGACAGCCTGCTGGGTGACCTCACCGGTGTAGGTGTTCATGACCGTCCCTAAGCCGATCAGGTCTGGCTCAGCGACGAGCTTGTAGTACGCATTGAACGGCGCAAACTGAGCCGACTGCGAGACTTTCATTTCCCCCTCGGACACTTGAGCCTCGAAGATGTCAATCTCGGGAGCAGAGCGGCCGCGGTAAGACCCATCCGACAGCTTGGGGCCCGGATGGTCCTCGCCAGAGCATGTGCAAGCTGAGAGACGCTGGCCCGGCAGATACGATAGGGCTTGGGTGAAATGCTGTATGGGCAAAAGGCCCGAGTTTGGTCAGTAGCAACATCCTCCGATCCCAAGCATTCTTCAAGGGAGTAGCAGCGCCAGCAGCAAACACACCTTTGAATTGAACGCACAGTCGCCTAGGTTGAGCGTGTCCGGATTCGGCGTCCCCATGGCCCAGTTGGTCTGGTTGAGCATCGTGCCAACATCACACGTCTCGTACGAGTAGGGCCACGTGCCCTCAAGCGTGGCGCCATAGCCGGCTCTGCCGAGGTTGCCCATCATCCAGATCGCAGGCCAAAGTCCCGGGACCTTGGCCAAGCCGGGCAGGCGGACGGAGACGACCACAATGCCGCCGGTGAAGCAGAACTTATTCCACGTCTGGACCATGCCGCCGCGGAAGTTGAGGTTGTGCTCCTCATGCTGGCTGAGTGTGATGCGCAGTGCGCCGTCCACAGTCGTCACCGCCGCGGGGTCGTACCACTCGTCTACGTAAGAGTAAGGACACGTCGTCAGGCCGGTCAGCGACAGTAGCCGAACAAGGGAGAAAGTGAGAAGAGGGACATGCGCAGCACGGCGCAGCGCCATGCAGAGCGGAAGGGGGACGCGGACTCACAGTTGTTGGTGGCCCAGTAGTGCAGATCGACCGCTTCCCAGAAGGGGTCATCGCCGGGGTAGAAGCTGCGGCCGTCGGTGTTGAACTCGTCGGAGAAGACGAGGTTGTACGTCTGGCCGTCTGTGCCGAAGCGCGTCCTGGCCGAGCTGGGCGTGTCGGGGTCAATGAGCGTTGTGCGGACGTTGGGGACGCTCGACACCTGGCCCGACCCGTTGGTACCGCCGAGGCCGAAGCCGCCCTGGTTGCTGTATTGCCGGCCAAAGTAGTGGCTGAGGACCGGGTAACCCGCGAAGAGCATCAGGAGGCCGAGGCTAAGGATCGAGACAGAGCCGATATTGAGAATGGCGCGTGAGGTCCAGCGCGAGGCGTTTGCGTCGTCGACCTTTTCCGGGTCGTGCAGGTCGTCGTCCGGCTCGGGCTTGCCGTCCATGGTGTCCCAGCTGAACGGGTTGACAGAAGTCATGTTGACAATGTCCCGGAACGTCATCTTCCGCCCACCGATGATGAGGCCCGAGCCATCGCCGGGGGCAGTGATTGGGTAAGTTTTGTCGTCCCCCCAATCGCCGGTGTTGTCGGCATGCGAATGGAACAGCGTGGTGCTATCGTTGCAGTGGCCGTAGCTGAGGCTCTGCACCGCTGGCAGTGAAACGGGGCCCGAGCCTGAACGGGAGCCAGCAGCAGCTGCTGCACCATCGAGCAGTGGCTTCTTGCTGCCGTGGTTGTGGCTGGTGCTCGACGCGGGTGGGGGGTAGGCGCTGTCAAAGCCGATGATGGAGAAGGTGTGCGGGCGCGGGTTGAACTTGTCGTTGATCATCGGCATGGGCGGCGAGTGCCCAGCAAACTTGCGTGGACCGCCGCTCCTCGTGCCACCGCGGGAGGAGGCGACGGAGTGGGCGTCGTCTGACGTGCTCACTTCGGACGACGGACGCTGGGTGCCGCCGCCGGGTGCCCTTGGGAGCGACTCGCTCGAAACGTTGGCGAACGCGCTGATGGAGCCGATGACAGGACTGGCATTCTCTGCGGCTGCGGCGCGGTTGAGTGTGCGCTTGCGCGCAGCAGGCGTGAGCGCCGCGATGCCGGACGCGGAGAGCGTGGTGCAGTGACCATAGCGCCTGGTGTACGCGTCGTCATCGGCAGCGGGTGCCGCGACACCGCCGCCGCCGTTGCTGTTGCCGCTATATCGCCACTTTTCCGCGCCTGCCCCGGGTACCAGCCCCTGTTCGGCGCGGGAAGTCGAGGGCGGGACATGCTTGGCCTTGGCCTCCTGTGCAAGCGCATGGGACCCCTTCGAGCGAGACATCAATGCCGCAGCCGATGGCGGTGGGATGGACGATGGCACTGCGCGATGCCGTGAGCCTCCTGCTGCGGCTAGCGCGCCGGAATGGTTCCACGCACTACCGTTGCCACTGGCAACGGCGTCCTGCAACGACACGGCAGCGGCGCTGTGGTATGTGATGATGCTGTGGTCCGTGACGGCGCTATGGTCCGTGCTGACGCTGTGGTCCGTGATGACGCTGAGGTCCGTGATGGCGCTGACCGGCCGCTCCGGCAGCGGCCGGATGGCTGAGAAGCGCGTGGCGTCGCTGAGCTCGGCGCCCAAGTCCGTCAGGGGGCTGCCGCTGCCGCTCGGGCTGCCAAAGGAAGCCCACTCATCTGAGGCGTCCGTGCGTGGCGTGCTGGCGGACACGGCGAGGGGATGCCGCTGCCGCTGGCGCGCGAGCGAGTCCGAGACATCCTCGCGCACCGCGATGGGGCCCGCGGGCACCCTAGTGCCTCTGCTGCCCATTGATGCTGCGTCTGCGGCCAGCTGCTGCTGCTGTTGCTGCAGGTCCTTGGTGGCCGGGATGAGCAGTCGGTGCAGCTTGCGTGTGGCCGCTGAGTGGCCGCTCGCGTCGCTGTCGGCCGCTTGCATGGAGACACCGCCTGTTCCTGTTCCTGCAGCTACGTGTGCGTGTGCTGCTCCTGCTGCCAACGAGGAAGAGGAAGAGGATAGCCCCGAGGCGAAGGGGTTCTTGTTGCCCTCGTCGCCATCGTCGAAAGACGGTGCGCGAGATAGGAATGGATCATTCGATTCTGCCCGATTCTGCAGCGGTTGGTTCGTCATCTGCCTGTTCTTGCCGCTCTGCTTGCGGCTGGACATGGCGAGTGGGGATGGCCGAGTGGAGTGCATGTACGCGCTGTGAGTCGCAAGACTACTAGCAGTAGTCGCCGTGTTGCCTTTCTTCTACCCGATCTCCAGCTCGGGCGTGGGCACTGTCGACGCGGGCTTGCGTCCTTTCCTTGCTATGTTCTGCGGCGGCAGATCCCTGAGTGCGAGACTGCTAGGAGCATGCAAGTGCGAGAGGCTGTGTGCTGTGCGCCTGTGGGCCGGCCGGCGCAAATTGCAGAGCCTGCCGAAGACTTGTGAGAAGAGCACGACGCTCGAAACTTGGTCAATCTCTCTTTTCTCCTTTTTCCCCTCTCCTTTGGGGATGGATGCCGGACTCGGATGGCTTCGTTCACCGCAAATGGTAGTGTCCGTCAAGGGAAGCAGCTGCGTCGTCGTCGTCGTCGTCGCCGGCTGCGTGGGCGGGATACTAGCAAGAGAGGTTGGTGACCGGGGATGACCTGCCCTACATACGGGCTGGCAGGGATGTGCCTGCACGGGTGCACATGTCTGCAGTCCCTATCCAACCCAACGCAGCAAATAGCAGCCAGCCCTCATAGAATTATGCACTGCTCGAAACTTGATTGGATTTATCGTCCGTAACCAAATTACCGCACCACACACAGCGGAGGAGGCGGAGGACAGAGGACACGGGCTCAGTGCCGGCAGCGGCGATCGCCAAACTGTGCACACCCGCACCCACACTCTCGATCTTCTCTAACAATTCAACTCGGCTCCTCTCCTTGTCGACGCCTTCCTCCTGCATGGCGCAACAGCGGCACAGCACCAGACCTTCTTTCTTATTTGTGCTCTCTCTGGCCAACGTTGCGCCTGCCCTGGACTGCTGATGGTGGATTGCCGCCTCGAGCCTGCCGCAGCTCCACCCAGCGGCGATCTCGGACGCCAGGACTGTGTAACACATCCTTGCACTGGGCTGCCCTTGATTTGGGAGCCGCCACGGCAGCTCTTCGGTGCCTGTGAGCCCCCACAAGTCAGCGAAAAAGAAAGAAAGAATGGATCCACTCTTCTTGAAACTCACCCAGAGCGGTTGGCCGGGTGCGACACGGCTGCAGTGCTCCTTTGTGCGCTTCAGTCGACTGAGCCGGCGATCGCCCCCACCAGTTTGCGTTAGTGCACCCCCGAATCCAGTGGCATTTCATGGGTATTTGGAGCAGGCTCCCCGGAACTCTCAGGACTGGCACCGAATGCGAAGCCACTGCAGCGCATTGCCGGCGGGGCGCAACGCGGATGTCCGACAGGCTGCTTCTTGCAACCCAGCTCCACAGACCGACCATGTAAACACACATATAGGCGAGCCGGTGGTCATCGCTACGAGGAGCGGGGGGATGCAGCTCTCACTTCCCACCAGGCCACCGCATTCTGGAGATGGACTGCTGACAGTTAGTAGACGGCGGCAGCGAGTGCGAGCGGCAAGAGCGTATTCTTCGTGCCTTCCCGCGAGAGGCACGGGGAACAATGCCAGTGGCGTGCAGGTTTGCTTCAGAAACAGCACCCGAAGGTGTTGGTGCCGAGAAACTTACTCTCCCATGTATATATCTCGACTCGAAGTCGGTATGGCGCCTGGGAGGCCCGCGCAAAAGGGAACAAAAAGAATCGGTCTGCGACTTGCCCCCAGCCAGTCCTCCATCGCATCTGACACAGGGCGTCCAGGTGCAGGACGGCAGGGGTCAAGCTTCTGAGCAACGACACGCGCACAGCGCGTAAGCTCCGCTCGCGTACAATACACCTATCTACACACATCACAATGTAGAAGCATGCAGCGCCGGGCGGGCCGACGTGGGGTAGCCAGTGTCCGGGAAGAGAAGAACAGTACATGTCCTTGCAACGATAATGACGAGCGAAGAAGCATTTCCGAATGGAGCGAGAGGAAGAGGGGGAGAGCGTACGCGCGAAGAAAGAGACAAGTAGCACAGATGCAATGCTGTGATACAACAGAAAGGCGCACAGAGAAGAGAGGCGAGGATGAAATAGGGGATACCGCATCAGGCGAGCACGAGTAAAGGCCCCGCAGCAGAGGCAATGAGCAGCGACAGCAGCGCGGCGAGCACGCCGCGGGCCGTAGCTGCCACGCTGGACTCGGCGCCGGTCACGACGGACCCGGCTCCAGCAGCGTTCGCCGCACGGCCCGTCGCTGTAGCAGCCGCGCTCGTGGCAGCACGCGTCGTCAGCCCGAGCGCGACGGCACGCGAGACGCTGAGGGCGCTCGCGACGCTCTGCAGCGAATGGCCCGCGCTGCGCGGGTCGCCCCACGCGTTCGTCGGGTCGACCGTCGCGGGCCAGATGCCGCTGCGCGAGCCCGTTTGCCACGACTCCTCCAGAACCGCCTGCACCGGGTCATTCTCTGTTAGGCGGAAATTGCTCGGCTGTGCCGTGTACTTGCTCGAGAACGTCCCGCGCGGCACCGTGTCAATCCCCTCAAGGATCACGGTCGCCATACCTTGCATCAGGTGGTCGTCCTGCACAAGCGGTGAGCCGCAAAGCCGTGCGATGTCACTGACAACTCGTCACCTGCTTTCACTTTCTCGCCTACGCTGCAACTCACAATGTGGCAGTGCAGCATGACCGCGGCACCGTGAGCGTTCGCGACGAACCTGATCGTCGTCCACGCGTTCGGACCGATATCGAAGCTGTCTCTCATCGGCGGGTTCCTGCGTCCAAATGTGGCAGCCAGATGAGCATCTATGCACCCTTCTTGCACGGCAGCGCCGTTTCAGCGCTCCCATTCACTCACTCGAAGTTGAACTTGACGCCGGCGTTCTGCGCCTCTTCGACAGTGTCATATGCGAACGAACCGGAAGCTTGTCCAATCACCCAGAAATGGTGGCTGCGGTTTGTGTAGCCGATACGGGGACGGTCAGTGGGGGAGTTGTACTCGGCACTTGGCTAACGTCGCCACTCACTGATGCAGATGGAATGGGTGCGGAGCATTGGACTGGGAAAATCGAACGAAAAGATCAGTAAAAGATGGCCTTCACAGAAATGGGGAAGAAAGGCTGACTTTGCCGACGATACTGTATGGTGGATTCTCAATGACGATATCCACGACAGAGCCGTCAGGGATCTTGGGGCTCAGCGGCATCATGCTGGTGTCAATGTCCTCCAGGCTCTTGCCTTCCTCCGTCAGTTGGAAGAGCACCGGATCCCGTTCGTCCGCCTGCACAGTGTTCATCGGCTGCTCCGCAATCTGCCACACGTTAAGTGAGCCCTGAGATATGTACGCGTGCAGCGTAACATTGGCATACGTCGGAACCGCGCTGGACGGCTCGAAAGGAATATCGGCTGACTGGTTCCACTGAATCGCGCTTGTGCTGATCGCGCCGCCGTATGTGACCGACGAGTTAATGCGGTTGTGCAGGTAGTTGAACCCGTCGTCGATGCTCGGCGTAACCGTGTCGCCGACGCTCGAGTTGTACGACAGCAGTGCGAACCCCTCGATCGGCTGCAGCGCACGGAGCCCTGTGAAGCGGATAGGCCAATCCTGGTACGCTTTCGACTCGTCCAGCTCAATCATCACGCTGATCCGCGCGCCGATCGTGAGCTGCGCGAACTCGATAATTTTCGGCTGCACGTACAGCCCATCGACAGCGACGAGCCACATCCTGCCAGGTCACAGAAGAAACGGGTTAGATGCCTTCTGAGTGCCATGGGCGCATGGCAAAGTACATACCTGTGGTTGTCGATCGAGAAGCTCGAGTACCAATTCGTCTCTGCATCGATGATCTGAAGTGACAAATAGCGCCGGCCTGCGGCTAGCGCCGCGCCGGCATTGTACACCGTGATCGGCGCCGTGGTATTTTGGCATTTGCCGCCGAAGTACTCATCCAGCACGGTGATCGCATCGAATCCATGCTTGGGAGCGACCAGAGACAGGCAGCCCTTCGACGAGAACCTAGTTTGCACATCTGAGTTCTGCGCCAGCAGGATGTTGGTGACAGGCTGGACGACGGCCGTGTAGTTGTCATGGCAGTACTGGCGCCCGCGACCATTGATCAGCAGTGAATCCATACATGCTGGAGGCACGCCCGTCGTATGAACTTCGAGCTGCATCTCGTCCGCAGTGATGTGCCACTGGTCAGTCCGGAAGTGGACGGAGTAGTTGCCCTCGGCCCATTCCAGCTGGTTGATCGTGTCAATGTCGTTGGAGATCAAGGACCATGGCTTTGCCTGTAGAAGCAAAGTCACACATTAGCACCAAGCCAGTGCTGGACAGCGGACCTGAACCACAGATGCACCCGTGTGCTCTTGGGCCGGACGTAGATCGGCATACGAAGCCCATCACTGAATGAGCCCCGAGGTTGCACATCGTTCTTCAGTGTGACTTCCAAACAGCTTCACCGCCAAGAGTAGCACGAGCTGACCTGTAGTAACCCTATCATATCGGAAGAATGCAGAATCAAATGTTAGCGTAATCGAAGGAAAAGCAACAGGGTGCTTCAGCACGTACTAGGGTATGACTGTGAGCCCAGAACGCCCCGTATTGGCCTTTGACTTGGAAGCGATACACATACTGCTCTCCGTATGGAATGTTCCATTGCGTTACGCCAGGCACGCCGTCCATGTCTAAAGGCGAGTTGAAGCAATTCAGTGCATGCAAGCCTCGCCGCCATAGCTGCACGACTCACGAGGAGTTCCGATTTGGTAAATACCATGCCAGTGACTATACTCAAGCGTGAAAAATATCAGCAGTTTAACACGGTCCAACGAACGAACGAAGAGTAGGCGATTCACATTGCGAACGGTGTGCTTGAATTGTTGATGACTGTAGATCGGTCCGGAGAATGTCAATGAATTGAATTATGAAGGGCTTCCTCAACTGTCGTACTCACCAGTGATCTGGACCCAGTCGTCCTCGTCCCAGACCAACGTTTCAGCAGGGTACTGGCCATTGATAAGATAGTGGATCCTCCCAAAGCCGTCTACCAGAGTAAATAGATTCAGAAATTTGCTAGTAGCGTCGTCGCCTCTGATTCATAAGCCCACCTGGTGCATACCACCCCTTGCTCACGGTGATTGTGAAGGTTTTGTTTGGCGCTGGGAAGTTGCCATCGGTGTAGATCACAGGATCATCTCGTTTCCGTACGATGTAGCCCTTCTCTTGAGTGATACCTCCAATGATCGGAGAAGCATAATTGCGCTCTCTATCCACTTCTCCCCTGCTGAGCAGATATCCTTTCTCCAGGGCGAGACCACCAATGATGGGTGAAGCGTAGTCTGAGTCTCGAGGTTGCTTGACCGCACTGGCCTCTCGCGTTACCAACCATACATCGAGGTCGTCGCGGGAGACGGGAGGAACGCGAGGCTGAGCAAAGAACTTGGTAGACAAAGCCCCCGACGCGAGCAGCGAGAAGATGATGGAGAGCGCACCTAGGCGCGGGGCGAGACGCATGATGGGCGGGGGAACGCAGTTACGGACAAGGCCTCTGAGCTGCAGGGCGATAAGGTAGTAGAATCTGTCCATCATTTTGGAAAGGCCTCACGAGCTTTATATGCAGGCAAGAGATCAGATCTGAAGCCACCGAAGGCCGTTGCTCGTGGTAATTACGCGGGCGCCACTTGCTTGAGACAAGTGAAATGGCCTGCTCTTTGCTTGTCCTCAAGCCCCAAACTCATTCGGCAAGAGTCAGTAGAAGAGAAGAGCGCATGTGGCGTATGTATGCTGAAAGTTACCCCCCAAGTAGTGGCTCAGCACCGTTTTTGATGCGGTCTGTTCCTGCTAAAGTCAGTAAAGCCATGGAGCACAGAGGATGCGGGCGGGCTTATGGGAATCGGTTTGGTGCCTGCGTTTCCGTAATGAATTATCAGCATGAAACTCTCGACTCTGGAGGAAGCGTGCAGAACACATTCTGCACAGAGCCAATCCGCTCAAGCTGACAATGTTCTTTGGGTAGCCGCAAGAAAAAGCCTGAGGACGCCTGATGTGCTCTCGGCACGTGTCAATGAATGCATTGCTTGACCACATCCGAGTGGTGTTTCTCGATGTTCTCTGCTCGCTTGTGTTTTTGTTTGCTTGCTTGCTTTGCGTGTTTGTTTGCTTGCTTGATGTAAACGTAATCGTCTCTAGTCCTAGCAGCGAGTGGTTAAAATCAGAGCGTGGGTATCGAGGCACGCAAACAAACTCAGACCCCGCACAAGTCTTGGTGTGACTCGTGTCTGTATCATATACCAGGCTGCTCACGCGCCGCGTTTCGTTTGCAATGGTGGCAGTCGCAGGTGTGAGCAAGTGGGAGCCCGAGTGCCAGATCGAGGGCAAGCGACACAACAACAGGCAACAACAAGCAATTGGCGGTGCGGGACCTTGATCGCCAACAAGTAACGCCGTGCATTGGGATGAGAGAAATGCGAGCGGAAGGACGTAATGTGCCGTAGGACGGACGGAGGCGAGTGCCGCAAAGCCCGCAACTCTCGACACATGTGATATACAAGGCCTGACCGGCTCGCACACACGGCGGTTGCCCTGAAGCACTCTATGCATCGCACGTAGAGGTAGAAGTGCTGCAGCACAATTCACTCCGGGACTGAATGTCATGCCAATCAATGGTGTATATAAGTACAATGAGGTATTCAACAAGTAATGCTAATGTGTAGGCCGGACACCGACCAGAGCTGCTGTGCAGCATCAGCTGAGATCCAAGGTATCGTCCCTGATGAATAGCTCTTCGCCATGCATCGTCCTCGAGATCCTTCGCCTTGCCACGGAAGGCCAAAATCAAGTGACGATGATGGCATCTTCCCTCGACCCTCCTTTCTTGGCCGCCGTTGCCGTCGTTATTATCCTCGATCTGGAAGAGGCGTTCGGACTGCCCGACCCGTTCACGTCCTCGCCCGCGCGTATACGCGAGCCTCGAGTCCCACAGCGCCTGCGTTTATACGCAGGCGCGATGCTCTCTCCACTCTCGATGCTGCTGTCGCCGGCGAGATCGATGATGGCCGGCTTCCCCCCGTGCAGCGCCTGTGCTGCCCTTTTCGCGTCCATTTCGCTGCTCGTCAGTTGCCTCTTCTTTCCCTTTCCCTTGCTCTTGCCCTCAAGGAGGGCACCAGGCGCACGCGGGCCATTGCTAGCGGTGGCGAGCGTCGATGGGCGCATGGCGTCTGCGTATTCCTTGCCATAACGAAGCTCGAGCGTGTCCGACGGCTTGCCATGCTTGAATCTGAGTCCTTGTACAGCCTTCTTCTTCAATCCTCCAAAGAAGCCACCACTGATGGGTGTACGGCAGACGGGGCAGGCGTGGCGCATCGGATCCAAATCTTCAACGGAGATGCGGCGTGTACCTGGTTGACGAGTCAAGGAGGAAGATACCTGAGCCGGTGCATCGGCCGATGAAGATGAATCTCCGACGTTCGCACGATTTGCTTCCAGCCCTCCATTTGCACCGCCGCTGCTGCCGCTTCCGTCGATACCAGGTCCAGCACTGCCAAATTGAGAACGGAGGATACCCATAAGAGCGCGGAAATGGTGAAACGGGCCCTGCTCTGCAGGCGCACTTTGTTGCATCCTCAAGTGTACGCCATGTGCACGTGCTGCAGCGAGCCATGCCTCCTCTGCGTCACCCAAAGCAGTCATATCGCCGGCAAGGAGGGCTGCCATGCGATCCGCGGTGGCAGAGGGCAAAGGCTGGATGCCAGTTTCAGCCAGAACACGGCGAATGCGAGCCGTCACAGGCTCCATCTGGCGGAGAAGGGTCGCATAGCTAATATCCCCAAATGATCCAGGCATGAATGCGGCGCGACGTGAGCGTGCTTCAGCTGCCGCTTTCTCCGCTTCCGTCTTGGCCACTTGGAACAAGCACTCGCCGCACAAGACGTGCCCGCAGGGTGTGGCAACTGCGTTGCGCGGCGCTTCGAAGCAGATAGGACATGCATAGTCGGCAACCAAGGGAGGAAGCAGCTTCTGAGGCAGTTTGGTGACGTGAGAAGGTTCCAGCTGTAAACCTTCGCTCGAGCTGCCTCGCGTTTGCGCCGCGGGTGACTCGGAATCGGCCATGGAGGATCTTCGAGACCCTCGCTCGACTTGTTCTTGTGGCGCGTCGGATTCACTGACAACGATAGAGGGGGACGATGTAGAAGGAGTTAATAGCAGCTCTCTCGCCGAAGGCAGGGTCGAGAATACGCCAGCAGGTGGCGAGCGTGGATCGGCGGCGAGAGTGATAGGGGCGTCAAAATCTTCAGCGTCTGAGCCGAGGTCGGTGGCGGCCACGTTTTGCCCTGAGATGGACACGTGGGTATCATGCAGCAGCTGCCCAACTCGAGCAAAGCTGATCGGGCCGGCCCCGTTGACAGTTTCAGTAACGCCTGAACTCGCAACTGTCCCTGCGACTCCATGTTTGCCACCTGTTGGCGCCGCGTCATCAGCATTGGGGTCGCGTATCACAGACTCTGAAGCGCCTGTAGATTCGTGACTTGAAGCGCTCAGAAGCGATCGACCTTCGATGGAATCTTCGCCTTGGGTGCTATCGGCCATGCTGACCGATGGGCTCAAAGCTGATGCTGCAGACGACCTGCTCGACTCTCCTGGTAGGAGTGGACAGTGGTTCATCGCCGCGTTATTTGAGCTTTGGCCCCTCTCCGCTGCGCTCAGATGTGACATTTGATGCACTCAAGCTGTCCCTGTCTCGTTGCTGCTGGTACATGTGAAGATGTTGCCTCGGTGCCGTACGAGGCCGGGCAGACTTGTGCCGGTGGCGCTGAGAGGAAAGCTATGGGTGGAGCTCACCGAGTCCAGGAGCGATCCTCGGTGGAAGCGACCAGCTCATATGAGCCCGGCCTAGCTTGATTCGTCAACAGCCTTGCTGACATGAAGACCTAGTCTTGTCGGTTGCCTCTAAACAAACTCTTGCAGGCTCTGGCCTGGGGTAGACCTGCTGGCTATTCCGTGGACGACCTGGCAACAAGAGGCTGTTTCGCGGACGCGGTCCTCACAGCTCACCTTGATAAAGTTGCATCACGTGACAACATTTCTGCAGCCGGAGCAGTGCGGGTGGCCCACAGAGCAGAGAGGAAACTGAACGCCAGCTGGCCACAGCCCATGGGCGCGCTGCAGTCTTCTCACGCCAATGAATGTCCGCCATCCTTTCCTTTCATCAGCTTTCCCTCCTTCTTACCTCCATTCTTGGCAAAGCAGCTCCTCTTATCATCGTACGGACATTCTTGTCTATGCTCACAGCTGGAAAGATGTCGGCAAGGTACCTCGTCGGCCGCTCTCTCGCCTCGGTTGCGCTTCGGCCCGCTCCGGCCAAGCGGGTGGCAGCCGTCGTCCCTGCAAGGACGCTGGCAACCGCTATCAACCGCTCGGTGAGTTTCTTTTCTCTTTTCAACGCGTGGAGAGGCACATGAGGAATGGCTAGCAGAGAAGAGAAGGGATGGACTGACATCTCCTAAACTTTTGCTTCCAATTTGATGCATGCAACCTCGTGCAGCCCATCACTCAGGTCACGACCCTTTCGAATGGTCTGACTGTAGCAACGGAGAGCAACCCTTCGGCGCAAACGGCCACTGTTGGAGCATGGATCGACGCTGGGTCGAGGGCAGAGACTGATGCTACCAATGGTACGGCTCACTTCCTAGAGCACATGGCATTCAAGGGTGAGTCGCAAGATGCATTTGCGCTTGTGCATAGGGTGATCTTCTCATAAACCCTGCGAAACGTGCCCCACGCATTCAGGCACTGGCAAGCGCACGCAGCAAGGTCTCGAGCTCGAGGTCGAGAACCTTGGTGCTCACTTGAACGCCTACACTTCACGCGAGCAGACTGTCTACTATGCCAAATCCTTCCGCAAGGATGTGGACAAAGCGGTTGACATCATCTCGGACATCCTGCAGAACTCCAAGCTGGAGCAGAGCGCCATTGAGAGGGAGCGGGATGTGATTCTGCGGGAGCAAGAGGAAGTTGATAAGCAGACAGAGGAGGTCGTGTTCGACCACCTGCACGCGGTCGCCTTCCAGGGTCAGGCGCTCGGCCGCACAATCCTCGGCCCGGAGAAGAACATTCGCACCATCACTCGTGATGACCTTTCATCGTACATCAAGACCAACTATACTGCCGACCGCATGGTCCTCGTTGGCTCGGGCGGTATTGAGCATGCGGAGTTGGTCAAGCTGGCTGAGAAGAACTTCTCTTCGCTTCCCGTCTCGACAAACCCGATCGCGCTGGGCCAGAGTTCGCACCCCAAGACCAAGTTCGTCGGTTCCGATGTCAGGATTCGTGACGACTCGATGCCGACGTGCAACTTTGCAATCGCCGTCGAGGGCGTCAGCTGGAAGTCACCTGACTACTTCCCGATGCTCGTCCTGCAGTCCATCATGGGCAACTGGGACCGCTCGCTCGGCTCTTCGCCGCTGCTGAGCAGCCGTCTGTCGCACGTCATCTCGAGCAACAACCTGGCCAACTCGTACATGCACTTCAGCACGTCCTACTCCGACACCGGCCTGTGGGGCTGCTACTTTGTGTCGGAGAACGTTTACAACCTGGACGACCTCGTACACTTTACGCTGAAGGAGTGGCAGAGGATGTCCATTGCACCACTCGAGGGCGAGGTTGAGCGCGCCAAGTCGCAACTCAAGGCATCGCTCTTGCTCGGTCTCGATGGCACGACGGCCATCGCCGAGGACATTGGCAGGCAGCTCGTCACGTCCGGCAAGCGCCTGACACCCAAGGAGATTGAGGCTAAGCTTGACGCAGTCAATGCGAACGAGATCCAGCGCGTCGCAAAGACATACCTCTGGGACCAATCGATCGCGGTCTGCGCGACTGGTCAGACAGAAGGTCTGCTGCCGTACGACCGCATCCAGACTGGCATGTCATCCATGATCTACTAGCCGGATCGCAGCGAGCAGCGGTCAAATCTCAACCTCATTGGTCATGGAGATCACAGTCCGGTTTCCCTCCTCACAAGGAAGCGTGTGGGCGAAAAGATGCACGTCAATTGCATGTGCTGTGGAGAGGAAGAACTGAACTGTAATGTAAGAATTTGGCAGCACTTCAAGGTCTAGAATGGTGGCATCTGTGCGTCTCCCTACGTGTGCACCTTGTTGAGATATGTGCTTTTTCCTATGAGATCGTTTCGGCCGCCAGGTCTCGTCTGAACCCCTCAGCTTGCGGTCGGACTTCGAACCTCGTAGACAGATTGTCGGATTGATTCTCCCTCTGCCGCAGCAGAGCAGCAAAAAACAAATGTGGTGCTATATAGGATTCCAATTTCACACGAACGCACGCGTTTCACAATCTGGATGATCAGGTTTATTATAATCTGAATGGTAACGTCTTGTCCCATCACATGGCACCCTGGGGCAAGACGGCGCTCGCGCCTAAGGGGTTGGCTAGCTATCGATCAATCGGATGAAGTTGTGCAGAGGCACGTCAGATGACCAGAGTATGTGGATATTGCCTGAAGGCCTGGTACACTGATCATTCGATTCTTCCTCAAGAGGTGGAATGGCCCAGTCGGGCAGGTCGACAGCCTTGCCAGCTTCGCACCCTTCCCAAATGTCAACTTGGAGACTGCGCGAGCCACCGATCTCCTTAGCGAATGGCGAGAGTTTGCAGCTTTTCTGAAATGGTGGCAAAGTTTTCTTGAGATGGTGGGTTCGATTGACCTTGATTCTCGCCTCCGGCTAATCCCAGTCGCAGGTCTATTAGGCCCAGGAAGTGTGGAGTTTTATCCAGTATATCTGGCCTTGATCATATATTTGACAAGAACTGAATTGCTGTCTGTGCAAAGATTGCAGACAGCTCGGACAGCATCAGAATGCCCGAGGAATGAGTAGCCTGGATTCGCCGAACGAGTCTTTTGCTCGCCATCAGTGCCCAGTATACCATCGCCAAAGGACGCTCGAGAAAGTGGAGCTCTTGCTCAGGACTGCTATCAGAGTATTCGTACTGCAAGTATCGTCCGGGTCCGGGGCGTTAAAGTCCCACTTGTTACGATACACCCAGGAAGGGTGCCCACAAAAGCATCTGACACTTTCTGACCGAGTTAGTCCCGCGCCATGTTCACTAACCGGCCCCTTGGCGAGACATCAATACCGAGAGATAGACGTCGCAGTGGCCGCCTCCTGCCGTCGAAGATCATCCACAAAGGACTCTGAGACAATGCTGCAAAACAACCGAAAGGGAGGGTTATTGGCAAAACGCTCTGAACCATTTTGAGCTGAATTGTAACACATTTTTGCGGAAGAACTCGCCTTGCGCCCCGACGTGCACCCTCTCAAGGCTCGGTGACCGAGACAGCGCTCGGCACATCCGCAACGACATGGTGGTCAGTGCTGTCTCCCAGTAGAAACATCGCAACTTGGGCAGGCGTTCAAGGATTGGTTCCAGAGCTTCGCGATAGTCGACGATATCCTTGGTCGACGGATCCTCCCCTTGGCCATCGGGCCCGTGTGTCCACTTTGTATAGCATGCACCATTAATGTAGTACGATCATTCCTCTTCGTTGACGTCATCGGCAACGGCCACCTCCCCCGGCTCGACCCACTTGAGCTTCTCGCACTCCTTATTCCAGTCTCCTGTCCGCAAAAAACCCAGTCCTCGGGGCGCCCAAAGAAAGTTCTAATCATAGTACTCCCCACCCGGGGCGATCCAGGACAGGCTGGCATGTACTTTGAAGCCTTGAATATGTCGAAGCCCTTCATGGAGCACCTCAACTCGATGCAAGAATCTTTGAACATCTCCAATATGGCTCGATCAACGGAGCGCCCAGAGCCTGTCAACAGAAACCATGCAGCACATCCAGCATTTTGCACTTTTGCACGGATAGAGGCGCGCTTCGTAGGAAAATACCTCGCATCAGCTCAGGCTCGGAGGGCCTTGTAGGTCAGCGCAGGCTGTGTAATGATACGTCTTCGAAGCATCGCGTGTTGAGGGAAATAGATCCAATGAGTCTAGGAAGGTCAGTCACGGTGAGCCTCGGCAACAGTAAATGGAATCTCCGCACATCGACTGAGTGTCTACTTTCCGATACCTCGGGCTTGATTAGGCTAACAATCAAATTTCCTCGGGTATACCACCAGGCTTCTCGTCCCGGCTAGTCGTCGTTCACCTGGTCAGTGGACCATTCGGACGAGGAGCTGGTTATCAGGGGGTGATTGTAAGCGGAGAAGTCCGTACGGCCAATTGCGAGCTGTGGAAACCGTGCGCTGCCTGCTGAAGTCGCAACCCGTCGCAGTCGTAAAAGAGTAGTGGCGGACGATGATGAGGAAGTGTCTGGAACTTGGGGTTAGGTCGAAGCGAACTTATGGCACTGAGCCAGGGGCGCAGATCCCTAGAGTCCGAAAGTGATGGGAGAATCCAACCCAGTCAAGTCCCTCATCTCTCTCATCCGCAACCCGCTCGCCAGACTCTCTTCTGTGACGATGCGCACGTAGCTAGCGCTTCATCAGTGGGCTGGCGCCACATTCAGTCTCCAGTAGGCAGAATCCATGCGTTAGGTATCCATGGCTATAGCTAGTCCGTCGCCAACCCGGTGAGAGCTGCTTGCCGGCTGAATAAGATCGGACCGCCGGCGGCCAGAGCATCTCCAGATCCTGTCTCGAATGAATAGGTAGCTCTCGCGGTTCTCGCGGGTCTGACTATAGTCTGGCGATACGCGACCGGATCACTATTTGACCATCTGGACCCGAACAAGGGCCAAGGGTCTGGCGACACTCGAGCCTCAGAGAGATCGCTATATAACAACCGCATGACAAAAATGCCCATGGAAACAGCGACGGCCAAACGCGCAGCCCTGCCGTTCTTGGCCCCCACACCTGAAAGGTCATTTTTGGCCTTCTATTTTCGACCCTTTGGTACCTACATCACAACACAATGCCTCCATATCACAATACGGCATCAGCACGCGAAGGCTGTTCCGGAGAATCGTGCAATGTAATTTGTTTTTGTAAAGCGTGGCATGTGCCCGGCGAGAGCATGTAAAAGGCGCGCCTTCTACCAGGGTTCATCCCGCAATGGGGTACCCTGCTGCCCGCGTGCATCTCGATCGGGTTATAAAGTGTGTTAAAAGGGCGAAGAGGAGACCGATCCGCCTGGGATGCCGGTTAGATAAGCGAGTGGCCTGCAAAATGGAAAGGTGGCAGCTGTTTGGGGGAGCCTGCAATACATGCGGCCATGAGAGTTCATCTAGCGCTGGCCAATTCAAGTGAGTTGCGAGGGCACGCATAAGCGCGTGGTTATACCTCCCTCTCCGCACTTCGGGCGTTCCGGGAACTTTTTTTGTTTTCAGGACTCAACCCGACTTCGCGTCTCGACCCTTAATTAGCCTAAGGGCATGTCTTGGGGCCCAGGTATACATACATACAATGAGGTAGTGATCCTCCATTTTCTTCTCTGCGAGAGCAAAACAATATGTTTGCGCTGAAGACGTTACGGCGAGATGATAGGGAAAGCCAAGCGTGTTCACAACTTTCAATTTTGGTGCGCGGAATGTGACAATAGGCTTCCAGCAAAATGTATGCAGCTTTCCCAGGATTCGCTCGCATTTCAATGCGGAATACCAGGAATTTCCTGTGCTATCCACTTTCGGCTCCGTGCTCCGAGCGCAGCCAGACCGCACGCATCCGCCTCCTTGCATCTGGCTCGGATAGTCTCTCCCTCCTTCAGTCTCCAGCCTCCAACTTCGTCGCGTTCGCCCAATGAAATCCTTGCGGACGATCGCAGGCGCCCAGCGGCTTTGGGGCTACGGAGTACGCAAGAGTACGAGATGTCGTTCTTCGAAGAGACAACGCAACTCTCGCCTTGCAGCTTGCCAGCCACATCGCATGTGTAGCACGCAAGATGGAGGATCACTGATGGGGTTGCGGCGATGACTAACCCCTTGCCGGATTGTACGTAGCCATCTGTGTAGATAACGGAGACCGGAAAGCGACAGATGTGGGGGCCCGAACGCAAGGAATGCTATTGCCATTGCTGATCGCAGTAGTCTCGTGTTTATCTGGGGAAGATGGGCTGGAATCTGATCAAGAAATATGTCTCTTTTTCTTGCCCAGTAGTCAAATGACGCAGTGGTAACAGTCTGGCAGAGCAAGAGGGACACGAATGGACTGTGGGGGAGCAGGGTGCGCTCATTGATCCCACCGTACGCCAGTCAATCTAACTGCACTTCCCTTTCAGCAACACGCCAATACCATGTAGATTACTGATGATGGACCACGTTCTTCTGGTCGAGCAGAGCAGCTGAACATGGTCATCAACCTGTGCTTTTCCGGTGTCTTCATCTCCGCTGTCTGCAGCTCATTGGGCTGAACGTATGTGCCGGCAAGTAACACTGACGATTGAACGCCCCTTCTACCATCAGCTGGTGCCAATATTTTCCCTCCACCCGTCTACAGCAAGTATTTGCGTTGCTTACCTTTCGCTTTCCTCCTGGGTCTCACGACGCAACATTCCTGTCGGACTGCCGCATGCTTCTCCAACCTCGACAGCAACTTGTACCATCTGTTATCGGCTCCTTCGAAGTTGCAAGAATAATGAAATGGCAGCGTGATATAAAAGGTGAGCAAGCTTGGGAGCAAGCAGATCGCCGAAGCGACCACGCTGATGGCTCTGCACGTGTATGTGTCTAACAGAGCAAGAGAGACCATGAGCACGGTGCCACCTCGCGCATCCTCGTATTCATCAGCCGCAACATCGCTCGTTCAACCTGTGTTCGCAACTGAATCGTTCCTCACCAAGCTCGGCAGCTCGGTATTCCCTTGGAAGTCCCCCGAACTCGCACCCCAGACGCCTCCGAGATCAGTTGCCTTCCGACCTGGTTTTAGGTCTAGCTCTGTCAGCGCCACTGTCTCGCCGGCCGACAACGCCATAAGCCCAAACTCGAGCATCAAAAGCCCCGAGACAGGTCGGCGGTGCACCGCAGCGTACCGTCACGGTAGAGTGCTAGCTTCATCGCCTCAGCGTGCTTTTCTACGCACGCTGAGCAACGACCAAACACGCGCCTTTAGTCTCGAATCCCCTCGTTCGTGCAGCTTTGCTTCTCCTGCTTCCACCTCATCCTCCTCCGCGTCATCTGTGGCTTCTTCCGGTTGCAGCATCGCTCCGACCATCCCTTTTTTTCCACGCACAAGCCTGGCCGATTCGAGCCAGTGGGTCAGCCGAGTACACCCGTCGACATTCATGGACGTCTTTGCGCCTCGGATCCGCACACTGTTCGACTCGATGCTCTCCTCCCCGTCCTCCACTTCTTCAAGTCCCCCGCGGAATCAACCACTTCACCATCAGCGTCAAAGTGTCAGTGAGGAGCACAGCCAAGGCCGAATGCGGCCGCACGAGCAAGTCGCAGAAGCAGTCAGGGCAGCGCCTACAGAAATGGACGACGCTTACGAGCTACGAAGATCACGTATCCGGCGGCGTGCTGTCATCTCCGAGATGCTCTTCGACGTACGTGAAGTGACAGAGGACGAAGCGTCCGCGATATCGTCATCGACCTTGTCGTCGCCGGGCTCTGTCTCAGCCTTGGCAGTCGTCTCCTCGTCATGCTCTGCCCCGCCACAAGCCGAGCGGCCGCACTTTTTGACTACGCATCCTAACAATGCTGAGGCGGAGATGGAGGACGAGAGTGATATGCCGACTCCCAAGCCAGACCAACACCCTTCAACCTTCGCGGTGCCGTCCACGCCAGCTGTATCTCCCCCATCGGCTGCACTTACGAACACAAGCGATATATGTATTGGGCCTCAATTGGGTTCACCTATCGCTTTTGACGCCGTTGAAGAAACAGCAAAAGCTCGGACAGCTGGGAGCGCGACTGCAAGCGGGAACGACGCCGACGCCGATGATGGTTGCGAAGGAGATGGAAATACAGCATCATTAATGCAAATGAGTGCGAGTAAGCGTAAGCGTCACACTCGCCTGCGTGACCATATGCCCATCAACGACAAGCGCAATCGGAATCATCGCCTCGGACTATACCTGCTCGATACGCCTTCTGAAGCTGCCAGTACGCCTGGATCCGTGTCGCACAAGCAACGGCGTCCCCAGCAGACCATCTTGACGGGCATGTACACGTCGGTCAGGAACAGCAACTGCAGCTTGTCTAGCCCTGACGAACGGCCAATTAACTCCATCGACCGGGATGCGCGCCTGCAGCGCCATCAACAGCCCGCAGTGAGCCACCAGGTAAAGTCACGCTCACATGCAGATGTCAAGCGTGTTGCGACTGATTACGGAAAGCTCGACAAAAAGCAGCTGATACACGATCTTGAGCGTGCTACCAAGAGTGCTGAAGAAGAGTCCGACATACCGCGTCGTAGATATGGTGCCAAGCCAAGCAGGACGACTGTTTCCATTGGTGCAAGCTCTGGTGCGAAGCTTGCTGCTTTGTGTTCGCCGGACTGTACTGCCAGATTGCCGACAGCAATGCTAACATCATCACCTCAATCGATCCCACGCTCGCAATCGGATTCATCTTCACTCTTTGGCGATGTCTCTGATACGGGCGAAATCGGGGGCGATACACCTAGGCAACACAAGCAAAAGCGTTCGCGAGACTGGCAACGGCCGCAGCAGCACGCACACGCGAAAGACCACCTTCATGACCACGGTGACATGCTGAGAGAAGCGAGCTGCAGCACGTCAGATCTTCGAAAGAGCAAAGCGCAACTCAAGCGCGCAGCCGAGCTCCTGCAGCTTCAGCGTAGCTTATCTCAGTGCAGTCTGTCCGCCGCTCGGGAGGACACAGCGGCCGACGCAAGCAACGCAGCGCACGATGAAACCGTCGTCGATCAGCTCACACAGAGCTGCGCCGCACTCTCGATGTTCGGACGGTCGCCAACGCGCTACGCACAGGCAATTCCACGCAGGAAAACATCACTCGCGGCGTTAGAGATAGGGCGCCGAGCTGATACCGCATCAGCGAAAGTGCAGAAGCCTGAGATACAACCGTTCAAGAGCAAGCGCGACAGCACTTTCACAGTCGAAGTACCTATCTGCGGTACAAAATCCAAGGGTCGCAAGAGGAAGCATGTGGACGAGCATGCTACCGCTGTGCTCGCTGCAAAAAACAAGCTATCACTTATGGACCAACGGCTGGACCTTGCGACTAGCTCAGAGTCGCCAGCGTCGCGTTACGTTCCTCCACAGTTCAGCTTCGAAGACATGCGCGTGCTCACCATCGGTCTGCTACAGCAACAGCAGCAGCACAGCTTTGACGGCGGCTCGCGCAATCAAGATGAAAGCATTGGCAGGAATGATATTCCCTCAGGTCGGCAATGGCACAGCACTCCGCACCTGCTTCCCTCGGTGACGAAGCCGTTGAAGCCCTCCCGAAGTTTCCTGAATCTTTTGCATCTGACTGTTGGTAAGAGTTTGAGCATGGACGCAAGTGACAGTGAAGGCGAGAGCGACGCAAGTGCTGGCGCGACCGCTGCGGACGATCCTTCGCTTGGAATGAGCATCTCTCAGCCGGAGTTGTTGGAAAGCACTGCTGCATTTGACAAGATGCAACTGCGTCGCCTATCACAGATGCTATTGAATCTGCAAACGTACCGATCGCCACCGAGCACGCCAAGGACACCCTCGGACATCAACGATCATTCTGACTCCGCCAGCGACGTATCGGTGGATTCGTATGGCGAGCCGACGCCGCGCTCAGCCGTCGCTTCCGTGCCTGCAAAATCGTCCATTAGCCCGGACTGGATCCCGGAGCTCAAGCGCGCTTTTTGGCACGACATGGATCGCAACATGGAGGAGAGGATGGAACAGGCGCAAATGAGGTCGCGCACGTGCACAGCGGGAACGGAAGCTGAGCACGTCGCTGCGAGGGGGTATGCCACACCACCACCTCGTCTCAGCTCACGCTTTGGCGCATCGATGCCAGATCGGGACATATCCACTATCCCTTTCCCATCGCGTCCCAGCTTCAGCGTCGACTCGCACTCCATGTCGAGCTCCGAGCCATCAGAGCCTGATTCGCCACTTACCCTGTCGCAGAGCATCATCTGCGAGCTCGAAGACGGTACGCTCAGTCGGCCTGTGTCCAGCGTTGTGGACCCTGGTCCCTCGCCCATGTCTATCCTGCGTGTTGACGGTGATGCTGCAGGAGCTCTCGATTGGATGCTGCCTTTTCTGGCCGAGATGCGCGAAGGCATCAGCCACGATCAGAAAGACACGGCCACCAAGGGTGCCGCCGGCGGGAACCATGTGAACAACGGCAGTGCAGGCATCAAGCAGCTCGATGCACCCTTCGTGCCGACGATGCTTTCGCCCAGCACCATCGGCCGGCGCCTGCGTTGCACATCGCGCGAGATCAAGCTGGCCGCCATGCAACCCAGTCCGACAGGCAGCTCACTCACGCACTACTCGTATGCGGGCAGCAGCGTCGCCAGCGGCAGCGCCAGCGACTTGGGGAGGGGCAGCAGTATCAGCGAGCGCAGCGGTTCCAGCTCCCATCGCAGCGCGCGCAGCAGCAGTGGCGGCCGGAGACTTGGTGCGCTCGCATTGTCAGGGCGTGACCGCGAGGGTTGCGGTACCGGTGACAATGACCGTGACGTTGTCCGTGACGAAGAAAGGCGTAGACTGCAAGTGTCGCCATGGAGGAGCGACGCGAGGAGAAATGCAGTGATCGCACTCACCAGCTCCGACTCGGGCAGCTTGGACGGATGGTTAGGGTGGGCTATGAAGAACGAGCAAGACGCGCTGGCCGTGTGACATCTTCATATGTACCTTTCTCACTCTCGCAAACATCGGGAACTCTCTCCAACAAGCTGAATCAAGGCTTTCCTCGTGCGCATTATAAAAGTCTGGGTATGCTACAAAATCACAGGTAGGTGGAGTATACAAGGCCATCGGAAAGAACGCAAATAGAGGGAGGCCGTGCACAAATGCAGTTGATAAGTTAGGAAAGACCAGCTGCAACAAGTCCGTAGGCACTTGAGCGAAGGCGACCGATGAGATGAGAACTGAGAGAGTGGGCTGACAGAGCCGGTTGTATGCGTTGGTCTTGACGAACTAGCCAGGCCCTGAAACGAAAGTGCCTTAAGCGAGGGCCCGACGCGAATGTGCGTTGCTGTGCTGTGCTGTGCTGTGCTTCAGTGAGACGCATTGCGATAGCCGTGCCATACGATCCTGTGTTGTGTATGCACGCTATCTTGTAATTTGCGTTATTGCAAGATGAACTGTGCTGAGGCTGTGCTTCCAAAAGGCAAAAAGCGACGAAAAGGAAAGAACGGCTCCGCATCGGACCAAGCAAGCCGAGGTGAGATGAACGGCGCCAGCGAGAATCCTGTGAGGAAAAATCTTGAAGGATGCACGAGCCATAACTTAGGGGTAGGATTGGAGATAGCCACGGGCACGTGCCTATTCTCCGTCCATCGGTGTGTGCCGATGCAAATGAAGACGAGGTGGCTGAGCAGGAGAGAGCAAGCAGCGAGACCTGCTCTGGCTGGGTAGCTCTCAGTTGTACGCTCTCGGTACGGGCATACTGGGCGAGACGGGCGAAGCGTACTGCGACTGGCTGTGATACTCGTACCCGCCCTCGTAGCTCCTAACCTGCGGCTGGTGCGATGCCATTTGCGGCAGGTGGTAGTACATTCGCGCGCTTGGCGACGCGGGTGCCGTTGCTGTACAGGGCGATAGCGGTGAGTTGGGCGGTTGCAGTTCCGCCGCTGTTGGGGGCGGGGGCAACGCGACGGCCACCGCATTAGACGGGAGCATGTATTGTCGCGGCGCGGCGGCGCGCTTCCATTGATGCGTTTGGCAGTCATCCGAGTGATCGCTGCTGTGGTCGCTGCTCCCATAGGCATGCCGTGAGTCGTGCTCCTGCTTTTGCTGCTGAGCATGCGGCATGACGCACACCTCGCTTTGGGTGAACAGCGAAGCGTTGCCGAAGGGCGCCTTGCTACTTGCGTTCGGGCGAGTTTGGCCAAGCAGGTACGGCTGGCCGGCGCTGGGATAATACTGCTGTTTCTCTCGCGCGTCCGGCGTATCGCCACCGCCGAGGCCCATCATCTGGGCCTGTATGCGCTGGCGGTCCTCTGTCTTGGCTCCTTTCCGCCGTGCGGCACGCCGCGCAGAGCAGCGCCACAAGGCCCAGCCGCAGAGCAGGACGAAGCAGGCCACGCCACATATAAGGCCGATGAGCTTTGTCTGCGACAGGCTGGCTGTTGCGTTGGATACATGGTTGCTGTCCGGGGGTGTGTGAAAAAAAGGGGGGCGTCCCGAGTGTGGATGCGTCAGTGAACGGATCTCGAGGCAAGCCAATGTGTCGGCGTACAACTCACGAAGCTTTGCCGCCTGCGCTCGTCAGGCCGTCCGTGACGCCGGAGAGCGCCTGACGCTTTGTATGGTGATGCTCCCAGCCTCGATGGGCGACAGGGACGACATTACGATCCATCGTCTCGATGTCAGATAAATTGAATTTGGTGCTTAGTGCAGGTGGTTCTCCTACACGGGATGGTCAAAGGGAGGGGTGGCTTACAGGTGGTCAAAAGGAGAGGTGCGAGGGATCGAAGCTTTGGAACGAGGGAGGAATCGGGAAGGAGTGGCAAGCGGACCCAGGGGACAGCTTGAAGAAATGGCAGTCTCCTCACTCGCCCTGGTGATGGATGGCTGGGAAAGAGGAACCACCAGTCCATGAACCGACAGACAGGCGCGAAGTCACGGACTGGGTGGGCAAGATGACTTCTCTCCCTCTCTCTCCTTTTGTCATGTGCTGGGGTCGTCAGCAGCTATGGCGCGTGTGTGGTGGGGAGAGACTGTGCGTGGCTATGGTGAGGCCAGTCGACTAGACGAAGGGTCGTGCACAAAAAGGAATGCGTACCTCGCCGGGATCTTTGGCTCTCGGCATGCTACAGTCAACTCGAGCCGGCTACAACGCATCCAAGCTTGTACCGCAGAAGTGATATGGCGATCTGGGTAGAGCTCGACGGTGGCTCGTCAATCGGTCACGCTATAGCACACGCGCGTTGTCCGCTGCTGCGTACGCTTTGTAATACAGTGTATCCACACCGCTGTGGCCGGCATCTCTCTCTCGCCAGCCCACGGACATTTGTGTTTTGCTGCTTCTCTCCAACACCAGCACTCACCACCGACCCCAGATCCCAGATCTGGGGTCACTCTTGTAAAAACAGCAGGCAAGAAAAGGCGAGAACCTCCTTGGGTGCGATTGGCCGAGAGATTCTAATTGGTAATTTGGACTCGCGCTGCGCTCCAGTCTCAAATCCAAACAGAGTGATGAGCCGAGGATGTATGAATTCACAAGAGACGAGGATAGCCTAGAGCAGCCACGATGGAGGACAACAGTCGACTGGTCCCGGTTCCATTGACATCGTCACAATGGAGCGTCGCGCTTGCAAGTGGCTGACTGATGTACTTTTGACTCGTGAAGCGATGGACAGACTGTTTTGGTGTGTTGCAGTGCCACATCGTGCTGTGAGTAAATAAATAATGATAATGATAACAATCTCAATTGTGGCGCGGTGATATGAAGGATCTGTCAAATAATACAAGAAGCCCAAGCTGCAGACTGCCGCAGTGCAATAAGGCCGTTACGCCAAGTTGGCGTTGCAACCAGTCTCGGTCTCGGTCGGCTGACGGACACATACAGGCTGCAGCAGGAAAAGTGAGAGTCCAACACTGCTCCAGCGGATTGCGCCGGCCTGCCCCCCCTCCGCCATCACCCCAGACCCCGAATGGACAATCAATGGAGAGCTGCCAAATTCGGTACAATCACTATGGCTCTTAGTGTTCCCGTGTGCACGCAAAAAGAAAGAGACGAGGCGTGATGGAAGGTGGAGAGTAGAGAGCATGAGTAGCGGCGGATCAAGCCACTCGGCCGAGATGCCATCCACCTTGTTCAACATCGCTGCTCATTCACAGAGCAGGGCGCAGGGTCCGAATGCAAAGGCCGCAGCGAGGCCCAAATCCACGCGCCGCTCGCTTGGTAATCCATTCGCATTATACGTACAGACTGGTCCACCTGAACATGGCCGTCGCACAACACTACACTTTCGTAAATACCATCAAATCCATGTCGCCAGCACTTTTCTCAATGTGTAATCCGACACAGATGCTTGCCTTCATCAGTCTTCAAGTCACGCCGGCGCTCGGGAGCTCTGTGGCAAGTGGACAGAGCTACCGCCTGCGTAAGATCATCTAAGCTGAGACAGGCAAGGATAGTGTGGATGATACACTGCATCGCCGGCTTATATAAGCACACACCTCCGACCTGCATTATTTGAGTTGAATTGGAGGAGCTGGCGATGCACTGTCTTGCCTCATGCTCGCCCGCCCGTTTCAAGCCGTAAATTGCCTCCTGCAGCCGGTAGCACTTTCCAGTCGTCCCAAGACTCTAGATTTCTGGCGCGAATTGTAGCTGGTTCTCCTTTGTCCAGCTCGCTGTTCAGGAAGGCATTAGCGACGTCGAGCTGTGCTACACGAGCCTGTAGTGCTGGAGAAGCGCAATGGGCAGGTGGACAGCCTGCATGCGTCTGATGGGAGAGAACCTCTGGCCAACTTCGATCCGGAGCCGCTGAGGCAGAGAAGAATATGGCTGACTGTCCCGGAAGATTGCTTCTCAATTCCTTCACCACTCTTTCATCGCTATTCTCGAGAGGCTTGCTACAGCTGGCGACCGCTAACTCTTGTCGATGGGTTGCATGAAGCCCAGGCCGGAAAAGCAAGACTCTATTGAAACATGCGAACGGCCCGCATCATCGATGCGCTGCAAACCCCAACCCTTCTTGTACTGATGGCGCAGTCCCAAGCAAAAATACTCGTACGTCTTGCCATCAATCGCGGAGACCACACCGAGTATGGAGCCTATATCACACGCTTAGCACGGTTCTGCGTCCACCGTCGGATCCTGGGACCATAACCCTTTTCTGAGCTTGTCCGCATCCCACGACGCCAGCGCCGACAGCTGCTCCGGGTCCCGAAACGCTTTCCACGGAGCGATCGTCTCCAACTTGCGCGCCTACTCGGCCCGCAGTTGTACATACTCTGCATTAGCATTCACTTCTTCGAGTGCGCGCTTGAAGATGGCCGCGTCGAGCACTTTGAGCACCTGCCCCACCGTCTCGTGATGGTGCTGCTACCCAGCCTTTGCCCTTCTTGGACGCGAGAGGCGCGTGCTTTCACCCACCTAGGCTGTTGGCGTATTTCCTTGCGCGTGTGTAGCCCATCTGAATGAAATTGCGCACCATGTCGCCTACAGAACGACCAGACCAACCCGAAATGAGGATATCAATTCAAACAGTAGCGAATGTCAGCAGAAAGCATGGTAACCCATACACTCACATCCTACGAGCGCTCTCTGCACCGTGTACTATTAACCCGCTCCTCCAGCTCGGTTAACGACCACCTCCCACATCTTCATATTTGGATGTCCAAGACGACAGCGGCTCATTCTTGTACGGTTGTGCGCGGAAGGTAACCTGCTTGCCTCTGACCGGGCGATAAAGGTACGGATGCGAGCGCAGGGAGACGTGCGTGAGTGGTAGATCCTAAGGAAATGATTGATGTAAGACATTGAAGTTGCCCGCCTTCGATGTGGTTGCAACAGAGCTTCTGCTCGAGTCGTGCTTCTCTTGTGAGTCTAGTTACTTTTGGCTCGATCAAGCTTCACAAGTAGACTTCGAGCGTGAGCGGGAGACGGGTTCTCGCTTTGGAACTCGTGTAGACGAGGTATCAGTATCCATTTCAAGCTCGGTGATGATTATCTTGCGGGACGGTTGGTTTCCGTTGCCGGATTGCGCTGCCGGTCATGTCAGGACCATGTTATACAGTGTCAGTCAGGAGCAAAGCAGGCAAGCGATGAGTCCAGGAACGCAGCTATGTGCGATGGGACATGGGGGTTCTAGCGGCTTTAAAACAACCAGAATTGCGCTTCTGCACAGCTGCAGATTCAGCGTGTTCGCAAGGGAGGCTGCATGCCAACCAAACGCTCCAAGTCGAAGGCTGCTCAAACACGAGATGGAGGTCAACCCGTTCAGTCGCAGGTGTGAGGGGTGCTGTTCCGAAGGTGAATGACCTCACACGTCCACATGTCCCATTGATTGGTTCGAGTGATGGTCACGTGACCATGACACGCCGCGGCGCTTCTCTTCCTGGAAAGACGCGTCCAAACATTAGTTGGGAGCTCACCGACGCGCCTCTCACGTCTGGCACAATGACATCTTTGGCAACTTCGTCCGACTGTCTCCAGGCATCGCTCATCTCCATTGCCACGTCCACCTGGACCCCCCCATATCGATTCCCGTGGGGCACTGAAAGAGGGCTGTCCGCGGCGCTTGGCCCTGAGCGAGCGGCAATTGCCTGAGGCATAACCCGTACAAAATGCCGCCCAAACCGACCGGCACTTCAGGGGTGCCTCCAGCAGCGCATAGCTTCCAGCAGCGCAGACAGGAGCGGATGCGAGGTACAGGGTCAGTACGCAAAATATATCCAAGACGGCTGGTATATGGAGCCTTTCGCTTAATGTTGGCCTTGCTCATTTTGACTGCAGCACATCCACCGTCACGCAGTCTTCGCAAAACTTCCGCTTCCAGATCCCTAGCCTCCCATTCAAAGCGGCAACGAACCCTTCCGGCGTAAGCGCCAATGCGAAAGGGTCCGGTGAATCTGGGCAGCATGATGCGTACGCATTCAGCGGAAGTACAGCTGGCCCCGTGCCGAGCGCCGCGAGCGGTAGCCCGAGGAGGATTGTCTTGGGGCGTGCAGGATCACAAGGCGCATCGCAGTCACAACAACAGCCTCCAAGATCAGCGATGAAGGGCGGTCGCGCATCCGTTGGTGCCGCTACGACGCCTATCAAAGGAGGCGGCAACCGGTATATTCGTACCGCCTCCGGGAAGAGGCGTGCGATCGAAGACGATGAGAATATGGAGGAGGACGCCGACGACGCAGAGGCGGAGCGCTTCGAAGATGAGACCCCTGAGGATTATCTGGACGCCAGCATGGATCTCTCGCGCACAGGCGAGAAGAGCGTTTCGTTCCAGCGCGCGCCGCCGGCCAGATACGATCGTTCGGCGTCGACTGCCTCGTCGGCCGGCCACACGCGCAGCGGCAGAACGCTCAAGCAGACTGCGCTGCTGCAGTACGACTCGCCCATCACGGCGGCCGCGCGGAGGAGCGAAGAACGGCGGAAGCAGACTGGGCGGCAGCCTGATCCACCGCCACAGCGCTCGTCCATGAGCGCATCTACAGCGAGGGCTCAAGAGAAGGAGAAGGCAAAGGAGAGGATGCGGGAGAAAGGGAAAGAGGAAGAAAAAAAGAAGGCGCGGCGGCAGCGAGAGCTCGCAAAGAGGATGGAGGAGGAGCGAACTCGGGCAAAGAAAGCAGCGGCTGCGATTACCGCTCGCGGTCGAAAGCGCAAGCGGGCTAGTGTCCGCAACGTTGATCGCAGCGGTGAGAATGGCGACGATGATGACAGCGGCCCCGAGTACCAAGTCGAGTTCGACGATGGCGATGAAGGTAGCGATAATGCAGTGCCAGACATGACGCTGCAGGAGGATGTTATCATCGGCAACCGTGTGACGAAGGATGCGAGGCGCACGAACGGGCTCATGGCCAAGATGATGCGCAAGCGCCTACGACGTGCGATCCGACTGTCGCTTCAAGCGGACGAAGAGGACGACATGCGTGGCGATGGTGACGACACTAGTCCAGCAGCAACAACCGCGCCAGGGAAGTTGCGGCGTCGGAGAGGTTCTGCATCTGCGGACAAGCTGACTGACGCAGACGTGATCTGGTCGATCGTCGACGCGGAACTGAAAGCGGCGAGCCTGGCGCAAGCGTCGTCGCTCGCGGCGTCGACGCTGAAGGAGCTGCGCTCGATCGTGCGCACGCTGTTCGAGGGCCTCAGCATCAAGGCGAGCGAGCGACGGGAGCTCATCGCGCAGCTGGATAGGGCACGCAGCCGCAAGAAGCGTCTCAGGAAGGAGGTGTTTGAGACACGGCAAGGTGTGCTAAGGAACGAAGAGGAGATCGCACGCATACGGAAAGAGACGGCCGACCAGGCGCAGAAGGCTCAGGTGCGTTGAGGGGTCAAACAATCTCAACTAGTAGTGTTGGTCATGGATAGGACTAACAAGGACGATCTTCTCTGCCGCATGGGTGCAACTGACAGGTCGCAGCTGAGAGCCTCGCTTTCTTCGACAAGCTCAAGAATGCGGCAAGGCTTTGGAGCTGAAGGTTTGCCGTACTATTCGACATTTTGTCTATTCTGGGGGGAATCGGTCACTTTGATGTTGTTACAACAGCTTCGCTTTACATGATATGCCTTGCGTCGCGCGCTCGCTCGCTCGCTCGCTCGCAAACGTTGCTTTGCCCACGTCACGCGTCTGCCCTCGCATCGTTCTCCGCCTGTGCTGATATGTGATGCGCTGCTTTGAAGATTTGCGAGAGCTACAGGAGAAAGAGGATAGAGCATCAGCCGGAATCGACAACAAGAGCCTGCACTTTTCAGTGTCCGTGCGCAAACAGTGGAGCGGGAGCGCACCTTGCTAATATTAGCACGCGCGTCCTCAGCTGCGTGCGCTCCAGCATGGTTAGCAGTTGTGGACGACGGAGCGGCTGCGGCAGCCTCGCGGCGAATGCGCGCCAAGCGGGCGCGACTCTTGCTGAGTGCTGCGTCTTGCTCTTCCAGCGCCCTGCTCAGCTCGACTTGCTGCTCTGCCTCGGGCAGAAGCATCGCTTCGAGATCCGCCTGAAGAATGGGAAAAGGAAAAGTCCAACGTCAGGCTTACGGAGCTTAGACCGTGGCGTAGGAAAACACTCACGATGTCTCCGCCAAAGCCAGCGCCGCTCGGCTCATTGTCGCCCCGGTCGTCGCCGCCCAAACCACCGTTGTTCAACTCGCCAAGCTCCTCGACGCGCCAGCTGATCATGCTACTCTGCACCTCTCCGCCTGCGTCGGTGGACGTGACGCTGCCGCGTGTGCGCCCGCCGGCGCCAGTGCCGGCGATGGTTGGCATGCGCGGCTCGCGTGGGAAAAGCGCCTTGTCAAGGAGCCCGTCCGTACGAGCGAGCGCTTTGAAGAGCGCCGCAGAGATGAGCTGCTGTGCTGCTTTTGGCAGGCCGGAGATGAGGGCGCTGTGTTTTTTATGTGATCAAGGAACAAAAGTGGTCAGCACATCTCCTCGACCATGTACAAGCCAAGAAGACGCCACGCACCGAGCTTCCCTCCACACGATGCCACCTTCGCTCATGACGGCCTCGCGTTCCTCAGCGCTGAGCTTGCGCCATTTCTTGAGCTGCTGCGTTTCGCTCGGCATGGATTTCTTGCCGCGCTTCCTGCCCCTCGCGCCCTTTGTATCGCCGTATATGCTGCTGCTGGCATCAGCACCAAAGTCATCGTCATCGGACGAATACAGGTCTGCGTCGTCCGGTTCATCGCTTTCCCCCGAATCGGCGTCCTCGACGACAGATAGGTCGCTGATGTCTTCTTCTTCTTCGTTTTCATCTTCTTCTTCGTCCGCCGAAGATGCTTCATCTTCAATGTACCGCGCCTTTCCCTTCCCCTTGTCTTTCGCTACGGCCCTTGTGCTAGCGCTCGCCTTGACCTTCGACGTGTTCGTTACGCCCTTCGAAGGAGGAGTAGCTATGGGAGCAGGTTTGCGTGATGACCCGTTCTTGGCTGGGGCCTTGGACGGAGGCTTAGCAGCAGAAGATTCTGCAGGTTTTACCCTGCGCTCGATGTTGGAAGAAGAAGAAGAAGAGAAGGAGGAGGCTGCTGCGCTGGAGGAGGTGGAGTTGGTACGCTTGGACGTGTTGAGCATCGACGGCTTGAAGGATGCCGGCTTTGCGAGCACGCTGCGCTTATCCTTCGATGGCATTTTGACGAATCGACGGCCCTTGCCGCTGGGATGAGTTGGGCCGGTCTGTGCTGGGCTCCACTGACGCCTGGTTTGCTTCTGCCTGTTTGTTCAACCGCGTCACGGTGGGGAGCAAAGCGAGCTTGTGTTTCGAATGCTGCTTCCAGTACAATGTGCGTTGTCTGCACTGAGACGCGTTCGCGCGGGGGCGAGACACGTTTTTCGACCCAACCCTATTACGTTGCATATAACCCGAATCGGTCTAACCCTAAATCCTGTCAAAGGGAAGTAACTCGGTGAAAAGGACTCGGCAGATCTCAGATTCAGAAGCGATGAATTGCATGAATGTTGGCGACTGGTCAATGGAGAATGCGTCGACGTTTTGATGAAGCCTCGTGGTCACACTACAAGACGTCGCGATGATGGGATCGCTCTGGAGCTCACGCCTGATTTATGCGTGATCATAAACCCTGCCTTCCCCGTCCTCGAGTATGTTGGAGCAGCAGCGCCCTTCGTCGTTCCGGTCTCGCTCCAGCACCGCATCGTCCTCGTTCGAAGCTTGGCGACAAGCCTGTTTCCATGCGCTAGGGACAGCAGGGAGTAGCCGTGCGCTGCCGCAGCAGGCGGCTGGCTCTAGCAATGGTCTCCGCCATCCCATCCTCTCTAAGACGGAACATTCACAGCAACAGCAACAGCAGCAGCAACAGGAGCAAGCGAACGGCAGCGCTTGGGTAGACCATCCCGAGACAGCAGATGAACAAGTCGCGCGGGAACGATGCGAGGGCTGGAAGGATGAACTGTTCCGGACAAGTGAGCATTAGAAGCGACAGAAAGGTGGTATGCGAGCCTGTCTGAAGTCTTCAACATTTTGTCTTGCCGTCTAAGGTCCAATGGTCCGCTTCATGGCCAAACACCTTTCCATCGTGTCCTGCGACCCACTTGCCACCGAGTCTGCCTCTTCCTCGCCAACAGCTAGCGGTACACAAGTGCGTATCCTCATCGCAGCCTGTCCACCGGACATCGCCGGAGGCTTCTCGCCTGCGCCGCCGGGGTCGCCGGCGGCCGATTCGGGCATCCTACTCTGCAGCAATCGCATGATGAGCAAGACGCACATGGAGGACACGCTGGCGCACGAGATGATCCACTGGTGGGACCACTGCCGTTTCCACGTGCGTTGGGACGATCTACGGCATCATGCTTGCAGCGAGATCCGTGCCGCTAGCTTGAGCGGCGATTGCAACATGAGCCGCGAGTGGCGCAGGCGTAACTTTGGTTTCACCAAGCAGCATCAGGTGCGCGACTTCCTTATTCTTTCCTACCTCTGCTGGTGAATCACAGCTTATTCATCCCTCTTCTTATTTGTACCGGCCTTTGACGACAGATATGCGCACGAAGACGAGCGGTGCTCTCCGTCATGGCGAACCCCGTCTGCAAGGACCGGGCGATGGCCGAGCAGGTGGTCGACGATGTCTGGCAAAGCTGCTTTAACGACACGAGGCCTTTCGATGAGGTGTGTCTCTCCTCCTCTCCATCTTCCGCTCTTGGGTGCCCAACCTGTGACTGACGCTTCCTTTGTTGCCTGCGCTTGCCTGCGTACAAAGATCTACTAGCCAATTTCAGCAAATTGCATCCACGGTTGCTGGCCAGAATGCCATCTGTACCCTTATATATACATAGATTCAAGGCAACGAGGCGTGTAACGTGTCTCCTCTGAAAGGATGGAAACAGCGAGTCGATGCGTTGAGTGAGACCACATGTAGGGATGTGTGTGAGGGTGAGAGAGCTGGCTGTCGAGTTGTGTGGGTGCGTAGAAGGTGAGGTTAGTGGTTCCAATGGCCGTGGCCGCGACCGGCGAGACGAGTGTGGTGAGAGAAAGGAGGGAACGCGTCGCGTCAAGTTCGTTCAATCGTCTCGCTCGCTCTCCTTGGACCTCTATAGTAGTAGAAATATCAGCTGCGTCCACCTCCTGTTAGAGCTTCTTGCCATCTGGACTGCCAGCCTGCGTATCTCTCTGTGTCAAAGACTTGCCTCGTCAAAGCACCCCGCTTGCATCCGTTCTCACCTCCAGGAAGTCGAGCTCCAGAACAGCAACACCAGCGCGATCAATCACTATGTCCAGCGAAGACGCAGCGACAGCTGCAGCACCGCAAGCCCCTGCTCCAGGCGGGGCGCAGCACAAGGCAAATGGCGGAATCGAAACCCCTCCGACACTGAGCTCGAGCTCAACACGTCGGCTGTACGACGAGGCCAAGCGTGAGCTTGCGCTCAAGCAATACTCTCCCGCTGCAGACAAGCTCGCTCGGGTGCTCGAAGCGCTGCAGGATCGCGAAGGCGAAGGAGAAGAGAAGCATGCGCAAGATGCGCCCATACTCGCGCCCATCCTGCATCGCTACGGAAAAGCCATGCTTGGGTTGGCAGTTGCCAACTCTGGCGCGTTAGGCAGCGGTGGGACGGATCCCACGGGAGGTGCAGCAGCCCAGGCCACACCTTTAGCAGCAGGGGAAAGTCCGTCGTCGACTTCCACCAGCAAAGCCAACGATCCTCGCTTCAGTTTTGGCGGTGATGCAGAGGAGGAGATGGAGGAGGTGGAGGACGACGGGCAAGAACAACAAGCCGAAGATGACGATGAAGACGAGGACGACTTTGGTCTTGCGTTCACCGTCCTCGATCTCGCGCGCGTGATCTACGAAAAGCGTCTCGATGCCGACGGCGCGTCGCCCTCCCTGACGACGTACGAGGGGGAGCAAATTCCAGCACTACAGATCAAAGCACAGTTAGCAGAAGTCTACAACGATCTCGGCGACGTCGGCCTCGAGACGGAGAACTTCCAGCAGGCGTCGACTGACTACGAGCAGTCTCTTAACATCCTCTCGCCCCTCTTGCGCGCACACTCGCGCCGCCTGGCCGATGCACAGCTGCGTCTGGGCCTCGCGCTCGAATTCCATCCGGATTTGGCACAGCGACCGCGCGCGCTCCAGTACGTCACAGCTGCCAGCACAACACTCAAGGGCCGCTTGAACGCCCTGAAGGAGAGGGAGCAGGTGCTGAGCAAAGGCGAGGGGATCGCCGCAACGAACGGCGCGGCGCCAGCGGCCGTGGAGAGCAAAAGCAACGGCAAGGGGAAAGGCAAGGAGGACAATGATGAGGGGAAACTGCTCGAAAAAGACGATGTCGCCGACATGGACGCGGCGCAAGTCGCACTCGAGACAAAGGACGTGCAGGAGATGATCGAAGAGCTGAGCGTCAAGCTGGAAGAGTACGAGCAGCACAGCGCTGCCGCTGGCGATGCCTCGTCTTCAGCTGCCGCAAGCGCGATCGGCCTGCCCGGCGGCCTGAATAGAGCGGCCTTGGAAAAAGCCATCAACGACGCATTCCTCGGCGCTAGTACCAACACGGGCGCTTTCTCCGGCTTCCCTGGCGCGTCTGCTGATCTGGCGGGCAAGCCGGTCAACGACCTCAGCGGCATGGTCAAGAAGAAGAGGCCCATCCCTGGCGCAGAGGACGGCAATGGCAAGCGCAAATTGGAGGACACAGTCGTGGCAAACGCAACGTCCACAGCAACAGAACCAGCAGCAGAGGCTAACAGTGACGCGAAGCGCGTCAAGACAGATTGAGCCTGCTGGCATGTCGCGCCCGCTTTGGCACCACGTCTACACGTTTCCCGGGAAATCTGTATTTTGTAGAGTACAGTGAGCGGCATTCGGAGCTAGGTGTGTGTCGACATGGAAAAGTGGAGCTGATGCAGAGGCTCAAAGGCTCAGGGCGCCTTTCTCTTTGCAAATGGTGCGACAGTGGCCGTGGCTGCAAGCAGCAGGAAACCTCACGACATGGTCGGCATGTTGACGGATGCCTTCTCGCTGAGCTGCGCATCGGCGCTGCGCCACATGGACGTGACGGTTTTGAAGCTGGTGTAGAAGTTGATGGCGCTCTTGCCGTAGAAGCCAATGTCGCCGAGCACGGAGCCCTTGTTGCCGGACCAGGCGAACATGGGCAGCGGCACGGGCACGGGCACGTTGATGCCCACTTGTCCGGCGTTGATGTCCTTCTCAAACTTGCGCGCCGTCGCGCCGTTTGCCGTGAAGATTGCTGTCCCATTGCCTGCGAGGAGAAGGGAAAAGGGACAGCATCCCCGAATGAGTTTTCAGCAACTGTGCATGGGAGAAAATTCGAAGGGTTGTTTGCTTTAGCACTCACCATATTTATTGCGGTTGATCAAGGAGATGGCCTCGTCCAGCGTCTTGACCCGGACGATGACGAGCGTGGGGCCAAAGATCTCGAGGTCGTACGCCTGCATACCCGGCCCGGCCTCGACGATGCTAGGCCCAACAAAGTTGCCGTCGGGGAACTTCGGGTGCTTGAAGTCGGTGCCGTCGAGTAGGATCCTGCCACCTTCGCGCTCGACGGATCTTGTCAGCGCGATGACCCGCTCGCGGGCCTGCGGCGAGATGAGCGGACCGAGGTCGGCGCCGTCGTCGAAGCCCTGGCTGATCTTAAGCTGCTTGGCGCGCTCGACCAGCTCGGGGATCCAGTCTGCGCTATCGCCCACGGCGACGAGCACGCTCAGCGCCATGCACCGCTGGCCCGCTGCACCGAACGCGGCACCTGCGACGCTGTTCAGCGCAAAGTTCTTGTTGGCGTCGGGCATGATGACCGCGTGATTCTTGGCGCCGAGGTTCGCCTGGACGCGCTTGCCGTTCGCAGTGCCGCGGTGGTAGATGTGCGCGCCGGCGCGGTCGGAGCCGACGAAGCTAATCGCCTTGATGCGCGGGTCGTCGCAGATCGCGTTGACCGTTTCGACGGTGCCGTTGACGACATTGAGGACCCCCTTGGGCATGCCTGCGCGCTCTGCTAGCTCGGTGATGATCATTGACGCACCGGGAACGCGCTCCGACGGCTTCAGCACGAGCGTGTTTCCCGTCACCGTCGCCATAGGGATCGACCACAGCGGGATCATGGCGGGGAAGTTAAACGGGCAGATGGCGGCGGTGACGCCCAGCGGCTCGCGGCGCGCATACGTGTCCATGTCCCTGGACACCTCGAGCTTGTCCTCGAGGGCGGTGGAGGTGATACCGCAGGCGACCTCAACGACCTGCAAGCCGCGCAGGACATCACCCTTGGCGTCGGCGAACGTCTTGCCCTGCTCGAGAGTGATGGCAGCGGCAATGTCGTCCATGTGGTCGCGGATGAGGGCCTGCAGGCGGAACATGACCTGCTGCCGCGTCAGCAGGGAGGCGGCGCGCCACTCGGGGAAGGCGGCCTGTGCATTTGCCACGGCTGCATCGAACTCTTCCGGGGTCGTCTCTGGCACACGGGAGAGTACGGTCTGCGTGGCGGGGTCGTGGACGTCCACCCAGCGGTCCGTGGTGGAGTCGACAAAGTGGCCGTTGATGTAGTTCTTGGTGGTGCCGCCGGATGTGCTCGTGCCGGCCCACTTGCTCTCGATGTCCCTGGCTTGCAGAAGCGATGCTCCGCCAAGCGACGGCGATGATGAGGAAGAGGCCTGCGCGGGTCGCGCCAGCAGCGCGCGTGGCGAGGTGTGCAAGCCGCCTCGTTGAGCCGTGCGCCAGCAGGTCAGACGAATGGCAGAGCCGGCGCGGGCGCCCGGGGTGCGCAGTGCTCCGATTGGAGCGATCATGGTGTGTGCGCTGGTTGTTCCGGTGCGACGTCTGTTCGTTGCAGCACGGTCGGCGATGGATGGATTGATGGAAGGATCAACGGATAGAGGAGCACGGTGCCGGTATTTAAGAATACGACTGACGATGTTGTGGCGCACTTGACTGTTGGCCTTTTTCGGTGGCTGCTCTGCCCACTCGGCGTTTAACAGCGGTTAACAGCGCACGGCAGCTGCTTCCCCCTGCACCCGACTTAGGGTTGGGCACTAGTAGGTATGACTCTCCGATGATGAGAAGAAGATAACATCGCCATCATCCTACACGGTTAGAGAGGGTTGGTCCGAGGCAGCACGTTTTCGCATAACACACTCCGAAGCAGACCCGCCCCATACAGACTCAGAGTCCCTCTCCTTCGACCAGCGAACGACCCACTGCGCTTCCAACGGTCGTCTCGGGAAGCGCAGCGCCGGTGGACTTTGTAGGCCTGATTGCACGCGCCGGGAAACAGGCACCCCTACCCACCCACCATGGCGACTAAGCGCAAGCGCTCCAGCGTGGATGCGACAGCAGCCTCACAGCTGGCATCGGGGCAGCCGCCGTTCAAGCAAGCACACTTTGCCACTGCTCCTAGTCCGTCATCCACAGCCGCATTCACTCAGACGGGAACATCGAATGACGCCGCGTCGTCTCGTCTAGCGCAGGCGCAAGACCCAGCGGTCTTGGAGGCACGCGACAATCTGCGCGGCTGGATCCGCCAAGCTCGGCAGCTGCAGGATCAGATCAAGGACACAGACACTCACACGATCGCTGCCGCCAAAGTGCAGCACCAGGATGGACGGCTCGCAAAAAGAACTTTGCAGCATTCACTTCGTCGGAAGCATCTTATTGACTGGTCCGCGCAAGATCTCATCGCGTTTGCCGATTGGGCCAGTCCGCCCAAAGTGACTGTCAAGGGCAGCAGTGCAGCCGGCCACCTTGGTCTGCTGAACCAGCCACGACCCGTTGGCGCTTGTGTTTCCCTTTGCGTTTACCTGCCTGAAAAAACAAGCCCATCGGCCAAGGCGACAGATCAGCAAGACGGTACAGGGACAGACGCGAAAATCGACGGAGAGTGCCAGCAAAAAGGCCCAGCGCCTACACATAGACACCCTCGCTACGCTCATCGCCTCTTCCCACCTTGCCTCACATCTAGACAGCATCAGCCACAACAGCATGATCAGCAGCAGCAACAGCAACAGCAACAGCAGCAACAACAGCAACTGCTGCTATGCCCACAGCCCCAACAACAACCATTGAATGACGACCCAGGCTCACAACTTTTCCACCCTGCTCATCTCGGCAAGCCAAAGTTGGTCAGCTTTAGTCCATCCGGAACGACGCTGGTCGCCTACTTTCCACCCGCACACGGCAGCTCGACTGCGGACGACTCCGCCGAGCCGGTATGGGGGCTCGGGCGACTCTGCATCTGGACACAGGCTCCAACACGAGCACTAAACGACTGGAAACTGGGCCAGCAGTTCATCTGCAACGTCGGAGCTCTCAGCGCCGGCGCCGGCGCTGCCGGCCTCAGTGCAGGCTTCGGCGTCCTGCAGCAACAGCAGTTCGCACTGGCGAGCCTGTTGCACGAAAGAGAGGACCTTGATCAGCTACCGGATGAGCCTGTGGAAATTTGTTGGCTTGGCTTCGGTCGGCAGGTAAGCATTTTGCGCACGCAATTTCCTCATTGCCTACGAAAGCATTGAGCCAGGCATTGACCCGAATACGATCCATTATCTCTTGGGCCTCGCGCGCGTGCTTCTTCCTGACCGACTCACGCACCCACAAGCTCGCTTCGGATTACACCGGCGGCAGCGCCGGCGAGCAACGGCGCAGTAGAACAGTAGCGCGTGGCCCCCAGTTCCCATCTCGGCAGGTGACCGTCCCCCCGTCGTCCCACTCGGCCTCTTCCTCCATTTTCCTTTCATCTGCGCACGCGCCGCGAGCAGCGGCTACTACTACAAGCGAGGAACAAGCATTTATCCTCATCGGAAGTAGTGGTCGCGCCTACTCTTTCCATCGCCGCCCGTCGCTGCATGGCCTTACGCAGTCGCAATCGCAATTTCAGTCGGGGGGTTTTAGTTCAGTTGCACTCGACCCGACCGGCTTGATAGCGGCTCCAGTTCGACTGCAATCTCTCTTCAGTGTCTTGGAAGTCGATCTCTTCGGGACCTGTATGGCACCTGCTGTGAGAACTTCATCCGCTTCTTCTGTCGGTAGCGCAGCGGTGTCATCTGCTGCCAACGTCAACGCGGCTCCTCACACTAATGGAAGCACCAACGCTATCGCGAGTACTGCGAATGGCAGCGCCACGCTCCCTTCGCAATTACCATTGCAGCAGCAGCCGCCTCCGGAAGGCAGCAAGCGCCGCTCGTACACATCTGCGACGCCACGCGTCGCCACGAGACACGTGACGCACGCGAGCATCGGGCTCGTTGCGGATAGCGATACCCTGCTCGTTGCGACATGTTCTAAAAGGATCGCTTCGCATTTCGATGGAAGGAGCGCTCCGCAGATGCAAATGCAAAACCAAGCTCACTCTGCTCCAGCGCAAACGAACGGCTTGCCCCCTGGCAGCGGGACACCCCTTGCCGGACTATCTGCCGCTTCACCTGCCCTGTATCCTGGTCTCAGCGCAGGAAGTACCCCGCTCCTCAACGGCACGGCCGGCATTGGCTCCAGCTCAGCAGCGGGCGGAGGAACAGCGTCTGCAATACCAACACCAACGCCTGTGCTGGCAGCCTTGGAAGGTAGCATGGGCGCCGCCAGCCACAGTCCCGTCACGCTTGCCGCCGTCGGCACTTCCATGGCTCACAGCACCAGTTACCAGGCCACGGCTGACTCCCTCGGCATCCTGACTGCCATGACGGCGATTGGCTCCTCGCCGCAAAACATCGCTGCCACACCTACCATCGGCCTTGGCGGCCTTGGATTCACTCCTCATGCGGGTGGAGTGTTGCCGCTCACTCAGAGTCCCTCGCCTGCCTCGGCACGCTTTGGCGGGCTCGGCATCGGCGCTGCAGCTCATCCCAAGATGGCGGCGGCCTCAGCGGCCGCAACACCTGCTATGGGGCTCCTCGATCCCTCGCCCGCTGCCCAGACGGGTCTTGCGCCTTTCTCTAACAACGGCATCCACGTAGCGACAGGTGTAGGACACGATAGCTGGAAAGATGCAATTCTCGTCACCGAGATCCGCATCGATTGGCGCGGCATGGTCGATCGCATGACGACACGATTGCTCGAGCCTATCTGGCCTCTTCCCAATTTTGGCTTGGAAGGCGCCGACGATGCCCAAGGAGAGAAGGCGACACCGCCGTCTGTGCTTGCAATGCAGCTACACGACGTGCAATTCTGCCACATCCGGCCTGACGTCAAGCCTGGCAGCGCAGATGCCCCTCCGCAATCGTCGACCGGCCTGGTTTTGTGCGCTACGCTTGCTTGCACCAAAAGAGCGAGTCGCGCTGGTGATGCTATCGATGGGGCGGAAGGTGGAGATGACATTGCCAAGCGCAATGCCAATGAAAAGTTACAAACACGTTTGCGTACGTGGCAAGTGGGTGCGGAGGATCCTCAGGAACTGCTTTCTCAAGCTTTCCGACAGTTCGACAAGACGCCTGCCTCTGAAAAGCAGGCTTTCGGTCGCAGTCAGCACGAATGGCACTTCCGAGCTACTGCGGATCGCCTTGTCGATTTTGGCACTGTCGAGTTCTTCCCGCCTTCCCAACGATACACCACCGCTCGCGACATGGTGCTCTGCAGCGCCACCGCCACACCCAGTAGCTCGTTTGAATACGTGCATACCCTTAGAACCTGGGATGCTGCAGCTGCTGAAATCGGTGTTGTGGCGGATCCGATTATCGCGAGCGGCTGCTTGCCGGCATTTTCGCCGACATTCTTTCATCTTGCTGCGCTGGCTGAAACCGGCAAGATGGTCCTTCAAATCCTCCAGCAGTGTCGTGAAGGTGGTACGGCACTGGTTGGTGAACAGCTACACTCGTTCGAACGCCGTCTCGCTGCCCTCAACCCTCTCCACAAGGTACTTCAAGCAGATGCCGCTCAAGTTCCAGAGGGTGCTACTCCCTCGTCGGCGCGCACCGGACTGTTGCTTGAGTCCCTGAACGTTCTCAGGCTCTTTAATCGCAGTCAGGCGATGGCATCGCCCACAGGAAGCGAATCGTCCAAGTCGACGCAGCAATACGCAGTGGACCATACATGGGTGCTGCTGGCATCATCGGACTGGGTCCTCGACCAGCTGCAGGCCCTGTACAGAGTGGTTCTGACGCACAGTGACAGCCTACCACCGGCAAAGCCTGTCAATGCTGCTGCAGGAAGCAACGCACTCATGGATGTTCTCAGCAGCCGCATTGGGTGCGAGGTCTGGATCCGCTTGTTGTTACACGTAACCGCTTTCCACGCGTGGCTGGCGGAAGCAGATGCATGTAACGGCGACATTTCGGCCAGGTCTGCAGACATCGGCGCAAACGCAATGGGCAGACCATCGCAGGTCAAGTCAGACGAAATATCCATCGCAAGGGAGGCTGCAAACCTCCGGAAGATGCGCATGGGCATCGACTTGGCATCTGCTGTCGAAAGCTTGCGCAAGTTCCGCACGCAAAACACCACTAGAGACGAGCACATGGACATCCTGAACAGCTTCGACTCGTCAGAGTCAGACAAGCACATGAAGGCGCTTGCTGCTTTGCTCACGGATTCCAGCTCCTCCATCACAGACCCCATGACCCTTTTGCTAGCCGGTGATGAGTTGGACTGGGAGGTGGAAGCGCGTCCGATCACGGAAGCTGAGCACGACATTCTCACACATGATAAGCTGGCGGGGAAATCGCAAATCGTCAAGTGCATGCTATGTGGAGGCAAGACAGCTGCTCGTTTGCATGCCCGATGTATCTGTGGAGGCCGCTGGTGGCACGTGTAATGGGTACAGGGGCTCATTGGCCGGCATTGGCTAAATTTGATGCTACAAAACAACATTGATGTGCCGTGCGTACAACTTGCGACGGATGATGGAATCGCTTGAACGGAATCCGGTGCTAGCCAACCCCAACAGACGCATGTGCGGGAACAAGGACCGGTTGTCTGCAATTTCTTGCACAAGCCCATGTGTGACCCAAGAGCAGCAGCTCAGGTCGAGCACTCGCACCTTGGGAAGTGTTCGGCTAAGAGCTGCGAGCCACAACGCAAGATCGCTTTCGAGAAGCCGGGCGCTTCTGGCTCCCGGCTCGTGTGAAGATCCAGCCAGTGACAATGTCTCCAGATTGACAAGAGACCCTAGAATCGCTTCGATGGCCTGGTCCTCCTGCGCATCAAATTGCAGGCCGGCAAGGGATAACACTTTGAGCTGCACATTGAGCCCTGACGACTTGTCGAGCAGCAGCTGCGACAGTTGAGCGGCCGTCACAGCTGCGAAGGAGAGGTCCACCTTTGGCTGCGATGCCAGAGGTGCGATATGCGCAGAGTCGTCGCTGTCATCGATGGCATCTGCTGCGATGCCGTCCTCGTCTTCATCTTCCCAATCATCGACGGGTCTGGGGATGCGTGTGGCTGCTGCGGCATCTTCCACAGCATGTGGCCAAAGCTGTCTCGCTTCCTCTGCCTTGAGAGGAGCTGCACCGCAGACGCGCCCGCAGAGCGCCATCATGCGATGCTTGACATGCAATGGAAGCATAGGCAGCAACTCCCACAGCTCCTCACCAATGTCCGCGTGCATTCGCCGTCGAACGGCAGAGATGATGGCGAGGAGGCAGTAATCGGACAGGGAGGCCGGGTTCGACAAAGGAGAACGGTCGAAGGACATGCTCTCGAATCCCTCATCCTCTCGGTCCGGCACTGCATCATAGATTCGACGAATACATGCTGCCAACCGGACTCTGGCTTCACAGCTGGCATAGGAGGCGTGCGAGCTGCCGCCTGATGCACCAGACCTTGAGCTTTGATTTCGGCCCGATGCATCGAGAAAGGATCCTGTCCAACTGTTCGGCGGGATCGGACCCGCTACCTGTCCCTTGAGAGCACTGGCTCTGTTGCGAGCCTCGGTGCGAGCTGCGCCGATGCGTGATAGTTCGAGGAACATGGTTCCCACCCGCGCCGAAGCGGACGGGCCGGCGTTGATGATGACATTGTCATATGTCGTGCTGAGCTGCCCAATATTGCGCAGCCTTCTGAGTTCCTCGACCCGGTTCTTCTCAATCTTCTCCCGTATGCTCGCTCCGACAGTGTCGTCGCTGCTGTGCCGTGTCGATGAACTCGCGACATCGCGGCGTGCGATCGCGCGGGGAATCGAGCGTTGAAGGGCAGCGTCACGTGCGTACCCTTGGCTTGTGCTCATGTCAAGTTATCATGCTGCTACGGCCGCTGCCGGCGGCTCATCCTGCGGCTGCTCTTTCAGCACGCTCCTGGCCCTTTGCATAGAGGCAGCGACCTCTGAATGACGCTGACGAAAACTCTACAAGGAAATGTAAACCATATCGTCGCGCAACTCAGGTTACTCCCTAGTGGGTAGATTCTCTTTGAACTCTCTTTCATGCAAGATTTGTTCGTAACCATACTCAACGTAAGTGAGTCCAACAGTCAGTCTGCTAGAGGGCGCAGCGCGAGATTCAGAAGGCATTGCAGGCGGCAGCGACCGAAGCCATATGACATCCCAGGGCCCAGACAAAGGAGCATGTAAAGTCATACGATTGAAGAGGATATCGAAAACAAAACATACATGACGGGCGGGAACAGTCTATGCGAGAGGGGTGATTCAAGAAATCCCGGGGGAGCAGAGCAGACGGCGCGGGTATAAATGGGTTGCCGCCATGCTTGGCTATCCTCGACAGGTCGTGACTCGTGATGTCGACAAGATGAATCCAATGAGGAGATGATGTACCTGAAGTTTGTTTGTACGGAGTCGTTACGTGCAGAAATTAGGATGTTAGAACCGAACGAGCGTAGATGCATGTCGAGTAGGCGACAAGATGCATCTAGTTGGCGGCCACAGCTGGAGTTGCGGCAGCGGCTGGGGTCCTGTTTGGCAATGCATTTGATCAGTCAAAAAATTGCATGGCCAGGCTGAGGAAAAAGACATAGCAGGAAAGGCAAAATGGGACATACTCACTCAGTCTCGGTCTTGGGCAACTCAACGACGGCTGGAGTATCGGTGACGGGGGCAGCAGCCTTCTCGTTGACAGCCTCAGCCTCGCCCTCCTTAGCCTTCTTGTCGAGGACTTGCTCAGCCTTCTGCAGTTGCTCCTGGGCCTCAGAGACAGCCTTCTTGGCTGTCTTGAAGAGATTCTGGCGGATCTGGCCGACCTTGAGCGACAAACGGCGGCCGACCTTCTTGTTCGGGATGCTGTCCTCCTTCTTGGCAGCCTCGTCAATCTGTGAGGGAGAGCAGACGAAGAACGGGATACGTTAGTTGAAGGTGGACCTATATGTCTTTTTTGCAAGAGTGCGCACCTTGACACCCTCAGCCTTGACTTCTGGCTCAGCGGCGACAGCAGCGTCGGTAGCAGACTCCTCCTCCGCCGCAACAACCTCAGGTTTGGCCTCCTCAGGCTTGACTTCCTCAGCTGGCTTGGCCTCCTCAGTGGCGGGTGCAGCAGCGACGGTCTCCTCGGGCTGGACCTCAGCCTTAACCTCCTCAATAACCTCCTTGATGGTCTTCTTCTCCTTGGGACTGCGCGGAATATCAAGAGTATGTCAGTTGGATGGGCAACACCAGTGATGCATAGAAGTAGAAGACGTACGACTTGTTGAAGGAGGCGAGGATCTTGTTCACGAACGACTGACGCTTCTCCTTCTTGGGGGTAACGGGCGCCTTCTCCTCGACCTTCGCTTCCTCGACGGGCTTGTCTTCAGCGGCGACGGCCTCCTCCACGGCATTGGTCTCCTCGGACTTGGTCTCGACGACAGGTGCAACAGCCTCCTCGGCAACGGCAGGCTGGGCCTCTTCGACGACGGGAGCGGTCGGCTCCTCGACAGCGGCAGACTTGGCATCCTCGACGGCGGGGGTGGCGGCTTCAGTGGCGACGGGGGTGCTCTCAGCAGGGACCGGAGCCTCGACAGCAGGAGCAGCTGGGGCCTCGACGGGAGCAGGGACAGTGGTCTCGGGTGCGGTAGACATCTGTTCCAGAAAGATGTGGGTGGGAAAGAGTACCACGGTGCAAGGTCAGCATGGATTGTGCCTTCGAGAAGATGAAGGTGCACACTGGGGCTCGCCCCAAAGAAAGACGGAGCGGCTCGCCACGGACGCTCCGCTCCTTATCAGGGGAGCATGTTGAGATGAGATAAGGGGAGCGCGCAACGTACCTTTGCTTGGTATCAAATGGGAAAAAGGGTGGATATCTGGGGTGGTCGTTTGTGGTATACCGCTGCGTCTAGGGCAGTACGATGATCGTGATGCGGTCGTCGAGTCTTTGTTGACAGGGGAGAGAAGAAATGGAGGGTGTGAAGGATGGAGACGAAGAGAAGGAAGGGGAAAGAAAAAGGAAACCAAACCGAAACGAGATAGGAATGAATCTCTCCCCAGCACAGACAAGCGAGGACTATTGGGAGCCTCACCCTAGATTATTAGACTCTACACACGCACATTGACCGCGGAGGGGGCATCAACGCGCTCTAAAGACGTGATAGTCACAACAATAGAAATTTCAAAAGGAAGGAGAAACGGGACACGAGACAGCCACACGCGGGAGAGACGCGCAAGGCATGACAACAGTGTCCATAAAGGGTTCAAAACAACAGAATACACTTGGTGCAAAAAACAAGAAAACAACACTGAACGGTTCCGCTACAGTTCTGCCTGCCTGCACGTCTTCCTTTCTTTCTTTTTGCTCGTGTTTAGGTCTCTCCTCCCCTTTTAGCTCCCTGCCGTCATGTGCTTGCTTGCAGCACTGGGCCACACACTGTTGGAGAACGCGGCATGAAGTCGCATTGTGCCTTCAATAGCAGCAAACACACACCCACACAATGCCTGGTGCCGACTGCCGTGTTCCCTCCGCTTGGCACTCCGCTCAGCGTTTGGCGTGATCGACGCTGCATACCTCAGGGCCAACGGCCCAAGGAGGCACTCATCTCACAAGCCATCATGTTGCCCCAGCTCGCCCGCAGCTCTCCGACCCCTTGACTTGTTTCCCAATGCATGCCAGAACGACAATGGGAGGGCGCAGGAGAGCAACAATGCAGTCAGAAACACACACACCTTCTCTCCTCCCTCTTCTGCAAAACGAAAAGGACAGAAGGGTGAGGAACAGAAAAGAAAGAAAGAAGGTAGCTCAATCGACGAGCAGACGAGCGGGCGCATCTCTCGCCTCTTTCTGACGGATTACGCATCTTGTGGGAGTCCAATCGCGTTCCAACTTGCTTCAGTTCAGGTCCAGTCGCGTCTCTCTTCTGGACTTTGCGGAGGAGATATATCTGGAGTCTATGCGAACTCGCAAGTCTCGATTCTACTTCTCGTGTCGCCATAGATAATATAATGTGTGCTCTGACGCGTCCCTCCCTACATTCTGATTGATAGTCTGCGTGGCGCCGAGCTGTCTGTCCATCACTGCGGCCGATGGAGCGCCGGCCGAAAAGAAACAGCCTGTCGCGTGCCGCAGCGCCCGCTGCAAAGTGCGAAGGCAGCAAAAGCTTGGTGCAGAGAATGATGGGGTTATCGTTGTGAAGGATGAAAGGGAACACGTGACGTGACCATGCCTTGAGCCCTGCCGCGACACATCCAACCCTGTTAGCACTTATGGTTGGCTATGGTCTATGCCCTGAATGCTCCTCAGACTCGTATGAATCTAGTCATAATCCCCTGCCTTCGCAGAGTGGCTCTTCATCTCTGGATTGGTCTACGTTGAACACCAATGCTCGCAACAAAATCGACATTCGCAAACGAGCTTGTCCCTTTTTTCTGGTATGCGACGCGACGTACTCTCGATCATCTCTCCTTCTCGACTGTTACACGATCAACTCCTGGCATACGAACGTTTCCTCTCCCCTTAAGCTTTGCATCTTGAAGAGCTCTGCGCTGTCGTGTGACCTGCTGAACAAAAGCGAGACAGACACACTCGAAAACACGCAGCAGTGTCCGCACCGCCGCGACCAGCCTGAGATCGATGAAATGTTGCTGAGCCCGAGATGCCGAGAATCGAGATCGCCTGTGCATGAGCATATGGACTGCAGTGCAAGGCCGCACCCGGCTCTTTAGTTTTGCTGGTGCAGCGCTGATGAGCACAGGGCCAAGTTGTAAAAGCAAGATATGTAGAAGAGCACAGATGTACAAGTACAGACATGATGCGTCGACGTGTGCGCGCATACGCACTCCTAAGGCCCTTGTGTCTGCTCTCTTGTGTCCGAGAGGCAAGAAGGGGTGCAACACGCCCTCCTTCGCATACATTAATAGAGAGTGGGCATCTCTAGCGTTCCCAAAGAGATGAGTTCGGAGAAGAAGACTTGTCGCTCTGAAAAGCTGGAACAGGCCCGTTGCCGTTTGCTTGATGATGTGAATCCCGCAGAAGCTCTCCCAGGGCCCTCAACCAGGCGCATTGGAAGACTGGGCGGCTTTCTGCTCGTCTTGTCGCGCCGACTCCAGCCCTGTCGTTCCTGGCGCCGAATTGCTGCCAGCCTCACCCCCACCTCCGCCGCCACTCAGCTTCCCGGTAGTCGGTCCTTGTTGAGTAGCAGTGGCAAAGAAGGGCCCGTCCGTGGTATTGGTCCCAGGCGGACCGATGGCGGCGTACAGCCCATTGCCATCCGCAGAAGACATGACCGGCGTATACGCCTGGAAAGGTTGCGAGTCCATTGGCGAGAACGAGTTGGCGGTGTTCGTCACGTCGCCGCCCATCGCTGCGCTCGATTCGCCAAAAGCTGGGAAGCTCGATCCGAAATTGAGATCAGAGTTGTCGTAAAAGCCACCGCTCGCACCCTCGACGCCGAGCGAATTCAGAAGCGCAGCCGTTGTCCCTTCAAGTGGGTTGCTGAGATCCGACTCGGCAGAGGAAGATGCCGCGGCGTCTTCAGGGCTCAGCGAAGAGGGTTGCGTATCGATGGATGATCCACTCGGCCCCGCCGGCTGCCAAGGTATCGGACCCGCGCCAGGAGCGGTCGTAGTCAGGCCATTGATGGGGTCAGCAGTTGCAGCAGAAAATGCTTGGAAGGCATCATTGACACTGAAGACGCGTCATGGTGCGTGTGCACTGATCAGCTTGTGGCACAAGAAAGTCATGGAGGAACATGCGCCCGAAATCCACGCTCACCTGTTCTCCATCATTCGCATGCGTCTCGCTGCCAGATCGCTGTCCACCGACCCAAACTCTCGCTCTGGTGGATTGACAGATAGAGGTGGATTCCCTTCCAGCCCTTGCATGCTCAAGGATTCGAGCAAGAAGCCAGCAGTTGGCGTCATGGTACCCGTTCCAGCAAAAGGGCTGGAAAACCCGTCCGAATGAATGCTGGCGGCTGTCATGGGGTTGATACTGAAGCTGGTGATTGCTTGTTGCGCTGGTGTCATCATTGTGAGCCCCTGCGGTTGTTGGCCGATCCCAGAAGCATGGATTGCATTTCGAAGATTGGTCATCGACAAGCTGTGCCCGTTGAGTCCGCTAATGGACCTTCGCCCGATAACTGGACTGCCATGTCGACTCGAGGGTCCTGCACTCTGAGTGCCCACATTGTGACCAGCGGCGCCGTGTGCATGGCTGTGCGGGCCATGCGCTGATCCTCCGTGATCTTTCGAAGCTCCTCCAGTCGCTGCAGCATGTGTGCTAGCGCCTGAGTGCGACCTCGCATGGTTCGCATGTGAGCCTTGATTCTTGACGACGGAGGCAACCCGCCCAGCCTTCCACGCTTCTTGCGCCTCCTGGCTTAATGTCCACCAAGATCCCTTACCTGCAGCCGAGGAGGGCCGCGGGACTTTTATGAAAAGGTTCCCCTTAATTGAAAGGGTCGACTTGATGCGGTTTTTGACGCGAGCCTGCAGCCAGAGATCTCTGTGTGAGCGACATGTGTACGTGCGGCCGAGGCCCCAAGATCACACTCACTTCCCAGTCCTTTCCATACGCCCATTCTCGAATCTCTGGAAATTTGGCGCACATATTCTCGAACAGATCCTGAATGACCAACCTCCCGTCCGGACTCTCGGCGATGGTCTGACAAATCATATCGCTCCAATTAAGTCGCTTGCCCGTGATCGCGGACGCGGCTATGCGTCCATTGGTATGGATGGGCTTGTCGAACGTCGGCAGGCCTCCGCCGGGCGTCGAGTAGCCGGTCTGTGGAAGGGAGCGATATGGCGCGCCTGGACTGGATGCTCCGCTGCCCGGTGCCGAAGCGCCAATATTCCCGAAAGCTGCCAGGGCGTTAGCATCCAGATGTGCAGGCAATGCCCCCCCCGCGGCCGCATACTGGGCGAGTTGCGCGTTGGCATACGCCAGCGCCACTTGGGAGGTCGGCCCGCTCACGCTGGGGGCGATCGAGTGGCTGGGCGGCGGAACCAAGTTGTTCGCCATGGGTGCATTGGTCGCGGATGGCCCTGCTGCCGGCGGGGCGGCGGGGAAGCCATGAGCAGACTGCTCAGGTGGCGGCATGGTCAATGACGGCGGCAGGGTGTGCTGTGGCCCATTCATGATGGGAAATTGGTTCATCCTGCCGGCGAAACGTTGCTGTCGAGCTGATGGCAACGGCTTCGGAGGAGGAGAGAGATGCAGAGGAAGTTGAGGTAACGCGGTGGGCTGCAAGAGGCTAACCAAATGATGAGCCGATCGCCCAAGCCCCAACGGAGACGGCGAAAAGCTGCGATGCACCAACGCCGAACGCGAAGCGGTTCTACGCTCCTGCCGATGAGGAGAAGGCCCCGCCTCGCGGTCTACAGCGCAGCGTGGCAGTGACGTCCAGGGACAAAGCCTACATACACGAGCTAGAGCACAGTAGCACCTCGTATGCCGCCTGCGTTGCTGTAGTTAACTGCAGTGTGCGGATGACGTTGGATGGAGAAGCTTGTGTGCCCCCAATAACCAGATCGAGGACTGTCTGCGGCTGATGCGCTGATGATCCTGGGATGGCCTCACTGTGGGTGGGGGTCTCTCTGCTGATGCCGGCTGGCACTGGTTGGCCACACGCGACAGGCGTATAGCAGAGATCGCAGACACACTCCACAGCTGCAGAGAGTGAGAGCACTCTTTTGTGATGGCTGCAACGCGCGGCGCTGCGCGCAAACTGCTGGCTGGATGAGACTGAGAAGGCAGCAGCCGCCAGGGCAGCGGAACAAGAGGAGGCTCTCATCTGCCTCAACACTCAGCATTTTCTTCAACACTCATCGCTTCACTTCGCCTCATCGCAGACTGGTTGGGGTTTCATTTTTGCAGATACATTTCGTACTTTCTCCCTATGGGTAGGAAACATTGTCTACCGGCCACTTGGATCACAGTATGCTGCGCATCTAATCGACATCCATCTGACCCGGTCCCTCGCCATCCGCTTTGGCAGCAGCCTCCTGGTCCTCCTTATCGGCCTCCTTGGGCGCATCCTTCTGCTCGCTCTGAGGAGTCTGTGTGCCGCTCGTCTGCGGAGGCACGCGCGGCTTCGGCTTGTTGACACTGCAGCATCAGCCGAGCAAAGATAAAACGCACAAGTCCGCTCGTCAGTGGCAGCTTTGATAAAACCCTATGCCACCGCGCGTGTACTCACATTGGCCCGCAGACGTATTGAACTTCGTCCTTGTTCTTGAGGATCTCAGCAGAAGATATCTTCGGGTTGACGTTCTTGGGCAGCTCGGCCTGCTTGGCCAGGTTGTTGCTGAGCCAACTCTCGACCGTTGCGCACTTCTCGATCACCTTCTGCTTGTCCTCCTCGGTTAGGTGGCTGTACTTCTCCTCCCCGCCGTTGACTGCAGACATGTACGTGTTGAGAGCCTCGCGCAGCTGTGCAGCAGCTTTGGGACGCGCATCGTTCTCCGCGTACCTGTGAATGATCGGGTTGCCGAGTTTCTGCAGCGCTGACAGCTTCTCAGAGTAAGATGATTTAGTCGCATCCTCGCCTTCCTCTGAGTACAGCCACTCCTCAGCAGCATTGAGGTCCTGAAGGAATTTATCCTTCTCCTCAGAAGTCACATAAGCCTTGTGGCGGTCGTCAAGTTTCGAGCGCTGGTCGTAAATGTACTCCTCGAGCGCATTTTTCGCATTCTGTTAAAGAGCCTCGGCGTCAGCGAACGATAAGCACGTGATGACCCTTTTGTTTGTGACCTACCTCGGTGTCAGTGACGAGCTTGTCTTGCGCGTACAACTGGCCCTCCTTCTCTTTCATGTCACGCATGATGCTAGGATCCTTGGCGTTGAGTGCAGAGATGACCGTGAGATCATTCTTGCGTTGCAAAACTTTCTTTTTCTCCGTCTTGGGGGGCGCATCCTTGTCCGTCTCCATAGCAGCAGGGTCGGAAGCCACCGGTACATCCTTCTCCACCTCTTCGACCACGTAAGCACTCTCGACGTTGAGAATTCCGTGCAGGTTGAGCCTTGCCTTGACCTTGACAATCGAGTGATCTCCTTGCGGGCTTGGGGTGACACCCTTGATTTGCACAGTCCCGAGCCATGGCTTGATTCCCTTCGGCAACTGTTCAGGCTGTGCATAGAATGCTTCCAGCGAGAAAGGCTCCTTCCTGTAGAAGGTGAGAATCTTGGTAGAAGGAATTGGGTTGTTAGGCTGGAAGACCACCAGCTCTGTCTCCTCATCGGGCACATCGGGTGCAGGCTCCCAGGTGACCTTAATAGGGTAGGGGGTGGTGTCGTGCACAGTGAACTCCCTGACCCTGAAGACGGGAGAGAGAGAGGCGCAAGCGAGTGTGCAACCCCTGCAGACGGCTTCGTCCTGATTGGATGTGAAGGAAAGGGGCTTGCCGAAGAAGCTCGAAATGCGCTCCTTGAGGGCGGGGACACGAGAGCTGCCGCCGACCATCTCAATGGAGTGAATTTGATCCTTGGTGAGGCCAGATTGCGACAGCGCCGCCTCGAGCGGAGCAGTGACGCGATCGAGGAGCGGCGCAATGAGCTCCTCGAATTCCTCCCTTTTGAGCTGTCCAGATGCGTCAACGTCATTCATGAGGCTCTCGACATTGATAGGAGCGACAGCGTTAGCAGAGAGGACCTTCTTGAGGCGTTCACAGGCGGTGGCGAGACGGAAAGTGGCTTTAGCATTTGATAGAATATCAAGTTTGTACTTCTGCTTAAATTCGGTGGCAAAGTGCTGCAGCAGGGCCATGTCAAAGTCGCGGCCGCCAAAGTGGCGGTCCTGCGCAGTGCCGAGAACGTTGAGCTGGCCTTTGACGAACGCGACGACCGCAACCTGGTATGAAGAGTGGCCAATGTCGCAGAAGACGACGTGGCGAGGTTCGTCTGCTTCAGGCAAGTCGGACTTTGTGATACCGTACCCAAGGGCAGTCGCGGTAGTATCGTTGATCAAGCGCAAGGTGTTGAGACCAGCAATCTCAGCGGCTTCGAGCATGGCTTTGCGCTGAATATCTGTAAACCAGCTGGGTGTGGAAATGACAACGTCCGACACCACCGCACCGCCGGACTCCCTTGACGCCGTGTCCCGCAAGCTTCCGAGGTACATCCCCATCATCTGGGTCGCCGAGAAGATCTGCTCCTCCCCCCCGAGCCTAACCTGAGCATGATGAACCATGAGTATAATCAGTCTACGAGGCAAAGTAAGCGATCTGACTGACGTAACACACACCTTTGCGCCAACTTCGCCATTCACATCGACCAGTTCGCAGCCCAAGTATTTTTTCTCAATCTCTTGGATATCCGCATCTTGCAGAGACCTTCCGATCAGACGTTTGAGACTGCCTACAGTGTTCTTGAAGTTGCTGACCTGTGCAGTCGCCGCAGCTTCGCCCAGTGCACGTGCCTTCTGGCCAAAAGAGATGAGCGAAGGCGTCGCTCGGCTGGAAGCGGAGTTCAACAGAACATCGATGCCCGATCGGCTGTTGCAAACGTAAACGAGGCAAAGGTGAGTCTTCACTACTGTGCGAAGACATTCGCATTGAGAACTCACCGCGCGGCGCCGATCTTGGATGTCGAGTTACCGACGTCGATGCCGATGCAAGCCATTGTGATATGGCGCACCTGTGAAACTTGAGTATGGCGATTGGTGGAGTGGACGTAGAGTACCCCGAGAATATGATGCCCTTAGTGTTCTATATACGCGGACGAGCAGGTGAAGCGAAGAATTGCCGCCAGGGTTCTTGAAATCTGACGTTACCCAAAATTGGAACGAACCTTCTGGAAAGGTCTGGGGAGTACAAGCCATTAACCCTACTTCTCTGGAGTTCGCGCCTTTCTTTCTTCTCATCCCCCTTCAAGCCGCACATGCATACGCGTCCGTCGTCCGTCGTCCAGCTTGATGCTTGCTGCTTGTGTTGTCCGTGCATCGGCCCATCCACGATATCGTACTCGTTCGAAGGTTGCGGAGTGGATCTTTCCAAGGACAACTTCAGCTGATCGGGTTACACACGTAAGAGAGTCAATACCAGGAGCAGAAGCCCGAATAGCACAACCAGCGCGTCTTGGCTCCGCTCAGCTCTGCTCGACCGAATTGCTCTCGTACAATTCTGGTTATCATGGGCTCGCTGGGGATTCCGGTCAAGCTGTTGCACGAAGCACTCGGCCATGTGATCACAGTGGAGATCAAGGGTGGGTCTTCCTACCGGGGAAAGTTATTCGAGGGTAAGTGGTGGGCTCGATGGTTGACTGTGGCTCAATCAGCAGCCTGCTGATTCGGTTCCTTTTTTGGTTCCTCAGCCGAGGACAACTTGAACGTTTCGCTCAAGGAAGTAACCGTAACCGCTCGGGACGGGAAGCAAAGTCCGATGGACAGTGTATACATTCGAGGGAGTATGATCAGGTCAGTTTTGTCCCGAACCATTCCTGTCGAACTTCCCGTCGCTGAAAGCAATATATGCATCCGTGGCCTGTGCACAATTCAAAGGTTCATCGTTGTTCCAGACATGCTGCAACAAGCTCCGATGTTCAAACGAGTCGGGCCGAATGCGATGAAGGGGCGTGGCATCGGTAGTGCCCGTGGTCGTGCGACCATTCTCAGAGGTGAGATCACTTCTCACTATCATTCGGCAGTTCTGCCATACTCATCCAGATGTGCTTGCATCCACCTCCTTCCATCTGTTCAGCTCAATCCCGAAGAGGGCGAGGGCAAGCGCCTCGGTCGCAGGGCATCAGACGATAGCTGCATTCTGCTAACTGCATAATCGTGTCACCTCAAATTTGCGTCAGCATGGAGACGCGCATCTCCCCGTCAAGCCAAGGGCTCACAGACCCTTATTGTATTCTAGCTGATGTACAGGCTTGCCATCCCCATCTTTTAAGCTATGGAATCTAGGTTCGAGCTTCGAGACGTCTATGCTCGCGTCTTGCGGGAAGACAGCGATAGCGGGAGGTAAGAATGCGAGGAGAGATATGCCAATGAGCGTGACTTCTGCTATCCTGGGTGCGATTCCCACCGTCGGTACGATCCTTCGTCGCTGCGCCCACGACAAGAGAAGAGGCGGGAGAACAAGGGTGGGCACTGTAGAGCACATGCCCGATTTTGGCGCAAAAGTTCAATCAACCTGCCCGCTACACATGCCACAAACTTCGCTGGCACTCACTATTGATGAAAATGCGCGATGCGGCTGTCATGCCGACGGCCCGTTGTCCTGCAACGACACTGTTTCCCACTTCCTTCCGCTCACCCGAATCGGTCTTGCTGTACACCTTGGTACCGTGCAGCATTTCCCTCCACCGCATCGCGCCGACGTTGACCACAGAGGCACTGCCAACAGCGACAAAAGGCACGAGTCGACCAAGTATCGCCCGCGTCCCTGGGGCGACATTGCGCATGCGCGGGATGGCTTGAGTCAACCCGACAGAGATGCCAACTGCGGCCGAAGTTGCCGCCGCATATGCCCCGGCGATTTCGCCTGTAGTCATCTGGGGGCCTGATTTGTTCGCGTTGGCGGCATTGACACAGCTGTTCAGACTCTGATTCGCCCATTGCCAGAAGATGATGGTTTTGAGAGAGGTGCTCGGCATCAGCATCCCTATTTAGGTAAAAGGACGGTCAGTGATTCTCCGTTTGGCGAAAAGGGTAAGGTAATGTCGCACCTCCGACAATAATTAAATTTGTAGGCACGAATGCAGACTGGCAAGATGTTGATTAGCTTTATTCCATGAGAGTGAGCTCTTCAGCCTCGCCACGTTTCGGAATTCACCATTCTGAATGGCAAGGGGATAGTCTCTCCACTAAGCGACGAGAGTGAACGAGGCTAGTGTATCAGCCTGGTGTCCTGGCCTCGTTGCGTCAGTGCTCAACGCACTCACGTGTCTGGATGCACTGAGCTTTGCACTATTTGCTTTGCTCTCCAGTACTGCTCAGCTTCGGTTCGAGGTACCAGATACGGAACTCGCCGTTGACGAATGGCGTCGTCGTATTTGTCAACTGTGCGCTTTGCATCTTCGAGTTGTTTATTCGTAGCAAGCAAAGTCAAAGGAGACGTCACGGTAATGAAGTGGCGTAATCGCCCTAGATAAGTACTCAGGTCATGACGCGGGATCGCTGTGTGGTAGAGTTGGAGTGCACGTTTCCTTCTTAGCCATTATCAAGAGGCAGAAGGTCGATGAATATCAAGCTACTTACAGATATCGACGTCATTCTCTCCTGTCTCAGTCATGTCGCAGGGAGAAGCCCACTGTAACTTGAAGGGTGAGGTACACTGATACGGGTGCTGCTTCCGCCGCCGGTGGAAAGATTGGGGCCCGAGGTATGGCGAGATGACAATTCTGGTCGAGTTAATAACCCTCTGTGGGTGCTGGTTCCATACAGCCGGAGTGAAGCATGTCCCCTTTCCCAAATTAGCGGCCTGTCAACGTCCCTATGTATCACATCCGAAGTCTGGCGAAGCCCAACAGCTAGCGGCGGAAATTGGTCGATCCTACATAGTTCCAAAGTCAGTCACGCCGCACTGGGTACCTCATCGTTACTCGGTACTCAGGAAGTTGGTGTCCTCCGAATCTGCATAATATAATAGAATACACTGAAACATGCAACTATCGGCCGAGAAGAATGCTGGAGGGTGGTAGTGAGGTTTTGACAAATTGTCAAAAGTCGACATTGCACCGAATTTGGCCCCACGAGCCCGCTGCGGATTTTATTCAGCCCGCGCAGCACGAGCTGGGCCAGCGTCACGCTATGAGCGGCAAGCCTGTCGTCGACGTCGACTTTCAGCATTTCAGCTATCTTTGATTTCAGTAGCACATATCTTGCTGCCATCCAAGATCAAGCACGACATTGGCAACGATCTTCACAATGTCGACCTCGGTGCCCGCATACGAAAGCGTCCTCCAGCCGGAGACTCTTCTCAAGAAGAGGAAGACCGATGAGGCGAAGAGACAGGAGAAGATCGCCAAGGCGGCAGAGCTCCGCAAGGTGAGTTTCGACGCAAGACTATGCTCCACCCTAAGGTCTTTATCAAACAAGGGAACAGGTGAACCAGGTCGCTCATCGGTGCCGGCTGAAACCGAGCCGAGCGTGGTGTTCAAATGGAGGCCAAAGGAGTGAAGGTCGGAGGAGTCCACGGGCTATTGAAGGAATGTAAGGCCATGTCTTTGCATTCGCTTAGTGAGAGGTACACGGGCAGGTAGGGCGAGCGGGGACCTCTCAAAGCAGGAGCTCCCATTGCTGGTTGCAGTGAACAACTCTTCTAGCGGTGAGCAAAGTATAACACGTTGGCTGCGAAACCAACAAGTAGGATCTCTTCGAGAGGGTGTGGGAGGCTGTCCAAGATGTACAACAATCAACTTTTGTTGGCTAGCCCCATGGGCAGTGTTGCCGCAAACATACCATCTTTCGGGTCTGAGACAGTGCAGACCCACATCACTCTGGATCCAGGGCGATTCGGATTAGACGACAATTCAGTCATGGGATTCTTGCGTTGGGTCGTGCGCTGATCTGATTTGCATCGTGCTGATTCTTCCGACAACAGGCTCGCAAGAACAAGCGCCAGGTCATCTTCAAGCGTGCTGAGCAGTACGTGAAGGAGTACCAATCAAGGGAGCGCGAAGAGATCCGTCTGCGCAGGCTGGCCAAGTCTCAAGGCGAGTTCTTTGTCCCCGCGCAACCAAAGGTCGTCTTCGTCATCCGCCTTCGTGGTATCTGCAACATTGCCCCGAGTGAGTGTCCGCAATTGCTGCCTGTCGTGTTGGTAAGCTTGTATGCTGATCGGATCTTTACCTTGTGCAGAGCCGCGAAAGGTTCTTCAGCTGCTTCGCCTGCTCCAGGTCAACAATGGCGTCTTCGTCAAGTTGACCAAGGCCACCTCCCAGATGCTCCAGATTGTGGAGCCATACGTGACTTACGGCGAGCCCAATGTCAAGACCATCCGGGATCTTGTCTACAAGCGTGGCTACGCCAAGATCAACAAGCAGCGCATTCCTATCACCGACAACAACCTCATTGAGAAGGAACTGGGCAAGTTCGGCATCATTAGCATCGAGGACATCATTCACGGTATGTGCTCTGCCAAGGAATGGTTCTTTCTGCTCTGCAGATTTGTGAGAGCCGTTGCTGATGACCCACATCCTGCAATCTGCTGTCTATAGAGATTGCAACTGCCGGTCCGAACTTCAAGGCTGTGACTCAATTCCTCTGGCCGTTCAAGCTGTCAAACCCCAATGGCGGGTTCCGTGCTCGCAAGCTCAAGCACTTTGTTGAGCAGAACGGTGACACCGGTGACCGGGAGGACCACCTTCCTGCCCTTGTCAAGAAGATGATCTAAGGACTGAGCTGTGGCGAATGACCCTACAGCAGCCTCAGTCGTGGCCCCCGTAGCAATATGGCTGCTTTGAACGAGCAGCCGGGTGTCTTTTAGCAGCGCTTTGCAGCCTCAGCGGCACCGGCGAGAAGGATGCATTTGGGGCAATGTGTTCAGACTGCGCGCTCCAGGCGTGCAACACGAGTAGAGGTAGGGCAAGGTAGTACGAGAGGCTGGATGAAGCAGTCGTGCATACCGCGTGTCCCAAAAGATTTTATGCATCATTACGGCACATGTACTCTTTGGTCCCCGCGAATACGCTTTCAAGATTCAAGTTCGAGTGCACCTCGACTATTCAGTGACGCGCACTTTTGGCGAGACATGAATGTCTTGATTCATAAAGCAAGGCTCTCTTGTCGCGATCTGTTATCGACTTGAAGCAGCTTCTCTGGTAAATCCTGGTCCGTGGATCGCAGCTGGTCGCATAAGGCAGGTTCGCTGGCAAACCTGCCCTTGCGACGGCCAAGCGACCACATCACGATGTTTGCTGAGCAAGCCAGCAAGGATGAAAGAAAGATAGGTCGAGCCTGGTTCTAGATTGGTGCACGTATGTATCATGTCGCCCTCGAAGAAGTACATGCCAACTTGGCGTCGACTTTTGAGTGCTTTGAGGAGACACAGCGGGAGGTCAAGTAAGCAATTCCCTCCGGTATACATGACAAGTTCACGAGTTGCGGCAATGCGGGCCTAGGGTCTTGGAATCTACTAAAAATCTGTAGCATTGTGAACCGGGAAAACATAATAGCAAATGGTTCTACATGTGTGACAAGTGAAAGCCGTATGAAGGGGCATCACGATTCATAGGGTGGATGGCCATGCCGGCATAGCATGCGAGACAAATGGAGGGGCGGGCGGACGCGGATTGCCGACGCTGATTTTTGAATGGGCTTTGCACTCAGGCTAGATCACAGTCCCAACTGTCGAGTGGCGCTGCGAATGAATTCATCTCACATCCTTCTTCCGGCTTCCCGTTTTTTCGGCGTCAGTGCCGACGGAGCATTGGACGTCTCAGATGGTGAAGGATCGAAAGGATCACGTGACAACCCATTGAGCCTTGCCGTGGCAACGAGCCCCACCATCGGCACCAACACCAACGTTTCCCTTGTTATCACTCATGCTAGACAATGCTATATGCACATGTATGCTCCTCAGACTTGTATGGATCTAGCCATTCTCCCTGTCTTCATAGAGCGCTTTTTCACCTCTGACATTGGTTTACTGTAACCGCCAATGCCCGCAACAATAGGTTGACTGCAGCCTTGCATAAATGGACCTGTGTGGCTGCATCCTTCCAGTGACTAGCCCCTCCTGTTCATTGTTGGCCATTGCGCAATTTGTCTACTTGCCTTGATTTCTTCATCATTTTCATCTCTGTTCCCTGTTCTCTGTCTTCTGTTCTCTGTGTACTGATCGTCTGATCACTATGGATAGATGCGCAGCCAGATATTGTCCCGTACTCCGTGACGAAGGCGAATGAGCTCGTCCGACGTGATGTGTGCACAGTGGAGCGCAGACTTGCATTGGCTATCACTGATCATCATCGAGGACCTTTACGGAAGACCGTGCAACAGCCTGTATGAGACTGGAGCCTCAAACCACTCGCATTGTCTCATCCTCCGTCAATCAATCCTTACCCAGAATGTATCCCCTTGAATGCTCTCGATGAGACCTTGTTGCTGAGATTATCATGAGGAAGAAGATAAGTCTTTTACGTGCTACAATACGGTGTGCATAGTGCAGGGACGATGTGTCGATACAGGCAGCTGGTGCTCTGACTGTGACTGCGTGACAAGGAGTGATCTGGAGTGATGGAGTCACAGCAAAAGAGTCAGAGAGGGAGGGCGATGAACATATACTCGTACATATACATAATTGGACTGCCGCGAGTCCCGAATGTGCGAGAAATATGCAGCACGAAATGTCGACGGTTGGTTCCTTGCGTCGGAAAAGCGTGTCCATCTGGCTCCCAATTGCATACGTTCATCGGAAACGTTGCTTGCAACTTGAACACATCCACCCAATAAGGCGATCTTCGTAAGCCTCGATTCCTTCGCACCTCGGGCTGGCTGCCGGGCACACGGGTGACGGTACATATCACTGTCGCGCCTTGTCAGTCGATGACACAAGGCGACGCAAGGACATGCTGAGAGAGAGAAAAAGGCCGTCATCCCACGAGGCACGAGATATTGGCTGCTTCAGCGTAGCATCGAGTCGCGCAGCTTCAGCTTTCGACGGCTGAATAGACATTGACCAAGAGATATCTGTTTGTGCGTGCCTTGGCACGAATTTGCGTCACAGCACTCCCGTCTCGCAAGGCCTTCCATATAAGTTATCCTCACCATTCGCCAACGCTCTCCTGTTTCAAAGGCAAATTGGCAACCGCCTTCCAACCACCTCCTTACGTCTCGAGCGGTGTACACCTCACCTTGAACAGTATGTCTGAGGCTCAACAAGGTGAACAGGATTCTGCCAGTGCTAGACCGTCCGCTAGCCCACCAGGGCCAGTCGGCGACTTCCCCTGCCCCAATTGCAGTAAAGTCTTCAGAAGGGGTGAGACGCTCGCGGCGGCCTTGTTCTTGCGCAGTGTGACTGAAGCATTCTCGCACTACGGATAGAGGATCTTTTGCGTCGCCATCTTGCAAGGGAAGCACGCGCTCAGACCCAACCCTCACTCGATCGTCAGAAGAGCTGTTTCGAATGCGCGAGGAGCAAGGCACGATGCGATCTCGAAGTGCCCGCGTGTGGTCGATGTCGCAAGAAGGGGAAACCATGTGTGCGTCAGTTGAGCCATGCGAACTCTTTGATCATAAAAACGTAACTAACCCCGTTTTCCTCCTTTTGACAGACATATGCTCCGCGTTCAGGAAATCCAAACGTGCGGAAAGCGCGACAATCTGGCATGAGCACAACATGGCAAGATCCTGCGCTTTCGTACATCGGTCGAAGCGATATTCAGAGCTTTGCGGCTGTCTCCTCCACCTCACACATACAGCAAAGTGGCATCCGCACAGCAGATGGCTCGTACGACAGCGATGACAGTCGGCTCTCTACGCGCAGCTCGCAGTCGCGTTATGACATGGGTAGGACCTTGTCCCAATCTTCCGGTTCTACCAACGGTGCCACCAACGATCCATCGAACCAAATGCACCCCTACAACACCATGCATAGCACCATGCCTTCCCCAGCATTCCACCCAGCAATGCCACCCCCACAACGCACCGAATCACCCACTCCCTTCCAACACGCCCCCGCACCTCCGCAACCGCAAGCACCTTTTGGAAAGCGCGGCGCTTCTATCATCACCTCACTTGACCGCGGTGGGCGAGCCTATGAAATGGAAGATGGCGAGGAGACACCTATCAGTCGCATGGTGTCTTCCTTCACTCAAAGAGACGGAATGGACTTTGCCATGCAGGTCGACGAGTCGGTTCCGCGTGGCGACACTGTTGTGCCAGTCGAGCCTTCGGCGGCGAGCATTGCCAAGCTCACATTGGATTCGCGGCAGACTGATCCGCCGCCGCCGACCCCCCGCGGTGGCTCAGCCAGTCATCGCAGCTTACCTCCTCTCCTGACTGGCGTGCGCATGCCCGGTGTTGGCTCTGCGATGCTGAGAACAGCTCTGCAAGTCCCCAACGCCCTGGATCTGTCTGGCTGGCTGGACGAGCCAGTCGTCCCCTCTCCCCTGTATCGTCTTGGCCCATACAGCGCTCTGAAGACCGCAGGTCCATTCAGCTTTGCATTGCCCGGAATGGACATGCCGCAGACTGGTACAGCCGAGCCACTGCCTGGCGCTGAGGCCAGCGCATCAGATCAAGATCTTCCTGCCGAGACGGCGCCCCCGAAGCTCTCAAATCAAGGCGCAGCTCGACACATATGGGAGCACGGCATCCGTGGCAGCGAAGATCTGCCAGAAACACTCGCGAGGGCAGCGGCGGCGCACCTGATCACTTATCCTACGCTCATGGTCTTACCAGAGGCGACATCGCCGGTGCCTCCTTTCATCTTTCGGTCCTGGCTTGCCTCCGTGCGCAGCGACTTGCCTGCATCACTGGCAGTCGCCCGTGTCGTACTCGCTGGCTACATCGTGAGGCTTCCTTCAAGTCAGGACATCGTCTGGGAGTCGATCGCCCGGGAGATGCGCATCCTCACCCGCAACGTTGAATCGGCGATTGCAGCAGATGACCTGAGCATTTTCGCGACCACCGCAGCGTTGTGGCTCTACCTCGTCCTGGCTATTTTGACTGAGGAACCCGCGGTCTCCGTCTTTGTGGACGACAGCCTGGTCAATGCTGGCTTGCAATCGCTCTCACAACTCGCGTCTTCGCTCAGCATGCGGATTAAAGTATCAGAAGCGGAAGTTAACACGAATGATGCAGCTGGGAGCATGGGTTTCTCCAGATGGGGATTGGTCGAGACGATGCGCAGGACCTTGTTCGCAGCATACACGATCCTCGTTCTGCAGCGTTTCCGTGAGGGAGCACTCGAAATACAGCAACGTCTTGCCGGCTGCAACCTGGTGCTGGACGTAGCGCTGCCAGCCAGCGCTCGGGTGTTCGAAGCCGCAAACGAGGCAGAGTGGCGGGCAAGGCAGGAAGAAGAGCGCAGCCAGCTCGGTAACGGCACGAAGACCCGCTTGACGCTGCGGGACCTGACGATCGCGCGAAGAGGTGCAGGTCAAGTTCCAGCCAACCTTGCCAGCTTTTTCGATCGCCATGACGAGTTTACCAACGTCTGTCTGTCTGTGGCACTTGGCCTGGATTCTGACGCAATGTAGTTGATCGATTGCATTTTTTCAATCTGTTGCTTCGAATGGTCATCCTTTCTGCTGGTTACACGGACCAACCTGTATTCACATAGGCGCACGCGATTAGTGTTGATTGCGAGCGCTTCAGGAGCTTATGAATTGCTGGAGAAAGCATTTGCGGAAGCAGGTGGTGGGGATGAAGGAGAGGATGTGATCAGTAATGCCAGTGCAGAGTGAGCGCGAGACGTCAGACGTGGCGCTTTTCGTACATTGAGCCGCTCGCTGCTTCTCGCCGTACTCGGCAGTCAGCGGAACCACTGCGGAACGGCGTGCTCACTACTTGCTGTCTCGTGTTGATGTAGTTCAGTGTCTCCTCTGTCGTGGCTCGTCTTCATCCTGCCCCCCCCCTTGGCCTCGCTCGACCGACCCAACACACGCTAAACTTCGTTTCGCCGCGACCACCCCATTGGGCTTGAGATTGCATCTGATCGCACACGCGCTCGCGTCTCAATACCCTTGGCAGTGCGCAGAGCAGACCTTTGAGCACGGACTGCGAGATGTCAATTGCGGCCTACACTGTCGGCGGCGCTGCGACAGTCAGCGCCGCCGCCGGGCTGTACCTGCTTTTCACAGGTAAGTCGCACCTACGCAACCCCTGTGGCTACCATGGACGTGTTTGAGAACGGTGCCGCCTCTTCAATGCTAAACCCCATTGATGAACGCTGAATCGTACCCAATGCTTGCTGTGGCGCAGGTTCAGGAAATGCTTTCAACATCGGCGCGTTCTTGGAGCAAACAAGTCCATATACTTGGGCGATGCTTGGCATCGGACTCTGCATCGGGCTCAGCGTCATTGGGGCAGGATGGTGGGTAGCTGACATCGCAGGCGAATGCACTACAGCAGAGGAGCTGACATAGCTTTGCGATGCCTGATCCACAGGGGCATCTTCATCACAGGCTCATCAATTCTAGGAGCTGGTGTGCGAGCGCCACGAATCACAACAAAGAATCTGATTAGGTGAGACTACCGAAGCCGCTTCCCTTACTGTCATCGTCTGCTCGGCTGACTATCGACCCACGAATTACACAGCATCATTTTCTGCGAGGTAGTCGCCATTTATGGTGTGATCATGGCGATCGTCTTCTCTGCCAAGGTTACAGGCAGCGCAGGCATTGACACACTCTTCACCCCGGAGAACTACCTGACTGGTATGTCCTGTCCTCGACTCAACGTACGGCTTTTGCCTGACTCATTTTCTGCAATATGCAGGGTATCTGCTCTTCTGGGGAGGCTTGACCGTGGGTCTCTGCAATCTTATCTGCGGTGTTTCCGTCGGCATCACAGGCGCGAATGCAGCCGTGGCCGATGCAGCGGACCCTCAGCTATTCGTCAAAATCCTCATTGTGGAAGTGTTCAGTAGCATTCTCGGTCTGTTCGGGCTTATCATTGGCCTGATCATGACGTCTAGTGTCCAAGAATTCGGGTCCGTGTAATATGCCCACAGGCTTGGCAGAAATGTACACTACACGCAAAGGCTGTTCACTGATTTGATGAATGAGACAATCGCCTTTCAGACTCGCAAGGAACCCATCGCTTTGGCTAGAGAGGCACCCGCATTGACGTTGAAAACGCAAAGGCGTCCATCGACACCACTTGTACTGATTGCGCTGACAGCACCAGCGGCGCCTTGATATGGGCGGATGCTTGTGATGGTGTTTTGGTGTGTCGTGTGCAGCTCGCCGTCAGCACTCAGGCTGGCGCCTGCGACTGCACCAAAGGCACCAGCTGAACCTCCGGCCGTGGCACCAGAGGTGGGAGGGGCGGATGCACCTTTGGCATCTGCCGCTTTGAAGCGATTGAAAGCCTCGTTGTTGAGACGACCAACGCTGGAAACAGTGGCTAGGCCAGGAGCTTTGGGAGGGGGTGGAGGAGGCGCACCCTTGCCAGCAGCGGCACCAGCGGCATCCAGTGTCTTACTAGCCTTCCAGCCCGAAGCGGCGTCTCCCTCAAAGAGAATGGGCTGACACCCATGGCCGGCGGCCACGAGCGCGTTCTCTGAAATGAAGGTCAGAGTGACGTGGGGTAGCGCGGCGGAGCGAATGACATGAATGGCATGAGGCGGGCTGTCGGGTCCACTTGGATAGGCGACCGTTAAAGAGGAGTCGTGTCCAACAAAGGCAACAGCGTCACCACTAGGACTGAAAGCTGTACCGTGGACCCAGCCACCAGCTGGTGTCCTAAACTCGGCACAGACGGTGCCAAAAGGCAGACGCTCTCCCCAGACGCTAGGAGGAGGCTTGGCATCTACTCCTTTGATGAAAGCGCTGAAGACGCGCGCTTTCATATCGGCGGATCCGCAGGCAATGAGCACATTGTTCGGATGCCAGTCGAGGGACAAGACAGTTGAGCGAAGAGGTTTCTTGATGTGCTTGGCAACCCACCAGTCATTGTCCTCTTCGAAAGAGCAGATGGCAACAATACGTGCGCCGCTAGCGACAGCGAACTTGTCCTCATTTGGACTCCATCGGGCAAATGTCGCCGCCCGATTAATGCGGAGCAACACCAAGGTAGGCTTCCATTCCTCGCTGCCCGTCGCTGTATTGACTATCGGTGTCCAGACGTACGCGTTCCGATCTTGCGAGCAAGTCACGATTCGGTTCGTCTTTGGAGCCCAGTCTATGCCGGTGACGAGCTTGTCGTGCTCGGACAGCGTGTGCTGCAAGCTCCAGCTGCCCGAGGCATCCTTAATGTAGATCAGAACCTCATTGGAATTGGGGCACACGGCGACCTGCGAGCGATCGGCATTGAAGGCATGCGCCGTCAAGGGCCCGAGGGACAGGGTGTGGACTTGCTGGGCCATAGCTATGGTGGGAGGTATGCGTCACGCGTGCGGTGGATGTTGCTTGTAATGGGATACTGGTGGCCGACCTTGTATGCGGGACCAGGAGGACTAGCAGTCAACTCCTGTACTGCCACAGCTGCAGTCTGTCTGGCTTTTGGCAGCAGAGGTTCAGCATGTAGAGGATGGAGTATTGGATAGATGAGAGGTCAGTCGTCACACGGATCCAGGCAGTGCCACAGATCGCTTCGTTTCCCCTCGCTGGCAGCTGGCGCACTGTCGAAAGCTGTTGACGGAAGGCCGGTGATGAAGGGAGCTTGATGCGTTCCGCCTTCTGAATTGGCTGTGCCACACTAGGATGATGATTCAAGCACAGAAGGCAAAAAGCGCAAATGACTAAAAGCAGCAAGACATGATCTCGGCTACATGTTCGTTCCCTAATTTGCAGCATCAGGCTATACCCAAGGGGCCGAAGAGCATTATCCTTTCTTCGCAGATCGCTGGGTCTTGCTCACTATGGCTGCCAGTTGTCACCGCTGCCTGCGGTCTGCCTCCCACACGGTTTCCCTCGTCTCCAGTTCACTTCGCCAGGTGTTAGGTGAAGCAACTTCTTCCTCCGTGGCACGTTCTTTTTCCACCTCTGCTCCGGCATCTGCTGCTGCTGCTAAAGTTGCTACAAAGAAAGGCCAGACCAAGAAGAAGGTCGTGCTACGCAAGAATGCTCCAGCTTCCGGGCCCAGATCCGCAGCGACAAAGAAGAAAAGTGACAGTGTTACGCAAGCTGCAAGCGGATTGTCCAAGACCTCGCCATTCTACCACGACCCGGCGCCGCCTCCCTCCCTGGACACTTTTGATGCAGGCTGCTTGGCGAATCTTAACACGGGAAAACTTTTCAAGCTATCAGATGAGACGACCACGGCTCTCAGCACGTCAAGTTTGTTTGCTCTGCGTGGAAAACAGGTGAGGTCCGGCAATCAATCGCATGCCCCTTTCAGACCTATCCGAGACCCTTACTTACTGTACATTCTGGTGTTTCTCAGTCTACCGATTTTCTGAAGAGACCAATCATCTTGCGAAAGCACCATGTGCAACTCGGCAATTTCATTGCTGCAGCAGTACGAGGCGAGCCAACTTCATCTCGGCCTCTTTTGCTTACCGGGGCAACAGGCAGCGGGAAGTCAGTCACATTGGCCATTGCTGCAGCATACGCTCGAGATGCAGGAGCTATTCTCCTCTACGTGCCTCAATCACTTGCTATGATCAACTCTTCCACCAGCTATGTGTACTCCAATACAGCGCAGGCTTACTTACAGCCTCAACTTACGAGCGACTTTTTGAAGGACCTGTTGTCGCAAAATCGTACTGCTCTAGGAAAGCTAACACCACGAGTGAAAGCAGATGGCGCAAGCGGCGCAAGTTCTTCGACTCCAAGCACACTGGAAGCTATCATCAAGCGAGCGCAAGCTCCAAATGCAAGTCCCTGGACTAAGCACGAAGCTCTCGAGACTTGCATTCTCACTCTAGCTGAGCAAACAGAGTATCCCGTCATTGTTGTCATCGACGAGGCAGAAGCTCTGTTCAGTCCTTCGCAGTACAGAGATGCAGATTTCCGCTTTCTGCAGAGCTACGAACTCGCGCTTCCTAGGACCCTTCTTTCGATGTTGCTTGGTGCTGCCAAGCATACAGAGAGTGAGCTGGCGACACGCCCATTTGGCCTTCGGCGCGGAGCGATAATTTGCGCCACAACCGCCTCACAGTCACAATTTATCTCCACAACCAAGATCCTGACGGAGCCAACCAGTCTACACCAGGTCGGGCCAAGCGGCCGCCCTATCGATCTGCCTCGCAAACACATTCAGCATCTGCATGCATGCGAATTCCAAAGGCTGAAGTGCGACGAACCTATCACCCTCTCAGAAGCGGCTCAGCTCTGCATCGGCCCCCAGGCGCTGCCAAGCTCAAGCGCACGTGAGTTCTCGTTGGTGCGTGGCTATGCGCAGCCACATGAAAGCTGACACTTTCGATGATCTAGCTCTTGACGACGAGGCGTTGCTTAGCAAGGTGATCGAATCTGGTGGCAACACTTTGCGCCTTCTCAACAGTTTGAAGCAAACATTGATGTGATCCTCTGTCCAGAGCAATTACAGCACCAAGTTCAATGAATGTGCCTCATGTTTGAAACGTGATATTCCGGCCCTAAGTTCAGGAGGACCCGGGCGCTAAACACGCTGATGTAACACCGGGTGAATGTATGCAATTCCAAAGCAGCATGATTAACAGCTTACACTAGTAATCTGCAGCGCATGTGCGGACCCGGCCCTTTCGGATCGGTGTGAAGGCCACAGAACAGAGTCTATCCCTTCGGTTATTTAGGCAAACCACGCGGCGATGCTCACCTTAGACCTAACGGCACGTAGGCGCTAGAATGGCTGCACTACATACATCATGAGATCGTCGAACCGCTCTGCAAAAGATGCCGTGCATCATGAGAAGCGTGGAGGATCATGGTTCAGCGCTTTAGCCACGCCACCACCTGCGACCGACCGATACATCCGAATCAATTGCGAGCGTACTGATTGCGATCAGTCGCTGCAACGTGCAGAAGGAAGTCTCAATAATACTCGATATGAACTGTATAAGGTGATACCGTTGTACACTCAGAGTCTTACGAGCACCAGCCCAGTGTGGGGAAGTGAAGCAGCGAGCTTGGGTGGCACGGTCGTGCAAATCAAGCACCGATCGAGCGCTACGGTGTACAATGTCTTTTCCAACGCCATTCTCCAGGACATGTTGCAATGCGAACACCGATAAACTTAAATTTTGATATACAACAATGACTCAGAAACATGCCCATGATGTTACAGCAGTCGCAATTCCTGAGCAACGAGCAGACGTCCGCTCTCATATTTGAAGCCTGCCGGCTATCTTGTTGAGCGAAACCGCAAGCCTTTCAACTTCTTTTTGCGTTCCTTTGCCACCATCGAGTGTAATGCTCTCCGTCGCACCTGGTAGAGTGGCAGAGCCATGTCCTACCAGCCCAGTCACTAACTGAGTCTCCACCAACCTTCCCAATGCACGTTTGGTACGTCAGCATGTCCCCGCTCTCGTCTCTCCTCAATTCATAATGCGAATTTCTGTTAAGCGGCAAGGCGACTTCCAGGATACCTCCTAGTAGCGATATCGATGTATAACCGTCGCTCCTAGCCCTATCTAATGCTG